AATGTGACGATATACATATTTATTATAATTAAATTTGCATCGTTGACAATCAAAGACAGAAATATATAAGTCTCTTTATAATATCCGAAAATGACCTCTATAATAACTTACACACCTACAATGAAAAGATCGAATAAAAAACAAACCATGAATAAATACACCGTCGCACCCAAAACACGTGCATGACCGCCTTTATGCTGAATCCACAATAACCCACTTTTATCCCACGCTCTTAGGAAATTCTAAACTTATAGATTATATCCAAGGATTCAAAATACATATAAAAATATATGTATATGCTACTATATAGCGTATATTACAATTTTGACACTTAAAATTGTGATCGTGAACTCATAAATCGTCTAACGACTATAGATCAATAGATTTGCACAAACGTGAGAATAGTGTTGTAAACGATCAAGTCATTAATAATTTGCAATGTTAACATAATGTCATCGCATTTCCGATTGCCGTTTTACGAGCAATAAAAATATATTTATGAATATGTTTATATGTTTAGGAACCTTTAAAAATACTATTATACATAAAGATCTTATCTATATTGTTATGACATACTTTAAGGTATTATTATGTAAGCAAATAATTGGTATTCATTACCAATACCCATTCATTAAATATAATACTACCATCTAAATGAAATCAATTTTGATATTAAAAAATATAATCTATACATAGTTTGTCAATTTAAATATGTATGTTCTATTCTTTTCTTTGTCTTTTCATTTAAATATGATAAATTTACTTTTAAACTAATATATAAACAATAAATTTTAAATTTGAAAAGTACAACTATAACAACAATTATAAATTACAATTAATTACAAAATAGGTATCAAGCTATAACATTTTACTCCTCAAAAATAGCAACGTATAAGAAGTATCAATAACCTGCGGGGGGAAAGGGATTGTTAGTAATGGAGACTGAGAATCCCATTGCTAGCAATATACCCAACCAGGTCGCGCGTCCCCTCACGTTCTCCCTGAAAATTATCATGGTTAATTCCTGATGAATTCATCATGATGGGCTACCTGACCTGTTTTCATTCTCATCTATCACCCTTCACTGATGCTCCGCCAACGTATCCCTTTAGCGCAGGCGGGGTTACCATACCATTTTCACCCATCATAAAAAAAAAAAATAACCTGCGGGTACACACATTATACCGGAACAATTATGGACATAACTATTCCACTCTAAAGGTAACGATTACTTTGAAGTTACGTAGAAAAATATATAATGACAAATTTAAGCAATATATGAAGCAAATTATTAAACAACCATTATTTAATAGTCTATCGGTATACGCTGGCGGAGCACTACTTGGTGATTATAACTATAGGTGAAGAGGAAAACAGGTCAGTTGGCCCATCGTGACGAATTTATCGATAATTAACCACGATTGTTTCCAGAGGAAAACCTCGTAGAGGTCGACCTGTTAGGGTATATTACTAGCCAAAAGGCTGTTAGATCCCATTACAAACAATCCCTTTCCCCCCAGCTTATTTAATTATTTTTAGCATAATTTTTATCTCACTGTAGTTCAGAATATAAAATTACAAATATGGTATAATTATGGTAAGTAGTAACACGTAGTAGTCATAGAGCCAAGAACAATGACCTTATGTAAATAATAATTATTTGACCCGAAACGTTGCAATTTTCAAGGTGGCCCGTTGCCTATTTCGAACTCTTTAATGACCCCATCGATTATCTCTGACCTCTGACATAACACTACCTGACTCTGACTGAAGCGCGAATTACATTATTCAAATTGCCCTACACTAATTTACGGTGTGAATATCTTAAAATTATAGTAATACTATTGCCTGCGACTTTGGTGCGTGTATTAGTATAGTATACTTACTTCTGACTTAAGTTAGAATATAACCTACACATGTACCAAATTTTATTTAAATCTGTTCAGCCGTTTATAGGTTTACGGAATTGAATAATAAACATATAATCATGTTTACAAACTTTCGCATCCATAATATTACTAATTTTATGGAGATACTTTGGCTAAAGATTTACCAAATCATGCCAAAATCAATTTAAATAAATACCAAATTAGTAATAAACCAATTTTATTTAGCATAATAATAATAAAAAAATATATTTCATATCTTATATTTACCTGAAATTAGGATTAAATTTCATAAGGCTTTTTACAACTTAGAGCTTTCATATTTATTTCATATTTCCGTTACATCATCGTCGTTATATCTAGAATATAGATCTTTTCTATAAGTTTGGGTTGACAACCACAGTTAGGGTTGGTGATGTTTTAAAAGGGACACAGCTGCCCCTTCCTCGACTATTAGGTTACCTTAGTCGCTTCTTACGACAACCACGTAAAAGGAAGAGGTGGCCCATTCTATGCCGGGACCACACGGCATTTGTTTCTGTTATATAATATTCTACAATTGAGGCGAATCTATAATACCCCCGTTTTACTTCATTAAAATTCATCAGGAACATTTTAAATAGAAATACAAGCTTTTTATGCTGCACGTTGCACTTTACCACAAGAGGTACGTAACATACATACATATATGTCTGAAAAACGTTATGTGTTTCAAATTAGCGACATTTTGGGTTAGTGGTAACAGTTTGGATCATCTAAACGCGGCTTCAATAGGTATGCATCGTGACGAACTCAACGAACGACGAGCGAAGCTCAAGCGCACTGAAAACTTAGCAATATTTAAATAATTGTTCGTCTTTATTGTGGTTTATTAATTACCCGTTTTATTCTTGACCTATGACATATATATACTTAGTTGTAGTAGAACACATGACTCAGTCAGAGGTCAGCACCGGAGCGTGCTGTGCTGGCACACATTACGCACACTCGGTCACGCGCCGATCTCACTGGAACTTCTCACGTTTTTATTTCTAAAAGACTTAAAAAAAAAGAGGAAAATATAAAATGTAGGCTAGTCCAAAGTTTTTTTTTTTTCAATCGATTTCAGAAAAGAAGGGTCTGCTTTCGGTTGTATTTTTTATGTTTATTACCTCTTGACTCCGTCAGTTGTAAACGGATTTAGATTTCTTTTTATCTGAAAAGGTATACTTATATAATAGATTGGTCTCATAGAAATTTTGCTTAAATTAGTGCAATAGTTTATTTTTATTTTAGCCACAATTTAAATCTTTTTTTTGTGGAACACAATTTCATTATTTTGTTAAAAGTCGAATTGTAACTCTGCTTCCGTACCTTATTAGTTTACTGACGAGGTGCAAGCAAGAGATCGATCCGAATTCATTAATAATTAATTGCAATTGTTTCCAAAAAGGATCTTGTTGATGAAATCTTACAGGATATCATCATCATCATGCCTTCCCCATGAAGGGGTTTTGCCAGTAGTTGCCACGCTTAGCAGGCGGGTTGGCAACTGCAGTTAGGTCTTTAGAGATATTTTAAGAAAAACGCTGCTCCCCATCCCATTAACATCAAGTTCCTTTAGTCGCCTCTTACGACACCCACAGGAAAGGAAGGAGTGGCCTATTCTATGCCGGGACTACACGGACGATAAATTGCTAGTAATTTGTATTCAAATTCATTCAGTAGTTTTTGCGTGAAAGAGTAACAAATATCCGTCCATCCAAACATTGTTTCAAACTCCCATTACAAACTTTCCAATTTATAATATTAATATGATTTTTCCTATTAATCTCGTACAAAATCATCAATCAGTAAATACAGTACAGAAACTGGCATAGGCATCACTGCACGTTATTACTTGTGGTATACTACGGGTAATTTGGAAGAAAAGTAATTTTAATTTTTAATTTCATAGCAATAACACTTAAATTACGATTTCGTTGAAAATTAACAAGAAAGCAATTTGATAAGAATTTACAAGGATTTGCGGTTAATACCTGCAAGTATAAATAATAAAGTTGGCAAGATATGAATCTTGGATTCTATCACGATCCTGCAATTATAGGTTCCCTTTAGCGAAGAACGTTCAGATATTTGCGCCTATTAAAGTCATAACATAAACCTAGTTGCAATATTCAATCACACATCTATTTATAAATGGACCTTCGATCGTTATATAAGAATAAAACCATGTGTAGAGTTATAAATAAACTGAACTGTTTCAAATTGTAATAGATATTGCGCGGAATTTCTTGCTTTCTTTTCCTTTCGACTTAAATATATATTATCTTTATTTGAAGAGATTTTTTTAGATAGTTTTTATTTATTTATGGCAAAAAACAGTCATTTCCAAAATATTAATATAATATACAATTACAGTTTTACAACAACAGACCTTACACTGCCAATAACAGTATTTTAACAGAGTTATTATTCATGAAGTACCAAAGAAACACGCAAAAAATTTAGTAACAAATCCAAAGTACTTATGCATATACAATACACTAATCCAATGGTTAATTATGTACTTGATATATAAATTACAAGGTAACTATTTCATTACAGTGTTATGAGCCAAACAATAGATACGAGTATATAAAATACTAATAACTCAGAACAACGCTCGACTAAGGTCCAAAGATCCCGAAATCAAACCTCTGATATATTTCAATCAATTAAAGAATATTGACATTTAAGGCACACAGGCGCACTGCGAAAAAGTGACGAAAAACAGTACCACAGCGTGTTATATACATATATATATAGAAATCATCAAAACCAGTACAAACACGTAAAGTGTGACTTTACAATTCACGAATACAAATTTTTAATATTGTACGGAAATTGAACCCGCACCATTGGATAATAAAACAGTGTGTCGAACCGTTGTACTAGCTTGATTTTTTTATGTAATTTAGAATGACACATAAACTAAAGGCCCGCCTGATGGAAAGTGGTCACTGTCGCCTATAGATATGAACAGTACCATAGACAAAATAGAGTATACTGGAAATTCATTGTCATAATAGGTCTCTGTATTTCACTTTTATATCTGTGTAAAAATAACTTATTGTTGTTTTATGTTTGTTGCAGGCTATCGGTCATGTATCTGGCGGTCACATCAACCCCGCAGTGACGTGCGGCCTGTTTGCCGCTGGCGAAGTGAGGCTGTTGAAGGCACTTTTCTACATCGTGGTGCAAACGCTCGGTGCAGTAGCTGGCGCTGCCTTTATCAGGGTATGTTTTAATTTGATTTAGTGTAAATATTAATCTTATGTTTTTTTTTATTGAATAGCTTATGAATTTGCTATCTTCACTTCCGGAATGTTTAAATAGATTTGACAGTCAATGAATATATATATATATATATATATATATATATATATATATATATATATATATATATATATATATATATATATATATATATATATATATATATATTTGCAATGTCCCTACAATTATTGTATAAAAAAAACAAAATTAAAGTTTCATGAACAGCAAAAAAGTTTGAAGGCAGGCAGGCGGATTGGCTACCGCAGTTAGCCTTTAGAGATGTTTTAAGAGGGACGCTACTGCTCAGCCCTCGCCTTGCCTTAGTCGCCTCTTACGATACCTACGGGAAAGGAAGGCGTGGCCTATTCTATGCCATGACCACACGGCAAGAATATTTGCGACCTTTTATTGGAAGAGTATATATTTTAAAAATCTAAGGTGATTTATTTATTGCTTTTCATAGATGACCGTATAAAAACTTATAGAAGCATGCAGAATTTTCTCAATGACTCTTAGCAAGTAGTTCACTCGTATGACACATAGAACTATCTCGCTTACCCTGACACTGATGATCGGAGAATAAAAGACCAAATTGAATCAACGACCTTCGATACGCTCTTGAAATGAGTTCGCTATACATGTATGCGTGTGTGTAATCAATTAAGTTAGTTTACTAAATAGACGTACTAATGTCACGCGGTCTGCGATAGTAAATGGATGATGAACCTTTTTAGATGTCACAAAAGGTTGTATAAACAATACCGTCGTTAGAAACTCGTTAGTAAATTTGCTTAACATCTGATAGTATTTCCTGATGTGTAAACTACTCATATTATTGTATACAGCCAGTGTGGAAAAAACATGCTCATAATTGCTATAAAAACCAGAGGCATCATTGCGCGTTGCAACCCTTATAACATGAAAAGTTATCTAATAATTTCCCTACTATATCTTAATAAGGAATTTTCTTCCGCGAACGCTCAGGCTGTGAAATGAGCTCCTTGCTGAGGTTTTCCCTAGAAACTACAATATGGGGTTCTTCAAAAAGTGTATATTAAGATTTCTTCAGGTTCAGCAACGCGCACGTGACACCCTTAGTATTGCAGGCAGCTATAGTGACCGGTTACCTTCGTACGGGCGGTATGCTTGTTTGCCACCTTTGTAGTATAAAAAAAACTATAAAAACAAAATGCATACAAGTCACTGTTAAGTCTAAATTACTGAGATACATTTACCTGTCCTTCACGATATTAGTACCTACATGCTTCCCTCTATACTGTGTCTAATTTATTGCAAAATTTATAAGAGGAATGAGTTTCCTATCAAATTGTGATAGAGGGCTTCATGTCTCTAAAATACAGAGGAGGTGAGTCTCTCCTCAAACTCAAAACCTCGATACCGCATGACATCGTGAGATCGTCGACAATCCACCTAATTCTTTGACCCGTACCCATATGTAAGGTTAAGTTAAACGTACTGATTAACTTAACCTTTCGTAGTAAATGCAAATGAATAAAATATAACGTGCTCGTCTTCTAATTACCTGTGACAAGAGGCATTTATTGTTCGTGTGTGTAACCTTTGGGCGTTGTTTGGTGCGACATTTTACTCGCCTCAGCAGACGGCTCGCTAACAAATCAACAAAGAGCATCGATTTATTAAATCACGACTATTTGCATGTATCGGATTCTATTAACATATTTTGTAACATATGGTATTGACTCAATTGAATAACAATAAACAGCAAATTTCAAATTATTAGCTATATCCTACGGTTTTGTTCATGTAAATTGAAATAAAAGTAGTCTATTGTGTTAAAAGTAATGGTTTCTCTGTGTACCAAATTTCAATCCAATTCGTTCTGCTGTATTTCAACGTGATTGAGTAATTATCCAAATATCTTTGTAAACTTTCACGTTTATAATATCCTAGTTGTGATTTATATTAGTATGTTTTAACCAAAGATTGATTGTAGAAGATTACCCTAGCGATACGACCGCCTTTTGTACCTTATATATATATATATATATATATATATATATATATATATATATATATATATATATATATATATATATATATATATATATATATATATATATATTTTTTTTATCTGCTACTGCTACTGTATCACTCTTGACTCATTTGTTTGTGGTAGCTATTCTATGATCATCCATTAAAAAAAAAATAACACCTTTGTCCTCAAAAATAGAAAAAAAGAAAGAACAAATGCTACTGTGATTCCTACACCCCGTGGACAACTGGAATTAAAATGATAACCGTCGTGATGCAATCATAATCATATATTTAGCAAGTACGACATAACTTTCTAATGATTTGCATGCAATTCCGTTTTTCCTTTGTGACGACAAACAAAGCTTTTCACAAATCCATTTCATACAATCACACCGTGTTCCCATCTCCTCGTAATTCCCACGATTATACTGTATAGCGTAACATTACGAATGAAACTATCTTATTATAGTATTATATATGGTTATGACGACTTTTATAGTTTACGTACAGCGTAATTTATGTACTTACGATTAGATTATTTCCAGATCGCGTATCTGAATAAAATAGAGTCTTCCGATAATGGTCTGTCTACATTTCAGATTGTATTCAAATAAAAAGATAACTTTGTGATGGATACATAATATTCTTATATCCGTTTTTACTTACTGTTTATTATTGAACGCTTCACGTACTTTTCGACGGTAGATAAGATTTCTTCTAATTTGTCTGTTGACAAACATGGCCTACTATCTTGATTATAGATTAAAAACTAGGTCTCTATAAAACATAGAGACACTACACTATCTAAATAAGATCATGGTTACATCAATTCGTGTAGTAAAGTTTTGGGTGACTATTCTGGGGTCTTAGAACGTTACGAACTTAGGTACGTTGTACTAAGCCTATGATACTGGCTAAATACCATCCACTTATAGATATACCTACCTAACCTAATATTATGTGTAGAATGTGTAAAACGATATGTATATTACCGTATACTGTTAATAAGGCATATTTCACACTCACGGAATACCGCTTATGGTTTGCACGAGATATTTAGCCGGTCCATTCTGTTGCACCCAATAACAGGGTGATACTATATAATTTGAAATGTATCGACCATAAAAGTATGTATTGAAAGAAAGAAAAAAAAATTAAGTAAACTTAGATTTACGTCTTTTTGAAGTAATTCTTTTTTCATTGACACCCAGTCGAAACGTAATTTCAGCCAAGAATAATGGGAAAAAAACTCAGCAGTTGCTTTTTCAAAAAATATCATTATATAAATATTGTTGATATTATCTGTTGCAGTTAGCTGTAACTGATACGGGCATGAAAGGAGGATTTGGTCTTACACTACCTGGACCTGATATAACCGACGGCCAAGTAAGTTCAAGAAAGATTGTTGCAACTGTTATTTGGTATGCGCTAAGTAAATATTATTTATTCTATGTTCTTTCAATATATTACAGAAATATTTTGTGATAGTTTAGACTTTTATTTATATTAAATCTTTTGGTACTCAATTCAAAATAGTAAAATTTTCGATCGAAAAATCGGTGATAGGTTATTTTAGATTGAAACTTTTACTTTACTTTTTGTCTTAAATCTTAATATTTTTATCTTAAAAATATTTTGCTAATATTAGTACTAAATTCAAGAAATAGTAGATAACGTTTCTGTGGTTATTTAGACTTATTAATTTCATGAACATAATGTTTATGTATTTATGTTGGTACTAAATTTTTCTGTTTATCTTAAATGAAAGCACACGAATCTATCAGTAGATATGTTTTCGTTACCACGTATTTGGGGGAAAATAAGACGGCGGATACTTCTGTCTCATTCCATATCATGTATATTCAAAAGCTTATCTATCGATAGATTTTAACTACAGCCGATAAAATCGATTACGTTACATATCGAACTTTTATAAAACGATATATATTATGTACAGGCGGTACTAGTGGAGGCTCTGATCACCTTCGTGCTGGTGTCAGTGGTAATGGGCGTGTGCGACGGACGACGCAACGACGTCAAGGGATCCGCGCCGCTCGCCATCGGCCTCGCCATCACAGCCTGCCATGCAGCATGCGTTAGTATTCACTTCATATTATTTTACTGGCAATGTTCCATGACTTTTACGATATAGTCTGTGACATCCGTGGAGCTTTCATTTGTAAAGGCGATAGCTACTATTTTCCATCAAGCGGGCTGTCTACTCAATTTTGTCTGTATGATGGGATAAGAAATATTCTGTTTGTTAATATAGGATATTGTTTATCTGTGTATCACATTTCATTCAAAACTGTTCAGCCATTTAAGCGTGATTGTGTAACAAACATCTAAAGTAATTCAAAGGGTCGACAAGCTGACATGTTTAAAAAACTGCGCTACATCTTTTTATCCAAAATACCTGAAAATTTAAATTACAGGGTACTGAGGCATAATTCTGTAATGTTCATGGTGCTGTTCATATCTATAAGCGACGTTTATCACTTTTTATCAAGTGAGCCGTCAGTTTAATTGCCATTCTGAAAGTCGCAAAAAGTAATCCTACAAATACAGTCTTTGTTAGATAAATCCGACAAGGGAGGTACCAGTACGAAAATAGATATATATTGGATAAATTAGCCTGGGACGACTAAGATTGACGAAAATTATAAATAAATAGACATTAATTAATAAAATAATTCTATTAAAAATATTATAGTTTTATTCTAATATAATCGAGTCAATTCATATTTATATAAGTGTTAAAATACTACTTTTTTTTAATAGATACCATTTACTGGTTCGAGTATGAATCCGGCGCGTTCATTTGGGCCTGTGGTCGTTGAGAATGATTGGACTTCACACTGGGTAAGTTTTACATTTTGTCTTACAACATATAACAAAGACCACGCCTTTTAGAACTACCGATTTTAGTACTGTAGATGGACATGATACCTAGTCGGATACATAGATAGATAACCCCACCCAGCTTCCATAATTCAAGGTATGGCGATGCACTTATGTTTAATTACTAGAAAACAATTACTTTATAAAACGCAATTAATATAATAATCATGCATTCGAACTGCCAATTCATGTCATAAATATCACTTAAACTTGTACAGCAAAAACTGAAGCTCTTTCACTCATCATTTCAGTAATAGCATAGTGTGAACATATATGAGTATATAAGCGTCATAATGTATTTTAGAGTGAACCTTTATATTCGTTATTTTTAATTTATTTTCTTATTCCTATGCCTTATAATGTAACTACCTATCTATTGGAAGCACCTTTCTTGTTCGATCATACAAAAACACTTTTAATAATTATGCCCATATACGATTTTCAAATTTGTACCAAATGTATTGGATACAATTTAACAAGATCTAATTGTGTTGACATCCTAATGATTATCCTGATGAATAGTTAATGAAAAAAAACTATTATTGAAAAAAATTATAAGTAATGTAAACAGAGTATGAAGAATGAATGTATATAGAATGAAGGAATCAAAATAAACTTGAGGAACTGCTTTATTCGGTATCTCATAAAGTTCCACTCACGTAACTTAAACGCAGTTTATGATGGTTTGCAAACGATATATTGCGCAATAAGGTATGCGTCTGGAACTAAATTATATTGTTATAAAACTCAGGGACTATTACATACGAAATACGAAAACATTTATTATCAAAAGCAAAATTCCATTCTTCAATCTGCTAAATAGCTATCCAATTACCACCACGTTTCGAATATCAGAAAGCGTGACTGGAATACTCCAATTGTTTGTGTCATATTGTAATACAGTTCTAAGTTAATGTACGCAACATTTATGTAATATATTATAAACATTGTACTTTAGATTTGGGCCTTGATGTTCACCGCACACAATAACGATTTAACGTAAGAACAACTGGATTAACTTACATGTGTTTTAATCGAGAAAGCTTCACTAGTTTTGGGATTATCCGTCGTATATGGTCATTATCGGCCATGACTTAAATACGAGCCTAACTACGTCGAGCTCTCATACTACATACATTAAAGCTGAGTGGAGCCATTTCAGTGCATTTTTGGATGTAAAAATGATTATTTTATGTTTATTTTTAATTATGGTAAATTAAGTTTAATTATATGTACATTTTATTTGCTCATTTTTTTTCTCGTTTGTTGTTTATATTGTATTTTTTACAATGCACTGAATAAAATGTTTTTCTTTCTTTCTTTCTTTCTTTCATGGTCGCTCATGACTAAGGGTCCCGGATGGTCCCGAAACTAGTCGAGCTTTCTCGACTAAAATACACGCAAGTTAATCCGGTTGTTCTTTTATTAAATTATAATGTGTATTTACGTCATTTTTAACAATAAAGTAATGATTTTAATCTGAAATAGTTATATCTGCGCCACGATGAGTTATTTAGTACTTGAGGTTACCGGACGAGTTGTTTTCACTGCAAACTAGTTTTACCAGATATAATATGTAACATTACTGCAAATGTAATTTCTACTAAGAACAAGATTAGTCCAACGTCTTAGAATTTCTAAGACATATTATAGCGGCCTTGATAGTGAAGCGGTTTGACACACTGCCTCACTTTACGGTGGTTGCGAGTTCAATCCTCCTTAATTATATTTAATTCATTGTATACAATTGTAAAGTATGGAGATTTTATAAATATTTCTTAAACTGTTCATGTCTAAAGGCGCTGGTTACCATTTTGCATTAGATGAGCCGCTAACTTGTTTGCCATTCTAAGTTGAATAAAAAAATTCTGCCCACAACAAAGTTAAACAAATACGTACTTATCAAGTATTTATGGACAAAACTATCATATCAATTTATCCACAAAACATGGTTTGAAAAGTTCTGGTTTGAAGAGTGTGATAATGATCTAGTGATTCGCGTCACACCAGTTCTGTATTGACAAATGCTGCTTTTAGCTGCCTATCATTAGGTGGAACGTAGTCTGGCTATAGGATAATAATACACACAATTTTTTTAATAGAATGACAATCTCGCCTGCAGTATTAATTTATGCTGACAAGGTATCAATGAAAGATAGTAGGTGAGAATGAAATGAGGTCAGTGGACCAGTTGAGATGAACCATATTGAGTTCCAGAAGGAATCTTATGGAAGTTGACCTGATAAGTTATATTGCTAATAATGGAGCTTCATAACACCCATTACTAAAAATTCTCTCCAAATATATTGTGATTATAGTATATTATTTTTATTTTTTAAGGTATACTGGGTGGGACCTATCACCGGTGGTGTCATCGCAGGCCTCTGCTACAGATTTGTGTTCCGTATCGGAAAAGGAGACAGTGGCTCCTACGACTTCTAGACGACAAGACATATCGCGACATAGACTATACGTGCCTCTAAAATATTGATACATTTAAATGTTATGAGAGATATTTTTTATTACTAGGGTGTAGTACATTCCCCGTAGCATTAGCCACGGATTAATTTATTATGAGATGAGCTCATTGATAAAAACGAAATATATTCCTCGAATTAAATTTTATATTTAGGATAGATTATAGAACGAGAATGAACAAGATATTGATGGTTAGTTATTAATAATATGCGTATGCAATAGAGCTAAGTATGCACGCAATAGGGTTTCCAATATCGATTCGATTCAATTGAAGATCGATCTTTTGAAATAAATATTCGAATCTATTAATAGATCTATCTAAGACAGATCAATAAAAATCGAGATTCATATGTCCTATTTTATTGTAATTTTGCTTTTTTATTTCCAAAATCCTTGAGATATCACTGTTTTTATGATGTCAATCTTTTAAAAGTAAATTTTCTATGATTCGATTAAAATCAATGGATGGATTGAAATTTTCCGATTCGAATCAATACAAAAGATCGATATTTTTGCTCAAGAGTAGAAATGTTAGCAAACAATCACAACATTCACATTGCAAGAACTAGATATAACTAGAGTCGTCTATTGGAGGTAAAACATGACCTATGTCAATGGGCGGTTTCAAGTTGTTTCCAAAGGTTATTAACGGCAACTAACATCGAACCTTATAAGGAACATTCACTACAATTTTAAAGAGCGTACTAATGGTATTATGGGCTACAAAGGAAACCATGATGGAAATTAGAAATATATGTATATTAATAAGAGCGGCTTAGAAAACTAGAGCCGTGAACGGGAGCAAAAAGAGAACAATAGAAAGTTTTCAATTTTAAATTTGGTAGATAACAATATAAAAATTATAAAAAATATGTGGCCTATACTTCACAGGTATAAAAAGTAGATTTTTCAAGATTAACATGAAAAATTGTTGAAACCGTCAAAATATTATCAATGAGCTTATACTTGTTAAATGTTGTTAAAATGTTTCAATCTCTTTGTTTCAACTCTAGTAAGTACAAAGTGAAAAGTAAATCCAAAGGAAATTATAAATATCGAATGTGAAAAATACTTGTTGATTGGAATAACACGTGTCTGTTAATTGGATTTAATTTTAATCGCCCATTAAGTTAAATTTGGATTAAAATTTATAAATTAAACTTGATGTCTTACTCAGTTTTATAATAAACAAAAACATAATTAAATTCATTTTTAACAGGCAGTGACTTTTTCGATTTCGTTTTATTTGATACGAGTATATATAGGATTACGTAGGATTAAATATTACTAAATAAGTTTATTTAAATGTGAATAAATTATTGTAAGTTAATAATAATAAAGTTTAGGTTTATGTGCCTATAATATATTTATACTCGAGTGTGCATTAAGCTAATATTCTGGCTCATTGTACCTAAAATAACGACTCTTAAAAATGTTTATTTTGAAATAAATATTTTATTTTATTAAGTAATTTCATTATTTTCCTTTCTAATTTAATTACCATACATAACCAACCACGTACGTAGATACTAACAATTTTTTCACCAGTTCAGGAAAGTGTCTTTTAGCAAGAAGTAATCTGTTTAACCAGTAAGGACACTGACAAGCATAGAATGCCGGTTTTATTTTTCGTATATGAACCTTTTTTTCACATTTATTTTTTATTCAAACTATTGCTAAAAAGGTTCATAGTTTCTTAATGATTTCAAACTTGGGTGATGGGTGGGTTTAGTTATATGTATATAAAATACGTAAGTACCTAAATCAATAAGCTAAATATAAATACTCGAACAAAACAATTTATATCGAAATGTCAATCAAAAAATGCCGACAAAGGAAATATTTATTATTAGTTTGTTCAAATTAGATGTGGTTTTCACAGTTGTGTTTCTGACGGTGGAATGAACGACGGTGTTTTGATACGCTATTTAAAAGTAGTCTATTTAGTTTGTTATCTTACTTCTAAAATCCACGCGTACGAAAACATGGACAAGAGCTAACAATAAATAAATTATAAATAAAAAAAAACTACAAATAAAAAATAAATTCTATTTAAAAAACATTACAAAATAGAAATATTAAACTATAGTTACAATGCGAACATGTAACTGAAAAATTTGCTGAGCAATCATTAATTAAGCGTACATAATACAAGTTCATTGGATTTCAAGATCAATGTCCTCGGCACGTAACAAAAACTGCTCAGCCTACGTTGAGCAATAAAAAATTTCCAAAGCTTTTGTACAAGAGCGGGTAATGAACTCGATAAAAGGTTACAAAGTGCACTCGCAAGGAGTAACATGCAATCATTCTTATGAACGGCGATGACTCGGCTTAAAGCCCTTAGAGTATTAGTAATCAGTATGTACAAAACAAATAGTTAGAGACCTATTATATAGTATAAAAAATGTTCAAGTATAAAATTATAGTCTTCTTTTTAATAGACAAAGATGAAATAGTACACAGCCATAATACGGCCGAATAAGCTGAATATTCTTATGGTATAAGAATAACGATTATAAAATAAGATAATTATTAAAAACATGTTGCACAAAAAACAGACTTCAATTTGTAATTTATATGTTTTTATATATATATATATATATATATATATATATATATATATATATATATATATATATATATATATATATATATATATATAAGTAGTATACCGATGTTTAAAGAAAGAGGTATTTAAAAAATAAAATTTAAAATCGACAACTCAGAAAGTGTTTGTGATTATGAATGAACAGGGCACGGAGCATGACTACATGACTAGATCCCATGAATGCAAGTCCCAATTTTGAGAATTAATACAGACGCCAATTTAAACAGCAGTTAGTTGATATGGCGTGTGGTTGAAATAAGGCGTGATGACTGTATATAAAGATACAGTATCTGGCATTGTAACCTAATCCCCATTTCGCAAGAAAACATCGTGACTCCTGCGTTCTAATCATGAGCAACTTATCACCTGCGTGGCGCTGCGCAAGATCACATTAAATATGTACCACTGGGCTGTCAAGGTCGTGTCATCCTCGGTTGGCATTGTCGAGGCACTAGGTGTAGGAGTAGATACATCTAAACAATGGGACCAATACTGAAGCAGCATTTTTTAAACTTATATATTAATACTTTAATAGTTTAGAAAAATTACTGTATTATAAAAAAGAGAGAGAGTAGACCATCATGAACTAGATATGGAATAAGTCAGAATCGACCCCACTGCCATTGTAAATCGGAAATGTAACGACAAGTTCTAGGTTACGTGCTATTGTTTTAGCCAATTTAAAAAAAAAAGTTTTCAATTTGTGTTCATTTATATTAATGGATTACAGATCGGTAACCCTCCTATGCTATCAACATACTATAAATATACAAGTCTTAAATATAAACGAATGTATAAAAGCTCATAAGCTCTTGTTAGTAAATCTATTGCCACGTAAAGCTCAAATGAAGTATGTTAATTTTATTATTGTCAATGTTTCGAGTAATATTGCTTCCTCTATTTCTCTTTCTAATGATCTATGAAATAATAAAGTCAAAAAAAGAATGGAGACGAACGAATTAAAAATAGTGTGTGAAAATTAAAATTAAGGGCCAATATTACGTCGTTTATTATTCTATTTGTATACTCAAAATAATCTGGAAATAATAATTTTAATAACATTTATCTTCTGGAGTACCTGTCACAATTTACCTATTGTTATGTATTACCTATAGATTGTTTTTAATAAATTATAGTTTGTTGAATAATAAATACCGTAGGTAAGTCATATTAGGTACAATTTTAATTCCACATCAAATTTCATCGAAATCTGTTCAGAAGTTTTTGTAGAGATTCATGTACAAGATTCAGTCCAATTATAATATTATTACATATTATTTGTTGTCCGTTTTTTTTCGTATATTTTTACTATTAGGCATTTGGTATATCGGATTATAGTTTACGCGCTATGCGCTGGCATGGTACATACGAAAAGCAGGTGAGAATAAAATGATCAGAGGCTTTACCATGGAATATTTTTCGAAATTACGGGCCTAACGAGGCTTAAATAAAATTTACATAATACATAGGCGTTTAAAATATTAAAAATGTTAAAATATCATTCCTTTGGACCATAATAGTAGAATTTATGACGAACTTAAACTTCATTTACTAGGCAGATTTCAGTATAATCAAAAACATGATACTAAGTCGGAATTTATTTCATGGTAGACCCCCAGTTTATTGTGGAGGATTTACTAGGAACAGACATTAGATCTCGTCGCTATCACTATTCTTTCTTCCCCTCTATTCAAATAAATATTCTGTGATGTAAATGGTGCTGTTCATGTCTATAGGGACGGTTACTATTTTCCATCAAGCAGGCTGTCGACTTCTTTGCATCATTGTTGTATTCAAACAATTATTTGCATTTTCACTCAATCATATCAAATATTGAATGCGTCAGTAGCTTCATAAATTGATTATATATCCGAGTGTAATACATAATTAAATTTACAAGAGGGAATGATAAAGGTAATAAAAATACATTTTGAAGCCGAAACTATATATTGACATAAAAACCGAAAAAGCACTTTTTAAATACCAAATACAAATGGATACATAGACAAAACAATTTAGTTAACTACAAGCGTACATTATGAGTAATTATTAAATATGATGTTAACATTGTTACATATGACATTTATTAATGTGGAATTATATATTCAAGACTGAGCCATGACCTAGAACAGTGAAAGGGATGTGTTGACGAATTGATTCAGACAAACCTCGCATGGATCAATTTGACAAATTGAACTGTTTTAAACTACACAATCGTTTATTCTAATCCTATATAATACCTAACACATAGATAATATATAGAATTATCTCTTGTTCACAAAAACACATTTTAAATATTGGACTATTTTTTAAATTGAGAACTAAGCACAAAAGAAGCAAAACAATAAACAGCTAAAATAAATCTATGAGATATGTTTATGAATAAGGAGGTTTGAATAAAAATTGTGTATTTCAAATGTTTATTCAAAATATATGTTAAGTAGCCATGCATCCATTGTAGCCAAGGCAGTGTGGCACGAAAGGCCTTCCTCAAGGTAGCTCGTCTATAAGTGTTTGAAGGAAGGCATCGGGGTCGGGTATGTCTTCGAGGAAGCCAGCTGCGTCGCAGAATTCGGCGAACGACGAACAAGGCAGCAGTTCGTCTGTGAGAGTCGTGACGATCTTCTCTGCGGCTTTGGCGTTCGCCTCGTCGTTGTGGCGTATGTATTCGGCCAACTTTATAGGCCATTGGTCGACTGTTGTAGCGGTTACGTTCTGTGAACAATTCACTTGCTTAAGGATACAGCAATATATATTGCGGTCAATATAAAGTTGACAGATATACGACTCTGTTATTGACGTAAACAAAAACCGACAAATTTATATAATTTTTATTTTAATTATGTCCCAGCCGGTAGTTTAAATATATAAAACAAAAGTTTAAAAATCATTAAAATAAAAAAAAAAGTTAAATAGAGAGTAGATACATTTATTTATTTCTATATTGCTTATGCTTATTTCTCTAGAATAGAATAGAATAAATATTTATTTATTTTCGTAAGATGTTATAACGTCTTAAAGGAAAACAGCCCACCCATACATCGGGCATACAATACAATGAATTACATAACATTAATTATTTTACAGTCATATAATAAAATCGTCAATAAAGTTGAAAATAAAATAAAGCATGTCAATCAACAGTCACAAACTAACTCATGGTCACCATTAGAATATATTAATTCTCATCTTATATATCTAACACATAACAATATAGGAAAATGACAAATGGAACGTCAGAGTGCAGAATTAAAAGTGTCTACTCATAATAGCTTATATTTTCCTCTGCTATTGAATAGCGACGGTAAAATCGTACGATATAGTATAAATTATAAAAAAACAATTATTCTACGATAAATTGTAAAAACGTCTAATAGTTGTCATACCCATGCCTTGTCTTTAGGCATAGCACATAGTTTGAAGTCATAGTTTAAGGGCCTGCTCTTTTTATGATTTGAACTTATATACGTATGTTTAGGTAATTATTTCAATACTATAAAAAACAGTTTGTAAAGCTATATTTTATAAAGGTCTCCCTCTGGCCAAAATGTCAGTAGAAAGTCACATTTATATGTGATGTCGGGGCGTGTTCATTTCATATGGCATTTTTTTTAAATATCGCCCTGAACTTTAAATAAAGCTAGTATGTACCGTGACCATGTTTCGAAATTCATAAATGCGTAGTCTAGCCTTTGTCAAAATAAGCCAGTGTGATAACTATTACAAAATTACATGCAGGTCGTACAAAATAATATATAACCTATCAAAAATTCAAATGAATTTAATTTAGTAACAAAACTGTCATGTTAGAAATGGGTAGTCACGTTGTTGGAGTCCTATATAATCGAAATGGCTAAAAACAGTCATAATCATCATCAACTCAGCTATTATCTGTCCACGCTGAACACAGGCCTCTCCCATAGACTGCCATTGCTTAAAACAGTATTAAGTATTATTTTCAAAATATAATTTAAAAGTAACATTTGCTATTTTTTTTTCTATGACGATTGAGGGATTATAAAACAATAAACGAAAAAAACTTTACAAACTTTCACATATGTAACTGATCCCTGCAGCTTTATCCACGTGTATCCATGTATAGATTATCCTAAGTTAGTATATAAAGTACCCGTTCCCTAAATTTCATTTAAATCCGTTTAACAACATTATAATATATTAGTATACATAGGATAAAGTAGGAAGAAGAATATCATTTCACCCCATTATTTATAAAACTTAAAGATCTAATATATAGATAGTGTCCTATGAAGGGAGTATTCTACCGACGTAACTGAACATTATTACCAAAGGATTAATAAACGACATCACCTTACTCGTATTGGACATAATTAGGAGATAAATTTTGAAAAATACTGAAATTAAGTTTCATTATTTTTATATAACAAATATATAATTAGTTGTAGGCATATCCATTAAGAATTATACTTTCTCATACACACTTCCATCTTTATATTTACACTCTTAGGAGCCGAATTTCGAAAAATCCTTTCTTATAACTTATGAAGAGTATAAAAAGACCTTACTGTTCAAAATTTGGTAATTTTAACTTTGGTAGTTTTAATTATATGACGATAGTGGCCTATTTAGATTTTATATATATATATATAATTGTAAGTTACATATAAAATAATCTATTTATACATGTTGTGAGCAAGGGTGGACTTATCTCTGACAGAGATCTCTTCCAGTCAATTTTAGAATAGGATAAAGTTTAAATAAATAAATATGTGCAAATAAGATACGTACTTTGAACATAACGTTGTATAGCTGGTCGATGACGGCGACGAAGGTGACGTAGGGCTTGTAGTCGGGCCAGGGCTTGGGCGCGCGGTGGTCGGGCGGCAGCGCTCGCAGCGCGGGCCCGCCCGGCGCCGCCGCGCGTGCTTGCGCTATCGTTATCACGCGCCGCAACGACTCCACGCGTAACGAGCGCCATCTGGATAAAAGTATTATTATTTTATTTTTATGCAACTTAAAATGGCATATAAACCGACGGCCCACCTGATGAGAAGTGGTAGCGTTTTATTTCGGACTCCGTCATTGCACAGTATCTCAAACGATTGCGAGAAATGCAAGAATTATTGGAAAAATAGAAAAAAAATAATAATAAGTAGTTTATTGGTACAAAAATATTTACAGTTATCTTTTTACTAATCGATTGCAATTTCATGTCAAGTACATTCAAATGTAAATATGAGAAAGAAAATTATTGTAGAAAATGTAAAATAAAAATGTATCGTTCAAAAATCTAGTTGAGATGATTAATATATTTCAATTTAAAATATATTTGGAATTCTTTTTTTATGCCTAACGTAAAAGTTAAATGTGCCTGTGCAACGAATTTTCAAGCATTTAAACACACGCTACAGTGATCGTTTACCATCAGACGGGCTGAATGCTTGTTTGTCATCTTTGTGGTATAAAACGACAGATAAGATGTGTGTAATACAATAGGCGTGGACAGAGTAGTGCGGTAACAACTATAACATGTTTCACATTCTCTTTAAACTTCTCCTGCTGGTTACTCTGTTTGAGTCATAGATTGCTATTTGCTCTTCTATTACAATTGTTTTATATAATCATATTTTATATATTTATTTATGTATGTACTTATTGTATTTATTTATTTAATATATTAGGTATATATTTATATTAGGTGTATGAATATATATATTGCTTTATTTTTATATTATAATGCAATATATATAGTTAAGTCCGACAAATTTATTTTTCTACATATGTTTAAATAAATTAATTCGTTAAAGCAGTTATGTTTGCAAGGCTGTGTTTCGGTTTGAACGGGTGGGATATGGCGTGAATTTACTGGGTACGGAGGAATAACACCGTCAGGAACGCATGGGGGGTATCATGGGTGAAACAGTTACTCTGTTATGTCCCTGCTCAAATGTACATACCACTTTCCATCAGGTTTGTACTTGTTTGCCATTCTAAGTTGTATAAAAAACAAAATAATATGTGTGGCGTACTTGGCGTGCGGGTAGAGCATGAGCGTGAGCGCGAGGTAGTAGAGCGGCCCCTCGGCGTCGTGCGCGGCCTCCAGCAGCCGCGGCGCCGCCCAGCCCAGCGAGCCCTCCAGCGCCGCCGCCTCGCGCGCCGCCACGCGCGACCTGCCGCCCAACGTACATTGGTTACCACCCTCATTCGTACAAATCTTCTCTACAAACCTGTTTCAACTATTACACTGTTTTGACACTTTTCAATTGGGAATTCAGTGTAACAGAAAGAGACAAGGCAGTTCAATAGCTAAAATAGATTTATGAGAGAAGGACTAACTGGTTTTGTCACAATTGGTTTTTTTGGAACAAATTTTTAAATTATAAATAGTTATTCTAAATAACAGTACAATTCTACAATACATAAAATTGTAACACAAAGTCATAAAAACCAAGTGTTTACAATTATGTTTATTCAGTTAAAAATTATGTCTACTCTAAACAAGCAAAACTAACATGTTATAATTTTTAAACCTGAGGGATACTACAAGAGTATTTTCCACTCATATTTATGCCACCAAAGACTTTGATAGCATGACGATATGAAAGAAAGTCCATACACCACTGTCCTTAGATATTTAACAAAATAGCATCACAATGTATTCCGTAATATCCATAGAGCTGTTCAAAGACAATGGATACCACTTTTTATCATTTTCCGTCAGCTCCTTTGGTATTCCAAAATACATAAAAAAAAAGTACAAGAAGATACACAATACATAAAAAAAAATACGGCAAAACTCACGTGTTGATGACGTATAGCGCCATGTGCACGAGCGCAGGCACGAGCTGCATGTTGGAGAGCGGGCCGCCGCCGCCCGTGTCATCGTGGAAGGTGCGGCCGCGTGCGAATCGCAGCAGCAGTAGCTTCAGGTCGTGCAGGGTACACGTGTGCCCGATGTCGCGATGTTGCCGGTGCATTCCTGCACGTCAAAGCATCGTTATTTTTTTTTATACAACATTTGTGGAAAGTTGTCCGGTGCAATCATGGACATAACAGCTGTTTCGCCCATGATACTGTCAAACGCAATTCGTTATGCTAAATTTAACCCATTGCACTTCAGTCTAGTAACTCATAAAGGATACTAATAACTCATTAACTTATCAATAACTTATTATAACGTAAACATAAACATATCATAAACACTATAAGATAAACACAGACGATTTCGCTTACCTAAGTGTTAAAGGCGCTGAGTCAGTAAAACAACCGTGTCGCCGTAGCTGCGCCAGTGGATTTATTGTCAGCATAGCACATTAAAATACGTCGCAAATACGTCACAAATACGACGACAACTGAGTGCAAAGGGTTAATATGCGATATAGTTTTGTTCAATTTCTTTTTTGTATATTTAAATGCAAGATAGCACCTGTTATATACAGTCCAACTAAATTATATACATGTACATTGGTTTTCTTTGCTGTCACTGGACCTAATCGTGTGCAGTTTCTAAAAAGAATTCGCCTGTATTTTTAGTGGGTGTGCTACACATTACATAACCAATTCTGGAATGATTTTGACATTTGGTCTTGCAATTGATAGGTTACCCTTGTTTCTTCTATATATTATGACTTTTGGAACCACGCATTTTCGGCGTTCTAAATTCTAATATTTTGGATGAAATCTTGTACTTCCGTCAGTGTTTTGCCATATTTTTTTAATGGAACAAAATGTTGTTTCTTTTAATACCATTGTTGAAATAATAAAGAAATCCACATTATCCTAATTCTAATGGTATGCAGCTCAGTAACTTAGAGACATGTGCAATACAAACAAGGCACCAGGCATTGCTTGTGCGTTATTGGGTTTGAAGAAACCTTTGTACTCTCAAGGATCAAACGTCCCATCAGCCCTATAATCCATATGAGAGATTTAAAATATAGTGATAATAGTGCCGTATTACCTGCAGGTAAGTCGTGTGCCTCGCGAGGCAGCTAGCAAACGCCGATTCGGGCACGTGCGGGCCCCATAGTGGCAACAAACCGTTGCATCGCGTTGACGCGTTCTGAAGCGCTGCGCTCTCCCACTCATCTCTGTTGAAATAAAAAAATCACTAATGGATTTTGCTTCTAAACTTATAACTAACTTTTAAAAGTATACTTTACATAAAATTGGCATTATAAATTCAATTAATAAAAACTAAAATGATTATTTTTTCAAGTTAAGAGTAAGATGCAGTAGTAATGTATAGGGAACGTGTGCAGACAAAACTATATACTGCAAGTTATATGACGCGTACTATAGTGTGAAGGAGACAGATGTGAGCCAAACTAGTAGTGCAAGTCTATGCGGCAGTATACGTCAAGTGACACAGACCGAGACTACTGTATTACCTAGCACATCGTAGTCGGAAATAATGATTGAAGGGTGGAAGAGCAAAAGATATTGAGAGCAGACAACGAAAGCGGATAAGAGCGGAGACGGAAGGGATGAGGGGGAGGAGAGTGGGAAGGGGCGAGGGAGGGAAGGAAGGGCAGAGAGTCACTGCAGAGTAGTAAATCGGGCGCAATATAGTAGTATAGAAACAATATTAGTACCTGGCGCGTGCAAGTCGGACAGCAGCCATGTGACACTCGACGTGCACGATGTTGTAGTGCGAGACCGTGGTATAGCCGAGCGTCTTACGCGCGCGAACCTCATACTCCTCCACTGGACATCGTTTCGTGAACGTGTAGATACCGAGCACCTAAACAAACGACAAGAGTATGAATTATAAATTATAGTAAAATTAGGTCTACAGCAAAATTTAAATTAATAAATCTTCAAAGAATTGGATTTGATTTTATGTATGTTTGTTTTTAATAGATAAAGTAAAAAAATATTTAACCAATTAAAAAAAATTGCACTTACAAAAACTACATTATAATTAATAAAGGAAAAGCCAGGGCGAGCCAATAGTCAATAAAAACAAATCTATAATCTAATAAACAAACTTAATAAAAAAAATAGGAAAAAAAATCATTGATATATATGGACATGGACGTTAGGACATATAAAAAAGAAAAATCAAATCATTGCAGCTAGCAACAGACAGGGTTACAAGTCCCAAGTCAGCGTACACTCACCTTAGTGGGCTGATACTTGTACCCCTCGCGGCAGATGCAGCAGACGGCGCCCGCCTCCTCGGCGAGGTCGGCCACCTGCTGCGTGAGCGAACAAAAAAATCAAGAAAATGCGCCAAATGTCACCTGGCCGCGCTCGATTGTCCATCATGTCCCTCGAGCGCGCCAGACAGTTGATGGTCTCTCTCGTACCGCCATCGTGTGGACGTTTCTTTTCCAGAATTGTCAGGAAAATATAACTTGAAAAATTTGCCTTGCAATACAAGGTCACTAAGTTTGGTACAAAGCCCTAGGTATTTTTTTTTTATGGGTGAAAATGGTATGGTAACCCCGCCTGCGCTAACGAGATACGCTGATGGAGCACCAATGAAGGGTGATAGATGAGAGTAAAAAAAAGACGGGGCAGCTGAGCCTACATCATGATGAATTCATCAGGAATTAACCATGATAGTTTCCAGGAAGAACCGCGAGGAGGTCGACCTGGTTGGGTATTTTGCTAGCAATGGGATTCTTAGTCTCCATTACTAACAATCCCTTTCCCCCCAAAGCCCTGGGTAGATCTTTAGCAATAAACTAAATTATAATAGTGAAGAAGTAGAATATCCTTAATTTAATCTATATATTGTATATACCGTTTGTATTAATAGATTGGGTTAAGTGTTTTGCCAATACAACTTTTTGAACTATGCAATAGATAAAAACATTGTTGACTGTTACAGAGCAGTGAAGAGCGTATTCATCATCATCATCATTATATCAGCCGTTAACTGGCCACTGCTGAACATAGGCCTCCCACTTGGGAAGTTTGCCAGTAGTTGCCACGCTTAGCAGGCGAGTTGGCAACCACAGTTGAGCTTTGGTGATGTTTTAAGAGAGACGTTGCTGCTCGATCATTAATTTCCCATATTCGCTTTTTACGACACCCACAAAAAGGAAAGGGTTGGCTCGTTCTATGCGGGACCACAAAGCCACTGAAAGAATAAGCATATTGATTGGCGGAAATAAGATCAATTTAGGAAATGAATTTGTCAAGTGAGTCAAAATGAGTGTGCACTAAAATTATGTAATTCAAGAAAATTATGTAAGTATGCTATTTTGTTATAATATGCAATAGCTTAATTAAAGATACTATAAACAATAGCATCAGAATCACAACCTCAATGAATAAAAGACTGTCATCTCTTTTATTTGATATTTATATGTTGTATTTATCATATATAATATGTATATATATTTTATTATTTATGTAGGTTTATATTCATATATATGAATATTGTATCTTTTAAATATATATATATATAATGATTTATAATTTATGTAAATATTTATTTTTTATTTTAATTATATGCCCACTCAATATTTCCTATGCCACTGTGTTAGGTTGACTGGCGGAAAGAAATCAATTTAGAGATAATTTATCCTTTGCTAATATTGTATTAACTTATTGTTGTTACTGTATGTTTTGTTATAATATAAAATATATATATATATATATATATATATATATATATATATATATATATATATATATATATATATAATATCTAAATAACATTCGCCTTTGTGACAGTTATTAATAATTTGATTTGTAGAGAATATATATATATATATATATCTGATTGTTTATCTCACTCACCTGTCGTGTAAAATCGCGAACTTGCTGCACCTTAGCGGCGCACTGAGGCTGCGAGCGGAGTGCCTCCAGCAAGTTTTCAGCGAGCGAGCCCACGTGTTCACCAGACGACACCTGCTCCAGGCGGTGCACTATCGGGATCACCTTCTCGCATACCAGCATCTGGACATACAATAAACGACTTTTGTACTACTGAAGAAGGAGATGGGGGTGTTAGTAGCTGAAATTCCTGTCACTGACAGGATTTAGCATTATTTAAATATATTAAAATTTTATTCAATAAAATATCAAATCTCACATATATCTGCTTTTTTTTTCAAAAGAATTCAATTTCCTTCAAATTAATATAACGCTTGGCCAGAAAAATAAAAATCCTATGTTGAATTACAATAGGATGTTAAATATTGAATCTATTCATACAGTATGAATCATACTGTCATAAAAAAAAAAACATCATAACTGAAATAAATATTGCCAATAAAATAAATAAGATTCTAAGAGACGACGGTTTTTATTTATCTAAGAGTAAAATTTACATATTTTATATTCTTTCTATTTACCTGTGTAGGTTCGTGATCGGCGGCAAGGCCGGTGAGGAACCGCAGTATGTATTTAAGCGCGGGTCGACTGATGAACTCCTTCAACTCGTCCGAGTCGGTACACACGAGTGTCGGCTTCACGCACGGCGCGTGTTTCTGAACAATTAAAAAACAATATTAACATAACTTATATATAAATAAAAAAAAAAAATAATAAATCATTAGCCCTTAATTAACATACCACTATATATTCTAAAGCGTCGCGCACAACTCCCAACGATATCAAGTAATCCTTTAATGTTCCACCAATGGAATTCCTCTCTATATTAGCGCACAGTACACAAAACAGCTCCATGCGGAATTCCTCTTCGGTCCATTGCTCTGAGTCAAGACGATCGAAGTCTAATACCGGTTTGAAGTGGTCCACGAGCATCGCCATTTTGAGATCATTGCCGTATACGAGAGCGGCGAGTACGCGGGTCAGATGGCCCAGCGCGACAGAGTTGTTGCGAATACCTGAATTAGAAAATTATATTAGCAACTTAAAATTGATTTTGTATTTATAACCAGAAACAGAAAGTTATACACGGCTGTGAATAAATAGGTTATGGGCCCAGTGTGACAAGTTACGAAATACAAATACTTGAGTGCTATCTGAATACGAAATAAGGTTACGTTGAAGAATTAAACAAATTTCAGAGATATATTAAGACTTAAAAAAATACTAAAATTTTGATGCGAAATTTTCTGTACAAGTTGTATAAGATACAATGGGTGCTGGATTGTTTATTCGATTAAAAAGGAATTGAGGATAACCAACTCTTATTACAAAAAAAACTTTTTAAATTGAAGAATACCTGGACATTCTGTACAGTTAAGAAGAGCTTGCACGTATTCCGGTCCACCAAAGGTCAGCGAAAATTGCAGGAACGATTCAAGACTCTCGCTCGCAGCCACTGATAGTATACGTTCCATTATCTGAAAGGCGATTAACAAATAAGTGACTAGTACAAATTGAATATAAAATTCATTCTATCTACTCATATAAAAGAGGTACTAACAGTAAGCAGTATTAAGTATAATATAGATAAAAATATAGATAGGAAAAGGTCATTTTAAATTTATATATTTTTTAATTCAGCTAGCTTAAATGGTATTTTTTTTTATTGTTTTGTTTCAGAGCAAGTGCAGCAAGCATCGTGTGTTTTGGTCACTTGTCTAGTTAGATTCGTTTGATCTGAGGACTTTTTATGACATAGATTAAAATAGACTGCTCTGAAAATTGCTACTACAAGTATAATTTAACGATAAACTAGACAAAGAATTAAAACCTTATAGTAGTCTTTTGCTTCACAAGTAGTGCAAATGCACAGTAAATGCAGCTTCCACTGAAGCTGCATTTAAAATAGGAATTAAGATTTTACATTTTCTGTACTATATTGGAGCTGTCAGACTTTGAAAGTTTGATAACAGATAGTGTTAAGTAGTTAGTATTAGCAGGGGCGCGTACCTCGAGCAGCTGGTAGACGAGGTGCGCGCGCGGCATGTGGCGCTCCTCCTGCGCGGCGAGGTGCAGCGCGTGCAGCAGCACGGGCAGCGCGCGCGTGCCGGCGCGCGTCAGCACGCGCACGCAGCGCCGCACGCGCGCGCACAGCGCCAGCAGCCGCAGCAGCGTCGAGCACAGCGCGCGCGCCGCGCCCACGCGCTGGATCGCCGCCAGCCGCTGCAGCATCGCCTCCAGCCCGCCTGCCGACCACGCAACACAGTTTTTCTCGTAATACGCCCAGCTCAACATTTTATCAGGAAATAATACTACAAATAATAGTACATTCTACCTACATGCAGTCACTCAATGAAATTAATAAATAATTATGTTTATTTGTACATATTTTGAGTATGTAAAAACTACTGTATCTGTCACAAACTCAAAGAAAATTTCCTAATATATTTATTCGATTAAAAAAAAGAGGTTTAAAAATGCAACTATATTTTCCATGTGTCTGTTACGCGATATATTCGGTAATTCTGAACCAATTTTAACACACTTTTTTAATTGAAAGAGTAGACTCACACATATTATAAATTATTTTATGTAAAATTCGTAATTTTTTGTTATTTAATTATTTACATATTTAGAATTCAAATTTATACAGAGTTTATACACAAGATTTTTGACTGATACAATAATAATAATAAAAATTCTTTAATTTATCACGATGCGACTTATAAATCACACTTACCACAATCAGCAAGCACATTAGCCATACGGTACACTTGCTCATCGTCGACAGCTTCCGCATTGGTCTGGCTGAGTGTCTCCACGAACTCTTCAGTGGCGTCACCTAGGAGTCCTCTCATACGGTACACTACGCGCATTGCGTCTACGCCCTCGCCGGATGTACACCACACCTACAATAAAAATAACGTATTATTATCACTTTCATAAAAAAAAGTAATTTTAATCTGAACACATAAGGCACAAACTTGCGTGTCGCTTTTGTCAGGACTGCCGATTAACACAATGACAATTTTGTCCTAACAAATCAAAAGACTCTTCTGCGTGGATCTTTAATAATTTCTATGGATTATTAAGGATTCCAAATATCAACCTTATATAAAATCTTATTATTAAGGATTTATATAAGGTTGAAATTTATAAATAGTATTTATAAATCTCAACGAGTTTTATAAATACTAATCTGACCAAACATAGATTAACTGGGGGAAAAGGGATTATTAGTAATAGAGACTGAGAATCCTATTGCTAGCAATATACCCAACCAGGTCGATCTCCTTGCGGTTCCCCCTGGAAACTATCATGGTTAATTCCTGATGAATTCATCATGATGGGCTAACTGGTCTGTTTTTATTCTCATCTATCATCCTTCAATGGTGCCCCGCCAGCGTATCCCGTTAGCGCAGGCGGGGTTACCATACCATTTTCACCCATCAAAAAAAAAATATAGATTAACTAAAATATATATGTATAATCTCTGGACTAACCTATAATGTAGATGAAATACATGACAATTACTAATATAACAGATCGACATATAAAAAAGGAAATATTATTCCTAGTGGATATACTATTCTCTTATCAACTAAAGAGAAGGAAGTTCTCAATTCGGCAGTATTTTTTTTTTTTTATTGTTGTTACCTCGTAACATCCGTCAGTTGTAAGAATTTAATCTGATTATGACTAAGCTCACTGACTAAATTACTTTAAATATATACTTGTGTACATACCTTCTTGTAGACTTCCTTGACTGGCAGGTCTAGCGACATGATCTTGTTGCAAACTAACAGCTCCATGCCGTTGTCGTCCTCAAGCAGCGCGACTAACTCGCAGTCGGTACAGATTTTGTTCTTCACGTCACGCATCAGTGGACCCATACCCGGCTCTAGAGACGAGTACGGGTTGCCTAACATTCGACCCTACAATGATACATAACAGATGAGAATTTACAACATTAAAATATTGTGCTACAGGTCAAAACACTCTACAGCAATCTGCAGCATTGTAACGCTGTTCTTAAGCAGTTGAAAATGTCTTAGAGGAAAAAATAATAATTCATAATTAATGTTACGAAAATAAATAAACTGGAAATAGCTAGTCTGGGATTTCATATTACAGGATATCCTATAATATTCGACCCATAATATTCCGAGGGATGGGCAGCAGCATCCCTTTTAAAACATTAACAAAACCTAACTGCGGTTGCTAACCCGCCTGCCAAGCGTAATAACTACTGATAAAACTTAACTTTATGGGGAAGACCTATGTTCTTCATTGGGCAGTTAAGTGGGCAAGTAATAATAATATAAACTCACCTGTAAAAAGTCCTCTTGCTGCGGATCCTTCTCCAGGGTGAGGAAGAACTCGCCAACATCGTTCTCCTCCGGGTATATGATTGAGCACAGCCGCTCGAATATGAACACGGGCGTGCGGTAGTCGTGCAATGGATACTTCTGTACTGTCTCGATACATACGGCCATAAATTCCGCCGTTTCCGCTTCTGTGCCTGTTGAATTATTGCAGAATATAACAAATAAAGAAGACACTGTAACGCACAAAGGCTATATAGATATTGAGGTAAAGATAAGAGAGAGATACACGATTTTTATAAAGACAAGGAAATGTCATCTATGATAGGTTGCACAGTTTGAACAGAATACAATATTTATTGTATTTTGAACTTATTTCATGAGATTTTTTACAAGTTTTAATTAACAAAATATCTAATACGTAAATAAAAAAAAAAATGCTCCAAACAGCGGCTATGTATCCATCTATACCAGGAAACCATAGCAAGTCAACTAGTCATTCAACAAGGAGTTTGTACAGCAGTGCAAAATGAGTGTTGTGTTAGGACTAAGATTCCACTGCCGATTGAAAAATAAATGAAAATATAATAAAATGGACCCGGATTGCCTGCTCTCAGTTATCCGCAACCGAGGGTTGCTATATGAAAATAGGTAACCATTTTGATAAACTCATCACATTTTTTGATAATGAAATAAATTGAATCAGGTGGCTCGCGACCATTTTTTATGGCAGTCTATGGGAGTTGTTTATGTTCACTAATGGACGGATAATGGCTAAGATAATGATGAACTCGGATGCATTGCATTATATTTTAGCTCAACATAAATAGTCAACCTGCAGGAGTCAGCGGCAGGATCTTAGACTATATGTATTACGTACCGGTGGTCATCTCCTCGAGCAGCTCGAGCAGCTTCTCCTGCGTGTCGTCGGTGAGGCGCGTGCGCTGCACGACGAGGCGGCGCAGCGCCAGGTAGCCGCCCAGCACGGCGCCCACCAGCCGCGTCTTGTACGTGCGCCGCGCGCCGCCCTCCTCCATCAGCATCGCCAGCAGCTCCGTCAGGCGCTTCAGCGCGTAACCTGCTCGAGTGAACACCATCACAACTGTACTGTGACTCAACACCGAAAATTGCTATTGTTCTCATAATGAAGACTTGATATATTCGTAATGAGTCTATGCAACCATTTCTTTTTTTTTTGATGGGAGAAAATGGTATGGTAACCCCGCCTGCGTTAACGGGATACGCTGGCGGAGCACCAGTGAAGGATGATAGATGAGAATGAAAACAGGCCAGTTAGCCCATCATGATGAATTCATCAGGAATAAACCATGATAGTTTCCAGGGGGAACCGCGAGGAGGTCGACCTGGTTGGGTATATTGCTAGTAATAGAATTCTTAGTTTTCATTACTAACAATCCCTTTTCCCCCTTATACAACCATATTAAAATACGAATATCAACACAATAAATTATTATCCATAGCAGTGTACAATTACTTATGTTTCTGTCTAAAATATAGATATGGGTAGATAATATATTGTTGCATACATTTTATACCAACGACTTTTTATTTGAAATGACACAGGCTTGCATAGCATATTGCATGAGTAAGCTTCCTAAAGAGATCCAATTATATTTGTGAAATGTAATGTAAATTATATATTTGTATTACATTTAACATATAATGTTTTTTTTTTTTTTTAATTTGGTTTACAATATATCAAAAACTGTTTATTACATATGATACCCATTATACATTGTCAGTACTAAAGTGAACCTTCCTATTGAATATTTTGGCACATACCACTTTCAGCCTTCAAACCAAATTACAATCATACAAAATGTGCATTTCATTTAAATTAGTCAAAAGGTGTACATAAAGAAGAATGTAGTCACACTACTTTTTCTCATCGCCCTTAAAGTCCTGTCATTAAAATAAATAAATAAGTAAAAACCTTGAGCTAAATCAGATGTAAGAGTAGTTTCCTCCAAGCGATGCAGCTGTTCAATCTCCTTGGTCATCAAATCTGCTATTTGTTGCAAAACTCCACGCAACGCTAGGAATTGTTTCCAAGGCGCCTCCGATGCCAGACCTAGATCAATCAATTATTGTAAAATAATCCTTACTGTTATTATATAAATGTGACTGTGAGTTTATGTTTTACTTCATAGTGACTTCAACGAGTTAACAAATTACTATGAAATTTGATATATGTGTACTATATGTAAGTGATGGAGAACATAGGCATAAATAAATAATAAATAAAAAAAGCTAGTATTAGTAAATAATTTTTAAAGTACTTTGCAAATAAAGTTTGGTCAAACACGTACTTTGATATAGTTGTAAGAATTGTTCACTGGCTTCACCAGCTGCGCCAACCTCCGGCAAGAAACTGGTAAGCAAGATTAATACCTGCGAAATAAAAACAAAAATGTTACAAATGGCCAGGAACTTAAAAATCTATCAGGATACTTAAAAATCAAAGCTTACACAGATGAGAAATAATGTCTCGGTAGCATAGTTTAAAAAATGAAGAAACGATCAATTTATAATTACTTTTTTTTTAAGTTATAATTATCAAGTTAGCAGATTAGACTAAGTTCAACTTATTCGCTACAATTGTTTCATATTTAATGACGCAATTGTAACATCGTCTTTTGTGATTAAAAGAAAGTAAAATTATAAGAGAAAGCTTTATGACTGACACAATTTTATTATTTAGTTTATTTTAATGTACTTACAGCTTTAGTCCTCTCGTAGGAGTCGCATAGAGATTTGATCATTTGACAAGCGGTGTCACGGGCGATACGCGAGCTCGGGTCGAACATGACCGGCCGCAACCATCCGCCGTCTTCGAGGGCCAGTGGCCGCATGCCGTGAGATAGTAATGTCTGTTCGAACAAATAATATTAGATTAGATATGTAATCCCAAATCACAGTATTAGTAATAATACTAAAGTACACTCCCTCCCGCCCGTTACAATCTGACCTCACCCCGTCTCACACATGCGTTAGGGCCCAAACTCTGTTTTCCCGCGCTAATCGTAACTACAGACGCACACATTGTCATGTGTACAGACGTTACTTGTTTTTGTAGTGGTACGGATCGTGGCGTTTTTGTATTTAATGTCTGGGGTGTTCCCCAGCGCGAACACATCGTACAATTAAAAAGAAAAATTTAAATTGTAATTTATTATAAATGATTAATAAAGTAGTCGATTTCATAATATTTAATTGCTACTTCATACATGTGAATTTTGGATGTAGGAACCCACCACTAGAGACGTACTACTAGACTACTTATGTTATCTATAGCTATGTTATATATCAAGATAAAATAATCACTAGATTTTCAGTTTGACCTTCAGAAACACAATTGTGAAAACTGTTCTTCAATTTGTTACTGGAATAAACATACAGATAGACAGACAAAAATTATAAAACATGATGTTTTGACTTCCCTTGTTATTATAAATACCGCTCATATATATATATTTTTTTTTCTTAAATATTTTCAATGTAGGAACATCACCTAGTTACAAATTTACAATATAAGTGAGATAACAATAAACAAGAAATGGTACGGACCCTCTCACGCCACTTGGCGAGGTACTTGTGCGCGAGATGCAGGTCCCGCGGCGGGTAGGCGGGCCCGTCGGCGGGCGGCGGCTCGCAGCGCACGGCCGCCAGGCGGCGCCACTGCGAGTGCGGCACACGGCCCGCCAGCCACGCGGCCAGGTCCACCACCACGTTGCCCATCGAGGATGTCATGGGGATGCTACTCGCCGCCGACGATGGCGGGGTCGATTCCTTTGTGAGAAGAAATTACATCATGATTATATATTTAAATCAATTGCTCGAGGAATTACCTAGTTCTCGACCAGTGTAATGTCCTATTAATATATTTCCCTATAATTATTCCTTACCACCATAAGGTTGCTTGAAAGACTTATTTAGCGATAAAGCCGCCCATTGTCGACTGTTTACCGCGCAATATATATTTTTTAGTTTCAAATAGATAGTTTTTAATAAAATCCATCGAAATTATATAATATCCTGCTTATATATATGCTTATTATATAAGTATAAGTATGGCATAAAAAGCTCTATACATAATTTACCTTAGCGTCCTTCGGCTGTTCTGTATCGGCTGACGTGGTGGACGCAGCGGGGACGACTGGTGCCATCAGCTGTTGCATATAACGTAAGCACGGCAGCGCCACTTGCTGCAGTGCGAATTGGTGTGCTAACGAAAGAACAGTTTTTTGTCTTTTAACAAATGACGACAGTAACCAATATGGAACCCATTGAAAAAGAATTCTACAAATCGATTCAAAATTAGGGTACTCTTTAAATTTTTATGCAGGTAGAATGAAAAGCGCATTTAATAAGAAAACTATTAAAGTTATTAGTAAAAATATTAAAACATTGTAAAAATTAATATGTTTATTCCAATTGATATGCTACTCACAGTTGGGCGATGAGGTGTTGATTCCTGGTATTCCGGCCAACGCTTCAGCTTTTAAAATGGTATTAGCAGCAGGAGGTATACCGGCGACTTCCGTCAATTGAGGGCAACACCTATCAAACATTATGTTATAATTTAATTATATATAAATTTTATTCAGACTGATAGGTTTCTATTATATTATGTACATACCACACCCAAAGTTTAACAATACAGCGCAGTCTCGCCTCCCAGCATTCCACTGAATCTTGAACTTTTACCAATGATCCCAACAAAAGGACCAATGGACGAACCTGTGACCGTTGAATAAAAATTTTAGGTTTTATCATTATTTGGCCTCTTGTTTCATCAAAGGTTTTTTTTCATAAAAACACAAACTAACTTATTTATTTAAATAGAATAAAATAAAAATAATCTTTATTCAAATATATTTGTTTATAATACAAGATCTTTTAAATTGTATTTTTTTTATTATTATACTGCTTGTTTCAGAATGTTGTTACTTGCTGAAAAAAAGTCACACGAAACTCAGCAGTTACTCTTTTCAATAACCTTGTGTACAAGATGACTTTTCTCTAAATCTATCTTTAATATTAAAATTTCGATTTGATATTACAGAGAAATTTTTATTCTAAGGACTAATATTGAACTAAATTTCTAATAAATATAAGTCAATATAATTGTATATTTAATTAACGATAATTTAAAAAACAGTAATTTAGCAATACTGTAAAATTTAAGTATTAGGTTAAGAGATAGATTTAAAGAAATGGCACCCTAAAATCGACCCTACTTTAATTATGTAGTAATTGTACACACATATATACACATCAACTTACCGAGTTGTTGTGGTCCTGCGATGCAGCGTGGCCCATCAGTGAGAGCGTAATGCGCTGCGATAGTAGAGTGCACAGTTGCTCAGTGGCTGGCAAGTTGTCGCGTGTCACTAGGCAGATTAGTGCCCGCACTTCCTCTTGACACTACACAGATACACAATTCAATAGACATGTGAATGTAGTATTTGCAGTTCTATATAGCTAGTCTATTATGAAGCATACATTTGGATATCAAAATGAAGTATCTATGGTATCTGAAATTTATAGTACTCGGAATGATAAACGAAAGATAGAAATTACTTAATAAAGCTTTCTTGCTTATAACAGCAAGGATCTAACTTGACGAAGACGGGGGGGGGGAAGGAATTGTCAGCAATGGAGTTTGACAGCCCCATTGCTAGCAATATACCTTATTAGGTCGATCTCCATGTGATTCCCCCTGGAAATCATCGTAAACAATTCTTGTTGAATTCGTCACGATGGGCTAACTGATTTACTTCATCCTCAGCTATCATCCTTCACTGGTGCCCCGCCGGTGTTACCGATAGCGCAGGTGGGGTTACCATTTCATTATCATCCAATAAAAAAAAAAAAAACTTGACGATGACATTTTTACACATAGAACATATAACATGTTTAATATTATTTAAATAAAGTTTAATAAAGGCGGTATTTTATAAAATAAATTTTAGTAAAGGCGAGTTTGTGTGGGCGTGGTGGTTGGTACCTGGGGCGTGCCGCGGTGCAGGTTGTGCTGCACGAGCTCCTGCACGAGCCCGAAGCGGCACAGGCGCGCGCGGTGCTCGGGCTGCGACGCGAGCGCGCGCAGCAGCGTCAGGCAGTGCTCCGCGCACGCCAGCGAGCAGCCGTAGCAGCCGCCCGTGCCGCTCCACTCTGCGCACGCGCACCTCTTATTATATACACGTTACGTAATATATACTTACACTTAACAATTTAATTAGACAATCGTAATTTATTAAATATTTACAGCTCGTACGCTTCCTGTTTGCATAAACAATGCTTCATTTGCAATTTCAATGACATAGTAGTAACTATAAAATTATGAATTACGCGCAAAAATGCGCATTTATTTCCTAATCTCAATACCACCGAGAAGCTTACACCTTGCCTCCTGCACGTCCCGCAACTACATTAGCAAGTGCCTTGTATGAAATTAATGGGTTATAATACAACCTACAAGGGAGAAAGGGTTGTTAGTAATGAGATTAGTTCCCATTGCTAATAATAAACCCTATCAGATCGACCTCCACATGGTCCCTCCTGTAACCATCATAGCTAATTCTTGTGAAATTCATCATAAAGGGTGGACTGAGTTGCATTCATCCTCACCTATCATCTCTCACTGATGCCTGAGGCTAATATTATATTATAATCCATTACAAAGAAAAATACAACCTACAGCTTAAATTTAAATTATTACAACTATAAATTATAAAATTAGCATTTTACCTTTGCTAAAATCTCCATCATAATTCTGTACAAGGCCAGCGTAAACTGGCAATGTATCATCACCTTTAAGTTGTTCACTTTGTGATCTATCATAGGTTACAAGCTCTTTCCTGTAATATAAATATATTGTTTCAGTGTCTTACTTTAATATATCTATGAGTATGCATTCATGTTTAGCCTAATATAAATGCAAAATGAAGATGATATACTTTAATTCAAAACCATATGGGAAAGCATGCATCATATTTCTATTGACTTTATAAAAAAACTTAGCATCCAAGGACCGACGAAAAGATTTACAGACAGAGACTGAGAGCTGTTAAATGGATTGACCTCATCATAAAATTAGAAAATACAAATCTGACATACAGCAAATTGAATTAACGCTTTATAAGGATCAGATTGCTAATAAACAAATTAGAAAAAGGAAAACAAAATAACAGTAATAAATACGAAAATAGCTCACATCAATAGAAGTTAGTTTTTTGTTTGACTTTAAGGAATGAGAATGCATATTCGTAGTACTGTTCACGTCTATAGGCGATAAGAACCACTTACAATCAGGTGGCCTATCAATTTGTCATTCCAAGTTATATAAGAATGTTATAAAATAATTTACTTTTATTTTTAACGTTATCACATCTCACCTGCAAGCGAGCACCTTCTGTATGATCTTGGAGAGGTCCTCGAAGTGTCCCTTGCTGTCGACGCAGTACTTGTGCGCGAGCGTCTGTATGACGCGATTGATCTGCGCGCCGCTGAACGACGAGTTGGACGCGTTGCTGTTCTCGTCGCCGACCCGCCCCTCGAGACGGTGCTCGCTTATCTTGTGGAGGAGTGACTGCAAGAAATTCAGAAATTCTTTTATGGAACTGCTAATTGGAATATTTTTTTCTTATTCATATATAAAAAAAATACATGATAATTAGTAGAAGTATGGTAGTATTCTTTTTTTTTTTATTTTCGTATTATAAGTCGATTGAAATATGTTCTCATCATCAGGAATTACATTCACAATCTTATTTTTATTAAAAAAAATTGTTTCAATTCATTCCTCAAAGATTTACTAACAAGCCAGCAATATCCAAAAGAACAAACATTGGGAGATAGCTAGACATTTTTGCTCTTCACATTTCCTGTACTATATGTTACTAAGTCCGTCTCATAGCTAAGCAAATGGCTAAGTTCTATTCAAATAAAAATATAAACAAAAGAAAATACAGTATATTTATAGGCATCCCATTCAGGGATATTTAAGAGGGTCAGGGTGGGCAAGGCCTGTCTGCTCATCCCAGATAAAGACATGTCTAAGAGTACATGTGCACCTTTTTTAAGCACCCCGTCCCTTTCGGAAAAATTATCTTAAATACGCCAATAAATACATTCCCACCTCCAGTATCGGCTTGTTGGCGACGAGCTGCCGGTAGACGCGGTCGGCCTTGTCGAGTAGCGCGCCGATAGTGTGTACCATCTTCTTACGCTCTTCGTCGTTTTCTATGGTATCCACGGCGCAGCACGGCCGCGCCGTCAGCGTGTAGTCGAACTTGGCGTACTTGCAGAAGCCGCACGCGTGACACAAGAACGGATCTTTCTCGTCGTAGTTTATTGCGCTACAATAAAAGATGCCTTACTTGGTACAAGCACGTGTTGGTGTTCAACTTCAAAATGTCATCTATATATTTATTTTTTACAGTAGAAGGGAAAATCATAAACACAATAAAAAAAAGTATGATGTGGATGGATCTTAGACAATCTTTGCTTCCCATAGTTCCTCTTAAAGTTTATTGTACTTTTATATTGTGTTTATCCTGTTCCCTGCCACTATAAAATATTAGCTGGTACCTAGAAGCTGAACACCAACAGTATCTAGACTACCAGATAATATGTTTTAGCAGTTACTTTTACCACATACATACCAGAGAGGCCTTACTTAGTGCCCGATCAATTATTGGACAATTGGTTTTGATTGTAAATTTTCCCATAATCACACCAAAAGCATATAAAGTCGTCAGTGAGAATAACTCTGTATTGTTGTAAATAAGGTACTTAGCAGACAAGGGTCTGTAAATCTGTGTTTCTGTTTGGAAAAACATATAATAGTAATATTACTAAGTACCATGTTTCGCGTGAGTTATTTATTAGTGACTTTGGTGTGTGTGTTTCTGGAGTGCAAGTTTAATGAGTTCTATTGCCTAGATGATAAAATTTATTTCTGCGTGGATATTACAAGTAAATAATAAATACAAATACACTCACCGACACTTATGGCATTGGAAGACATTTTCACCGCAGTTCGCGCAAACACCAGGGTTCGCGGGCACCGACTGAGAGCATCGGGGACATTGCAATGACTCTCCTAAAAATGTACATTGATTTAATAAAATAGGTTATACACAACTATTTTTATAATAATCGTAGGGAGATACTGTATAAAGTAGACAAAATGGGTGCCTTATTTGTTTCTAATGCAATGCATCCATGCTTTCAGGATTCGGTTCAAAACTATTGGATACAAAGTCATAATACCCTAGTCCTATGGAATGGTTACTGATGTACTAGATAGTACACCAATAGAGTGCACCATGATATCCACAGAAGCTAATTCTGAGATGTTCATGGCACTTTATATCTATAGGTGAGAGCTATCACTTTCCAAGAAATAAGCCATCAGTTTTATCATTTGAAATTTTACTAAAAAAGAAGAAACAAATTATAGACTGCGTTTCACCTGTAGCCTGTTGATTCTCGTAGAAGTCAGCATATTCCATCATGAGGTTGCAAGCGACGATAGGTAGTGGGAAATCAACGCGAACTTCCGACTGGCCAGATTGTAATTGCACCCGTTTGGCTTTGTGCCACATTCCTGTAAAGGTACACCATTAGTATTTATAATTATAACTTAAATTGGCTTTTTAAAATTTCAATTAGAAATAATTGATGTAAAAATAGTACACTTAAAAATATATATATATATATATATATATATATATATATATATATATATATATATATATATATATATATATATATATATATATATATATATATATATATATATATATACCCCTTAAAAAATGGCAACAAATCTATCAATTGAATCGTTATCGCAAGTAAGATCATGAATTGAAAAGACATCGGATCGCTAGCGAGGACGACTCCACAGATGGATATACTTGTCATTTGTTTAGAGAGCCTGACCTATAGATAAATGACAAACAAATTCGACGATAAAACCGTTATCGCTAGCGAGTCTATAATATGGAATCAGAATCGTCAGATGACGCTATCTAAATCCATTTCTGTAGTTAGTACATTAGATGTCAACATCATAGTTAGCTCCAGATGTATCAAAATGAATCAAATGACTGTCAGGTCAGTTGATCCATCTTGATACTGGAATTTGGTACCCCATAAACATTAATAACACAGGCAGAGTAATCCATATTACAAATCTAAATTCATTAAAAAAAAACAAGGATTTGTACAGCAACCCACCTGGTTTGTTCTTAAGCTCTTGCACCGCTTGCACGGTCCGATTGTTGTAGTAGAAGTTAATTGTGCGCACCATCTTGCTTCGCTTGATGTCGCCGATGCGCAGGCTGATGCGGCTGATCATGTGGCTGTTCACCAGCTTCACGATCTGCGTCGTCGTGGTGAACTTCGAGTCGATCTGCGTACGGTACAACGGATTAGTTCTTAAAGCGTCGGCCGATAGAAATATGAAGAACTACAAACATATTATAACAGTTAGGCTACAGCCACGAAATTATTTTGCTAACAAAATTAAAGTACGGTCCAAGTTTTTACTAAAAAGTAACGTGTCCTTGTTGGTACGTAATTAATGATTTGATATTAATGGTATTAATGTTTTAATTATTTGTTAGATTTAATACAGTAGGCACACATTTGCGTCTATACTGTAACAAAATAAAATTAGGACTCTATGGACCTGATTTTATAGTAACACACTGAACATACTAATTTTATGGCATAAAAGACAAAACTAACCTTGATAGTAGGTAGCTTGATGGTAGCCATCGGCACTTCAGGGTTGTTACACACGAGGCACGGCTCCGATTCGAGGTAGTAGCCGTCGAGCTCCACGAATGCTCCTAACGCGGCGTATAGTGCAGCATTGCCGTGAGACGACAGCAGAGAGTTTTGGTTACGCAGTAACTCTACGGCGCTACCGACGTATTTCTGGCGAAGAAATGTATTTATGTTGAGTGGGGAAATTAAAGCAATAGTGGGATAACTCACCAAAGGGAGACTTTGTACAAAAATCGATTGCTTGGGTGCCTCTGTCCCATTCGTGTTTCAACCGTGAAGCAGTTGTGTTTGCATAGCTGTGTTTCGGTTTGAAGGGTGGACATGGCGTGAATTTACTGGGTACAGAAGAATAACACCTGAATCCTCAGGAATAGCAACGCATGGGGGGTATTATGAGTGAAACAGTATACTCTGTTATATCCATGTTACTGCTCATGTCTATAGGCGACGGTTACCACTTTCCATCAGGTGGACCGTCAGCTTGTTTGCCATTCTAAGTTGTATAAAAAAAAAAAACTCTGATATTGTTTAACTTGCCAGGTTTGTATTACTTATCACATTTTGATGATTACTTTGTTTAATATGTTAGATATATTATAATTTTATTTATTAAGTAGAGGACGTTAACATAAGGTTTCTGGTTGCAATTGCTGACTTCAATTTAAGAGAATCTTTAGTATAAAGTAAAAGCCAAAACTATATGCTATAGAAATTATTTGAGATTTCTTTATTTCGTATGTAATAAGTAATAAAATAAGTAGTTTATTGAATTCCATGACAAATTACTATAATTAGATGCTGTCATTTTCAGACAAATTAAATGTATAATGTAATCTACCTCAGTATCAATGTCGGGAGTCTTCAGCGTAAAGTATCCGAGTAGGTCGACAAACTGTGCCGCCTTACGGCCGTACTGCGGTAACGTCGGCCAAATGCCCCACAGCAACGACACCAACGACGCCTGCTCCGGTTGCGGGGAATTGCTGTATGATAACAAGATATTTTATATGAGTACAACATAATGATTCAAATTTCACACCCACACAGATAGGTAAGGGATTCCTATTTTTGAAACATAAAATAAGAAAAATAAGAAATCTTCCTAAAGATTGGAATTGCAGCTAAATCACACTTCATTAATTTTATATGACAACATTTTATATGATTAAAGGTTGTGTCCCATAAAAAACCCAGATTCAAATGTGACAAAATCAATTATTTTAACTGAAATGATTTTAATAAAATTTCTATGAGAGCAATATATAAGTATAACCTTTCAGATAAAGAATCTTCCAAATCAGTTTAGAACTGGCAGTTATGAGTTAACAAACATAAAAAAATTACAGCCTACTTAAGTACCTCCTTCTTTTTGAAGTTGTTTGAAAAGATTAATTAAATTGTAAACATTACCATAAAATTACAAGAAATAAATATTAACTCCATAACTATATGGAGTTACTATAATATCAAAACCATTATAATCATAAATACAAGTAAAGAACTAAAAACAAACCTTTCCATTGTTAGAACTATAAGACTTAGTATATTGAGAGAGAAGAATATCTCTCTATCAATGACACCTATCGTTACAAATAAAAAAAAAATAGAACTATTAAAAAAATACGATGCCTACTTGTATATAGCCAGTAGAAGAGCGTGCGCTTGCCAACGAACGGCAGTCGAATTGGTCTCCAGTAAGAATGCCTTGACGAACATTTTGAGCTCATCTTGAGACACCTGAGAAGAAAAAAAGCTAGAGAATCACCTTTTAATCATTCGAGATATTTGTTTTTCTTTAAATTTCTATTCAACATACCTGTTTCAGTATCTGTTGCACGAGAACGGGAACCCTCTGTTCTTGGAATTTGGAGCCGTCAGATACAAACGCGTCGCTGTCTGCACTACGCTCGCGCTCCGACCAATCAGACGATGTCTACATATATACATTTCATAGAGTTATAAACAGGGCTTTGTATTTTATCCCGTTAGGAAAAAATAAACAATAAATATTTAGAACTTGTAGACAAATGTTAAATGACAGTGTAATAAAGAACAACTAAGCCCATTGTATGGGCCACGTCAATAAATAAAGGCCAATCAGCATTTTCAATTAATTTACTTTAGCAACTAAATAATATTAATTAATTAATTGATAATAATTAATTATTTTTTATTAAATTATTAATGAATAATTTAAACCACATATGCTTGTATACTGATATACCATCACCATATTAATAGTTATTAACAATTTTACATTTTTATTATTATCAGTTATCAATATTATCCTTTATCATTACATCATATCAACAGCAGCATTCAGGGTATATCAACCATACGTCATCTTTGATCCTTCGATCCGGATGCACACATAGATATTTAAAGGGCACCTAGTGCTACATGAGAAGAAAGATTACAATTTAAATTGAACGTTATTTGACGTGTCGCATACGTTCCAATTCGCTGACGTGGCATCTTGCGAATATCAACAGACCTTGGGCTCCGGGCGCGGCTGCGGCTGCTGCTGCTGGTGCTGGTGGTGGTGCGGCGCGCAGAGCGCGGCCTGCAGCAGCTGCAGCACGGTGGGCGCCACGTGCGGGTGCACGCGGCGCGCGATCGTCACCAGCCACGCGAGTGCCTCGCGCCGTTCCACCGCGCATGTGTGTTGCCAGTTGCCCGTGCGCGCACTCACTATCTCCGCGCATGCCTATACAGTATTCATTGTTATTTTTATGTCTAATTTAAAACTGAAAGTTGAGTAATTTTATTCATTGCTATACAAAAATAAGTAAAGTGATTCAATTTTTGAATTTCGTTTACACATAAATTGCAATAGCTAGTTACTAGTATAATAGATTTTTTAACAATGTACAAATAAATTATATGCTAAAAACCAATTACCTTTCCGCGTATAGTGTCTAGTGTTATTTTTATAGTAAGTTCGAATAATTTACATTATCCAATTATATATAAATGATTGGCCAATCGTTTCAGTTAATACCTTGAGATGGTCCATCAGCTGTACGAGTTTGTCGTAAGCAGGGTCGGTGGCGAGCAGGGCCCGCGCCGCGCTCAGGTGTGTGTCGAGCGCGTGAACGTCACGCAGTTGCCGGTAACGCTCGCGGGTACCGCACAGTAGTAACAGCAGCTTGCGAACTTGCTTCCTGTGGGATTACATTATTGTATATACCCTTAAGTTACGTTATACTAAGTTGATATACCATATATGTGTTACGAGAATTAAAAGAATGTTCTAAATCATTCCATTTTTTTTTTAGTTTACGCAAATTCTGGAGCAATTATGATTCTGTTTATTTCTTTTTTCGTAAAATTTAATCCCCATATGGGATTAAATTTATCACCATTCCAGTAGCTGTTTTTATTGCACAGAAAAATTCTGGTTAAAACTAACATGCTCGACAAAAACACGTTAAAGTCAGGTAGTTACTTTTTAAGTTAAAATCCTGTTTGTAAATTAATTAACACTTATAGATATAATCATGGTGAATAGTCTCTACAGTGATAATAGCATTAGTAATCTGGTATTTCAACCAAATGTATTTACTGATTTTTTCAAATGCGCGTTACATTAATAAACTATAATGGTAGGTAGATCGATTCAAATGTAACATTCTACATTGCCGGCAATAAAGCCATTTCAATATTTCGCTGACAAGTGATTTCAAAAGTTAGACGATTGAAAAGTCATAGTCGCCTCTATTACCTGAGTGGTGTCTGTTGATTCATCATGTACTCGCACAGCAGGGAGCGCCAGCGCAGATCGAAGTGCGCCGGATCACAATGCTTGTGTATTTGACACGGCAGTCGCAGCGCCATTTCCATTAATAGTTGTGGGTAGTTATCAAACACGTCTAGAGCATGACCTGGATAATATTAATAAAATGTATAAAATAAACTTATATTAAAGGCAAACGATAATGATAAAACAATTAATAAAACACCAATGAACTCACTTTTAACATATTCTTTGACAAAGAATGGCTGCATATCGGGCAAAGGCTGTGGTGGTTGTGGCTTCAAGAGTTGCTGGCCAGGACTAATGGTTGTAGTATCTATTACAATAATATATAAACTTCAGTAAAATGTAAGTTCGTATACGATAAAAAAAAAATACTCAAAGTATGTGTGTATGAATCTTTTTTTTTTTATTATGTTTTAACAAAAATAAATGTTAAAATTAAAATATTTTCTTATAATATGATATTTTAGTGAAGTTGGAAGGTTACCACAATGAAACACTATGTGTATGCGTGAAAAAGTGTGATCTCTTCTCGTCTTATAAAATCTATGTCTAATATTGCTTACATACATATTAATCCTATTTTTAAAACTTATGTTCATTTTTTTATCTAAAATACGTAATTTTTACGTTATATAATTTTTAAATATTTTTTTCTATTCAAATATTCTGAGACATCTAGATCTATAGGTGTCTCAGAATATTTAAAAAAATAAAAGCCCATATAACTATTAGATACCTTTTTTAATATAGTGAATAACTAACAGATATTTGATATAGTGCGAGAGCATGTAAAGAGGAAAAAGAGATGATATCACTAGATGTGTTCTCCTTTCATTGGGGATACCCTCTATGGTATGAGTGTGAGTGGTGCGAGTGTGTGTGCGTGCGTGCGTGCATGTACTCACTGGAGGTCTTCTCCTTCCAGTAGGGCAGCAGCGCCGACAGCACCTTGTAGCAGTGCCGCGGCGCGCCGGCCCGGACGAGCGCGGCGGCCGCCAGCCGCGACACGTGCGCCGCGCTCGCGCCGCCCTCCGCCCGCGCCGCGCCGCCGCCGCCGCTCGCGCCGCTCGACGCCGACGTCTTCCAGCGGGCCATCAGTACACCTGATGAGTGTTGTACATATTCTTTAGTTATAAAACTGAAGGACATCACAACTTTATGAACTTTAGTCTTCTGTTTAAATCTTACCAGAGGGAGACTTTGTACAAAAGTCGATTGCTTGGATACCTCTGTTCGTGTTTCAACCGGGAACAGTTGTGTTTGCATGGCTGTGTTTCGGTTTGAATGGTGGGATAAGGCGTGAATTTACTGGGTACAGAGGAATAACATCTGAGTCCTCAGGAATGGCAACGCATGGGGATATCATGGGCGAAACAGTATACTGTGTTATGTCCATGGTACTGCTCATGTCTATATGCGACGGTTACCACTTTCCATCAGGTGGGCCGTCAGCTTGTTTGCCATTCTAAGTTGTATAAAAAAAAAAATCAAAATAGTAAACTCTGTGAACATAATCTCGGGCCTTTGACGCATTGATTTTATAACTATATATTTAAGTTGACAATAAATGGCCATAAAATTATAGTTTAATTAAATTTTGTAATAGACTAAATTTATATCCAAAATGATCAAGATTACATCTCAAATTATTATAAGAAGCCCTCATAGATCACGCGAATTTTTTCATTATCTCCACACACTTTTTCTTAGCTCATTCATCCACATAAGCAGCAAAATACTACTTCAAAATAACTCACTGAGCAATCTCATAATGACGAGCTGCAACTCGCGCCGATTAGTTCTCTCGTGTATGGGCGGCGAGGTCTCCTCTTGCATGTCAAGCTCCGACACCAGAAGCTCCAAGCGCATGATCGCCAGCTGCAGTTCACGGCGGTCTGTACGCTCTTCGCTTGGAGCCGGCTCTTCGGCCTGAATGTCTAGTTCGTTCACGAGCAGTTCTAAAAGTCGTTCGAGGACCACACGGTCGCCTTCCACGCTCGAATCTAAATCTCCGGCCAGCATGAGGACTACCTTTTATAGAATTAAAACAATGAACATATATAACTGAAACTTATGTTAATTAAATACAGGTATGTATAGAGTATTAATGACTTTCTTTTATGGGTTCTTAGACTGTATTAAAATTTACAGCGGAAAGAGCAAAACACATTTAGAACAGTTAATATGCTGTTTAAAGATATTTTTTTATTACTAAAGAATTATAGAACGAATATCAGAACACAAAGCAGAAGTTTTGAATAATATGATAAATAAAGATGATAAAAAATACTCATGAAGCAGTTAAGTTACTAAAGAATGATTTTAACCAAATGACATATATATAACATATTTACACTTAAAAATGAATATTCACTCTAAAAATATATAACGTACTTGCACAAACGGTATGGCTCGAACTCCTGGCAATGACCGTAGAGATGGTAACGCATCCAATGCTGCCGACAGCAACGACAGCCTCAACGCGTGCAGTTTCCTCGTCTCCGTCTCCGCTTCGATCGCGCGAGACGTCGACGCAACGGGTTGCGACGACGTCGACGGGCCCGCTGTTGAATAACAACAAATACATATTTAAATCCAAATACAGTGAAGTCAAGAGCACTGATGAAGAATTGCGAATGAAAGTTAAAGATGTTATAAAGCAAAAAATATCACGCGTTATGTGGTGAGTGGTTTATAAATTTCTATTTGTCAATACTAGCCTGAAATAAAAACAGGCACATCGTTGGTAGGCATCATTCCTGCTGAGGGAGCGGACACGGTATCTCCTACAACATTTTATAGTGCATCAGAAAAGCCCCTACACTGTTTAGCATAACATATATGGGTATATCTGCCATTATAGGCCACTGAAAAAGTTTGTGTATTCAAATTTAAAAGGAAATTGGTTAATCACATTGTATCTTAAAAATATGAAAAAATATAAATAGAAGAGAATTAATTTAATAAGTTTTTTACGTCTAATAAGATAATAATAAAAAGAGGAACTCATTTGTTTCATTTTAGTTGTAATTTTATTTCCATACAATATGGAAATATATAAGTGTTAAAATAATGGATATTTAATTTTATTAATAAATTACACTGGACAAATTTATATAAATAAATTGGATAGATTACTGTATCCATCAAAACGACGTTTAAGTTGCATGTGACACTTTGTATTATAAAAATTGATTTCTGAATTCTGTGTCTGAACACAAAGAAAAAATATAAGAAAAGATATGTTAAATTCGAATACGCCTTAGATTAACTTTTTCGTTTAACAGTATACATTGACCGAGCACAGACTCTACGGTCATAGAACACTTCCTTTTCATATTATAATAGTTTAAATATTATATCACGAACATGACATGTACTTACCATATGCGCTACTACGTCCAGATACTCCACCAATACTGTCGGCGCCGGAACCGCCGCTCTCCGAACCCGCTGAGCCAGGTGGCTCCGCTGGTGAGGTACGTAATGTGCTTCCGTCCGTTGCTGCTGTACTGCCTTCATCATCCGAGCTAATGCAAGTAAAACATAATCATTAACATTTAAAATAAACTAATAATATAAACTATTTGACAATATATATAGCAGTAGGAATTAATCTAACAAAAAAATATATTATTAATTGTAGATAAAACAATTAGAAGGAAGTAAATAACATGTATGTCATAGATAATCTTTTGCGTTCTTGTTAGCGGTGCGTCAAATCCAAATGATTTCGTTGGTCGAATAATTAGTAATTACAAATTTTATTATTCAACTGCTAAATCACTGAAAACGAAGGGTAGGACCAAACTCGTGTATGACACAAAATTATTATTTACTTCCATGTGACGTCACTAATGCCATATTGCTCAAAAGTTGCGTTTCAGCTATCTATTTAAATTGTACTATTTTATTTGTTATTGTTTAAAGAAATACTTATGTGAATTAAAAATAACTACTTTTTGGGGACCTATAAACACAACTAAATAGTTGAGATTGTTTCCAGAAATCAATCAAATAGCCTATTATTTATTTAACAAAATCATGTTTAAAAATTATTTGTGCCGCCTTGAAACTAAAACAATAAAGTCAGATTATATATCCTTAGCAGGAATATTTATTTTAAATTTTTGGCGTAAATGCCATATTTTACTAGTGTGTAAAGGATTTAGCGATCTATTTACGGCAGTAAAATATAGTCTCTGCGCTGGTTAATTAAAACGCTTCCAACAATGTCTTCTTATTGGTGACAGAAAGTAAAGTCACCTTAAGCGAGGTACTTACTCCTCTTTAGAATTAAGATACTTATACTGCAACTGTAATCAAAGTATAAAAAAATGTTTCTCACCCTGGCGGTGAAGCAGTGACGTCACTGAAGCCAGGTGCTGGTGGCGGTGGTGCAGAGGGTGCAGGCGGGGCGCGGCGCGGTTGTTCTTGCAAGGACAATGCGATCGCCAGTTCTACCATTGTCTCGTCATCCGCATCCGGCGGGATATCCAATAAGGCTTCGAGTCCTGTCAAATAATTATTACGCTATTTGATCTTGCTCGTATTTAAAAAAAACCATGCTATCGTCTAAATAACAATAGAGCTATCAGAACCTCAGAGTAGAATATAAGTAACACTTATTGCAAATGTGTTTCAAGTCTGAAAGATAGGCAGAGAAATGAAATTACTGAATATTGATATACAACAGATAAGTCCTCTGAACAGTGCACGAAGGGTTCCAATTGTTATACTGTATTTTGTGATACAGAGGTCTTAGTACCATTGCCAGTCTCTCACAAAAGTTGATATGGAATTCGTAATAAGAATAAATTTGCAGATGGAATATGTAATTTGAGAATTTATTAATTTCTCTAATATAATTGTAAAAGTTTTTATGAGCGAAATAAATAAAAAAATTGTGTAATTGTTTATATCTATACAAGATGAGGGAGACTGTACAAAAGTCGATTGCTTAGGTACCTCTGTCCCATTCGTGTTTCTACCGTGAAGCAGTTAAGTTTGCATAGCTGTGTTTCGGTTTGAAGGGTGGGATATGGCGTGAATTTTCAGGGTACAGAGGAATTACACCTGAGTCCTCAGGAATGGCAACACGTGGGGGTATCATGGGCAAAACAGTATACTCTGTTATATCTATGGTACTACTCATGTCTACAGGTGACGGTTACCACTTTCTATCAGTTGGGCCGTCAGCTTATTTGCCATTCTAAGTTGTATAAAAAAAAAAAAGATGATTAGTAATTTCTATGAAGACGCTTTCAGTTAGCTCGTCGTATTAGTGTTTAATTTTAAAAAAATTGCTTCTCTCTTACGTATATAAAAAAGAACAGAGATTAACGAAGCTGGTAGTACTACATACCTCCATCTGGTGCGAGGAGCACCATAGGTTCGAGCGAATCATCGACTTCCATGAATTGATTCTCTTGCTGTTCATCACGATTTGTGCTTAGCTCAGACTCGGAGACCGCTGCCTCTGTGATGGAGCTGGTAGGTTGTGCTGTTGTTACCGATGAACCAGCGCCTTTAATATTTTTTTATTCTTAAACGTGGCTGATTTTGTTAACTGATTTAAAAAAGGAGTTGTATTTTTTTCATGTTTATTACCTCAAAACTCCATCATTTATAAACCGATATACAAAATTCTTTTTTTTTTTTTTTATTTGAAAGGATGTACTTTTAGATTGGTCCTATTCACATTTAATTAAAGCAAGTTTAGTAGTTTATTTTTAATTAAAAATAAATAGTTTTGCCATACTTAATTTTTTTTTGTGGAACAAAATGTACTAGAATGTATATAATGTAGATGTATATAAACATACAAGAAACTTTATGCAAACATTTTTTACCAGGTGTGTTTGGCGGCGACGGAATGTAAACACGTCGCCTCTTGACTCTTGGGCGCAGGACCCTCATCAGTGCTGCTTTTGCACCGAAACTAATACTCTGATCTTCAGCAAGTAACAGAGATAGATAGATTTGATTTCCAAATTCGATCTGTAAAGAAAATATATACATAATATTTATCTATTCTACCTAATGGCTACAATTAATAACATCCGTTCATCGTTCACGCGACAAGATAAAAGCATATTCAGTCATCAATAGTGTCAAAAAGTGAAAAATTGCTAGAATAATAATGGACTGAAAAGTGAAAAACAAAAAAATTGGTTCAGAAGGTAGAGGGATTTTCAAAAGATTAGCTTAACAAGTACTACCTTTTCATGTGTCCTACTGTAATGACTATTTTTTATACTTAATGACACATTTTTTAAAGTTTTCCTCATAACAATTTGAAACTGGTCACCATAGTAACAAATGTCGGTCTGATCGGCTTTCACATAATTCCTCCTAGAAATCATCGTAGTTATGGCGCAGGTGTGGTTACTATTCAACTTTCAACCCATTAATTAAAAAATATTATTTTCTTTTGTCAGAGTAAATGTACAGGTTTAAACTTTTTTTAATGGGTGATGATGGAATGATAACCTCTCCTGCGCTATCGGTATACACTGGCGGAACACCATTGAGTGATGATATATGAGGATGAAAAGACAGCTCAGTTAGCCCATAGTGATATATACATCTGGAATATAATACATAGTTTCCAGGGTAGGGGTATATAGCTAGCTAGCAATGGGACCCTTAGCCTCCATTAACAATCCCTTCCCCCTACAGGTGTACACTAGGTGCATACTAACACAGTCAGGGTCTGCGTGCAGCTGGAAGGCGTGCACGATGTCGGCGAGCGCGTGCAGCGTGTGCTCGGCGTGCCGCAGCCCGTACGAGAGAATGCCGGGCGGGCCGCCGGCCGTGCTGCGGACCGCCGCCAGCCGCCACAGCACGCTCGTCAGCAGCGCGCACACGTGCCACTCCTTCTCCTTGTCCTGCTGCTCTTCGCCTGTGTCCTTCCACAGGACTGACCAGTCGCCTGTTACAAACGATTATGTCATTTTAGAGTGTTATTACACTAACATATATGCAAGATGAGAACAGCCAAATCTGAAAGTACAAAAATGGCATAAACCCCACAAAATATGTCTTTGGTCAATTTTTATTTAGTATATATATATATATATATATATATATATATATATATATATATATATATATATATATATATATATATATATATATATATATATATATATATATTAGAAATAAACTGTATATATATATATATATATAGTTGACCATAAAATTTTTAAATAACTTTTTATTTTTTTAATGATTGTGTTTACGTTGTTGAAAACACACAAGAAACTCAATGGTCAGTTCTTTTAATAAAACAATATTTTGTTTAAATATACATCTCTCTCGTTTTTATTTATTATTTGAGATTATACTTCAGAGATTTTTTTTTATAAGCTTCATGCTACGCTATATTATTACACACAGAATGTGTTGTTTTAATATCATAAAAATCGATTTTTCGTTGGTTTTTTTTTTTTTATATCTAATGATGCATGCATAGAGAAATGTTAGTCATCTGGATAGGCCTTAAAAACAATGAGTATACGAACCATTAGCAGGTCTCTGTGGTGTTGGAGCGCTATATTTGACGAGATGCTGTGGACGTGCCACCGCCACACCGCGAGCCAGCAGTACAAGCCGGAAGTACGCCTCAGGGTCGATATTACGTGCGTCCGCTGTGTCGCGCAACTCTTGCAACGATGTACATACGTATTTGAGGATCGCTTGGTCCTGAGTGATATGAAAGTGCCTTTTTAATATGGACTTCAAAGTTATCCAAACATATGTAATGAGAATATATGAATTCTGTGCATGAACAGTGTATTAGGGGCATTATATAGTAACAACATCTAATCTTTACGTGAACATAAAAGAGTTCACAGTTAATGCGGTACATTGTCAGTTGTCTATTTTTTTTTTGTCGTAAAAAAATACATACTATTATAGTGTCAGACAGTGGCCTCTAAATTATAAGAGGAAGAATATAGAGATATTTCATTGACTGTTGCCATTACAGTAAACACAAGTCAGTTTATCTTAATAAAGACAATTTTTTCTGTCATTGGCCAGATTCAAACTCAAGTTCATGGAATTATTTATAAATCACACAGGAAGCCATTCGACCACAACACTAGAAAAATTTTGTATTAATATTTTTATTTGTACGCTATATTAGAGACGCAAAGTCATACCTTGTACTGGTGATAGTGTGTATGGTGCAGCGCGCGCAGCAAACACTGCGCACGAGCATGCAGATGAGCGCCAGCGGGAGCACACAGCAGGCGCCGCGCTGCGTCCGCGCCGCAATCCGCGATCTCTCCTGCCGCCGGCCCTGCAGCCCCCGTGGAGCTGACGGCTGTAGAACTGGTCGCGCCCGCCGCAGTCACGGCTGGGATAGCACCAGCGCTGAGTTCAAGCGCTTCTAGCGCTGCACACGCTAGTCGTTCCAAGGAACTTGGTTTCCAAGCACCACTGGTGCCTTCTGCCTCCTAGTGTTTACAGTTTAGTAAGTAAATAACGTAAACATGATAAAAAGTAGACTGTATAATTTGTAAGATGAAATAACTGTCGCAAGTTATAGATAGTTTGTGATAGCTATATTTACGTGTAGTCCTCTTACAAAATATAGCATTATATCAATGAATAAAACTTCAAAGACATCCAATTGATTAAATCACCCTAGACATATATACATACTTATTTTAAATAGCTTTGATACTGATAGAAATTTCAATTAATATATATATATATATATATATATATATATATATATATATATATTTAATAAATGATACAAGATTTTTTCTCTAATTAGGGAAAAAAAATCATTTTAGAACATAAAACAACAACTTCTACGTACTTGCGCCACTTTACTGGTTGAGGGGCATGCCGATGGGTCTTCGTTTTCTTCTGGCCATCCAAATTGTTCTTTGTTTTTACCATAAACCTGTAGATAAAAAAAAATTAAAGTATGTATATCAAATATAAAAATTAAAAGGTTGTTATATCGCGTGTATCAACATACCTTTACAGAATCTACCATGGTGACTCCGTCGGGGTCTTGCGATGTTCCAAAATTAATAATTAACTTCTTATCTGACTGCAAGGACTCCTCACGAGTCAGAGGTATGTCAAACCAGCGGTTGCGAACTACTATGGTTTGTATGGATCTTCCGTACACCTATAAAAGATCATGATTATTATTTCTCTAATGTATTAACAACAAAAAAAAAAATTAATAAAAAAATATAGTTACTTCAACATATGACGGAGTTCTTGCGACATCTTGGCTTCCAAGTAATACTCTTATTCCACAAATGACCATGTTGGGATCAGAGTTTATAACCTCCATCGAGAATCCACTCATCTTGGTTGAAACGACGTATAAACCTACAAGGCATGGATCGAAATAAATTTAAATTCTTTTATTATACTATAAAAAATATCTTTAGTGAAATGAAATACTTAATACCAGAGGGAGACTTTGTACAAAAGTCGATTGCTTGGGTACCTCTGTCCTATTCGTGTTTCTACCGTGAAGCAGTTGTGTTTGCATAGCTGTGTTTCGGTTTGAAGGGTGGGATATGGCGTGAATTTACTGGGTACGAAGGAATAACACCTGAGTCCTCAGGAATGGCAACGCATGGGGAGTATCATGGGCGAAATAGTATATTCTGTTATGTCCATGGTACTGCTCATGTCTATAGGTGACGATTACCACTTTCCATCAGGTGGGCCGTCAGCTTGTTTGCCATTCTAAGTTGTATAAAAAAAAACTTATAATACAAATATAAAAGAACATCGATATATAAAATATTAGATACCGGTAGTGTTAAGTCGATGTTTAATTTGTGCAGTATTGTAGACTTGCAGCAGGTCATTGCCACCAAACTCGATGTCAGACATAGCGACGCAGTGCTCGAAGAAGTCGATCGGGAACTGCGGCACTCCGCTCGCATTGGATTTTGTGACAACCTGAAAGATACATATATAATTTTCTTGTTAATAGTTTGTAGTAAGCTCTTATAATATGTAGAATTTAGCCATAATTTTATATCATCATCATCATTATATCAGCTGTTAACTGCCTACTGTTGATTATAGGCCTTCACTATAGAGGGGTTTGCCACTAGTTGCCACGTTTGACAGGTGGATGAGCAACCGCAGTTAGGCTTTGATGACGTTTTAAGAGGAACATTGCTGCCCATTCCTCGGCCACTAAGTTCTCCTAGTCACCTTCTACGACATCAACGGAGAAGAGGTGACTAATTCTATACTGGGACAACACGGCAAACATCAATCATTATATAAATTAGCTGTTAAATACGCTTTGAACGTGTGAACAAAAGATTATTTGTGACACTGAAATGTTCCAGTCTTGAAACCATACAACAATTTAAATTGTGTAAATTACGGGCACGAGACAGTAGTAAATAGTGTACGGTGCACAGCATACAGTGTACCTACGTCTCGTAGTCAGTAGCGGGTTTATATTTTTTTCAATGGGTGATAATAGAATGATAACCCCGTGCGCGCTATCGGTATACACTAGCGGGGCACCAGTGAAAAATGACAGGTGAGGATGAAGCAGGTCAGTTAGCCCATCGTGACGAATTCAACAAGAATTGTTCACGATGGCTTCCAGGGGGATCTATGTGGAAGTCGACCTAATAGGGTATATTGCTGGCAATGGGACTGTCAAACTCCATTGCTAACAATCCCTTTCCCCCAGCCAGAAGCGAGTAATATGTGCTGTGCGCAGCGCGCGGTGGACCTGCTGCGACTCACAGCCGGCAGTGAGTAGTGTGTAGTGCGTCGTGTAGCGCGCGGTATACCTGCTGCGCCTTGCCCTTGACGTGCGCGGCGTGTGATCGAGCGCGGCGGCGCGGGTGCGTGGGCTGGATGGCGGGCGCGAGCCAGTAGCCGGTGCGGTCGCCGCTGGCCGCATACATCCGCAGGCTGCCGTCCTCGCACAGCAGGATCAGCGTGCTTTTCTGCTCGCCGCCGCCGCCGCACCAGTGCCGCACTGCTACCATATCAGTTATCTTGGCCTTGGCCGGCACCACCTATAACAATGCATTTGTTATGATCCTCTTTCGAGAAAAAACACATTACGATTTCATGTTTTATAGTTTTATATTATCCTTTAAAAATGCAATTTCAGTTTTGAAAACGAAAAAATTGTGTAATCGACATACTAACAATCATCTAGGGTTTTATAATGTCAGGATGGTCGGCGACCCCCATCCATTAGCACTGCGAATATACGCCCCTCTACCTGTTAATAATATCTGTGTAAAAAAGAAGCAGTCTAACACTTTTAGCATGTCCCGAACAATACGACAATTTTTGTCTCTAGAGTTGTTGTACTGCGTTGTTTTATTTCTAGAGACAAAACAATGCGTTCCGAATATCTGGGCATTAGACAACTGGTTACAGTCACCTTGATCTCTTGCACATATATGTTGGTGGGAGTCAACATGAGCACGACAGGGTTGTTGGAGGCCTGCATGACAGCAGTGACGAGACCGGGGTGTCCGGCGACTTCGGCCCATTGGCACAACGACTGCACGCCGCCCTGTTTGCCGCCGCCGCGACCGCCTTCCTTCTGCGTTGCCGTCGATGATAGGGTTATCATTGCGGTGCCTATGCAAATAATGGTTACACCACTGAAATGTGACACTGACAAAATTATTAATCAGCTAAAAGTATACAAACTTGAGAGCAATTATTATACAATAAGTTAAAAAATGGACATTTGGAAGTTAGTAACACAAAATAAGTTTCATATTTAATAAATAATTTCACATGTAAACTGTCTTAAATGGATGCACTGATTTCCGAATGCCAAGAGTTTTCTGCTTCATAAGATTGTTAATAAAATATATGTCGGTATCATTCGTTTTATTTTGTTGTTTTAATTTCACATATTTTATTATCATTATTTATTACCTTTAACACTGTCCTCGACAGTACTGAGCGGAGCAAGGAAACTCTTTCCTTGAGCATATGAGAAGAACAGCATTTTAAGTGTGTGCGAGTAGTAAATGGACACTCCGCCACCTCCAACCAAACCAGCTACATCCTACAAATTAAATTATTTAATTAATTAACATGTTAATAATAAAGAGTACATAATTTAATCAAGAAGGGGGATTGTAATTTATTTCGTCTTTTATTTATTTATGTATTTGGAAAATTAACAGTTTTTTTTACAATAACAGTAAATATAAATTATAGTAAGAAACAGATAGATAGATAGTAACGGAGGCTACCTGATTCCTTGGAATATACCGAGTAAGTCAATCAATATCACTATCATATTTCACTATTAGTGAATTCAACTTGATGGGTCTATTGACCTGATTAAATCTTCATCTATCATCCCTCACTGGTATTTCGCCAGTGAAACCAGTAGCATAGTCAGGAGCGCTAATTAATTATTATCTATTAAAAATCATTATAGTCTATCAAAGTACCTGAATCTCAGGGTGCAACACTTCAAGTGTATTGGTGACATAGAAAGTACCAAGTGTGGCGCGGGATTCTTCGCTCATCGGCTGCCAGTAGATGTGGCCGGCTGAACTCATACACAGCATATGCATCACTCCATCTTGATTCACGAATGTAACGTCGCGAACCTGGAAGTTGCATAAATTATTTTGTTAATATTTTTTAAACTGACAGTAGAAATAAAAGCATTTGTTAATTTACTTGAAATATAAATAAATACATACAGAATAGTTAACTAGTGTTGCCCAAAATCGGTTTTGATCTTGTCTCGTATTTTTGAAACACCAAGACCAAGACTGACCGTGTAAAATTTGAGCAAGAACAAGACTAAGCCTGCGAAACATTTGTATCTTGCAATTAGGACTGAGTGTCGTTTCAGGGAGTATAGAAGTTCGGCGTATATGCTTAGGGACTCTATGAGACGCAAAAAAAAATTTAAATTTTTTTTTTTGAAAATTGGACTTATGCACATTACGATTGTTAATATTGAATTTAAAGATTAAGAATTATATTTGTTGCATATGCCAATCACAAACAAACACAAAATTCTTATCTTGTAGACTAAACTATAACAATAAAATTAATAGACTAAATGGATATGCTCACTTTTCCACTAGGGACCAGGAAGTGATGCATTGGATTATTCAAGTCTTTGCTGAGGTCGAATATCTTGACAAAATCGGATGTGACAAGCGCCAGCTGCGTTTGCGAGCCCGGCAGCCATATAGCTTTGATGACGTAGTTGTTCGCGTCCAATCCAGTATTCAGAACTAGATGATCTGCTACAGCGCCTGTAGTAAAAAAAAAACACTGTTCTTATCTTTTCTTAGATACCTATAAATGTGATGTTTCTATATATTTTGACTGTTGTAATGTATTTTGTATGGTGATTACTGGATTAATCCCTTCTCGCCAATTGAGAATTAACGATCATAATTTAAACCCTGAGAAAGAACTTACAGAGTAGTTGATTGCTAACTAATGCTTAAATTATATGACTATAGACAAAGCACGTTGTTGGGTCTGAACAAAGATTATTACTACCACAAGACAATAACATATGAAAAATACACACCACCACTGCTGAAAGTGAGTACGTGGCATTCTTTCAAGCCACACACAGCTAGCAGATCCTCATTCCACGGGTTGCCGCTCAGGCTGAGTACCGTAAATGGTATCGGCGCGGATGACAGTCGCGTCAAAGTGAGTTTGTGTTTAGACGAGTCGGCTTGTTTAAGCAAGCCCGACAGTTGGAGCACTGTAATTTTGCCTGTAAAAAATAGTTAATTTAAAATTAAGGTATTATACATATACAGGAACGTAGTACAGTGACCCTGTACCACGTTCCAGGGTCAGCAGTTCACTTGGCTCGTCACCTTATTAAATATATCAGAAAGTATCCTAAGTGTCTTAAATATCTTATAAAATACTTATCAATTTTAAATTGATGACACTACAGATTACATAAAATACCTTATAGATAATATATTTGGCATAGTATATAATAATACAGTTTTACAATTACAATTAATACTAGACATACCTTTTTCGTGTGAGACAGCGAGGTGCTGGCGGCGACCCTGCGGCGATGCGAGACAGCACATGGCGACGCGGCGCAGCTTGTGGGTCGACATCAGCTGACGAATTGTCTGGCCGTTTTCACCAGTATATGACATGCGAACATTTTCGAATGCACCTTCTTGTGAACCTAAATAAATATTATAGAAAATTTTAGAAGGTAATGTTTATTCCCAATTTTTTTTAAAAATTCATAATGCCATAGACTGCAATGATCTGATACAAACAAAAAACCTTAAGCGGAAAATTATATATATACATAGGCATCGCTCAAATAGTAAAATCCTGATCCATTTTAAATATAATAAATAAATAATTATAAATGAAGAAGAGAAAACAAAGCAATTAAATTTGAAGGCACATTTTATGTTTATTATTATAATTTTTTTTTTGGAAACCCTAACATTATATTTGGAAAAAGTAAATATTATAAACATTATATTTGAGACGTAATTGTTCACTATATTATATATAGTGCGTCTGTATACTTCACGTGTGTTATTCACCTGAAGCAAGCATTATTAAATTTTGTATATTGTGTGTATTGGTGAAAATCCAATAAGTAACTTCATTGTTGTTCATCTTTTAATTATTGTTCTATGTATATAAGTCTCGGTTTTGCTTTCACAAACAAACGTATATGGTGAAGGAGGTGTAAGGGTGGTCACAATTAAATGAAGCGTATACGTTGATGGAGTAGTAAGGGTGTTACGAACCGAGCGTGGGCAGCATGAGGTGGTCGGTGTGCGTGAACCGCTTCTCGCCGAGGTGCAGCTGCGCGAGCGCGCGCTGCGCGCGGGCGTGCGCGCCGGCGGGCGCGGCGCGCTGGCAGGCGGCGCGCACGGGCGCGCACAGCGCCGCCAGCAGCCGCCGCACGCGCGCCGCGCACGCCGCCCAGCCCGGGTACGACGCCAGGAACGAGCGGCACCCTGCGCACCACGCAATCATGTTACGGACGAAACAATAAAGAGTATCTAATTGTATATTCAATCATTTATCAGTATCCAATGTGAATATGTACAATAAAGATTTTACAATACAATACAATACACTCTATCTATCTAAGACGGTGTTCCACAAAAAAAAAAGCACACTGATTTCGATAATAGTCAAACCAGTTATTCTGATTTAAAAACTAAACTACGGAATCTATTTTAATATTTCTTTTTTATTTATGAAAATATATTCATTCAAAAAAAATTCCACATCAATTTATAAAAATTGACAGAATTATGAAACAATAAAATACAATTTAATTAATAACTTCCTACCTATTTTGAAGTCAGTAATTATACACAATAATAATTGATGTTTTTGACATAACACTTAGAACAGCTAACAAATCCTTTAGATAAAATAATAAAAAGTATATTTCTTATTTATACCTGGTGTGTATGATATGGAACAAACTTAAGAATGTTAGTAAGAGTAAATAAAAACCATGTTTTTATATACCTAAGATGATGTTTTAAATTTATATCAGATTTATTCATGCATTTAAGTTTAGGGTCGCTCTATTAGTTTCGTATTCGATAGCGGCCCCTCTTCATAACCATTACGGACAACACTCGAAAATAAATCGAACAACCCTGAAGTTAAATAAGTAAAACTGATATAAATAAATATAATGTGTGATTCACGATAGTTATTGTCAAATATTGATTATTTTAAAATCTGAATACACATTTCTTTTCAAAGTTTAAACAAAGTACAAAGAGCATTAGTGATCTAATTAAGGCAATAAAATTTACCCAGGTAGATAGGCAGTTTTAGGTAGATGTTTCAATCCTAACACAGTCTGGTACTAATTTCAAAATATGAACTAGACTTTGTGTACGTACCTTGTATGTTAGTAGCGAGAACTGGCCGCCTAGGCGGCGCGAGCAAAGCCGGTGGCGTGGGGCTGGAGGGGCGGCGGCGGAGCGAGGGCGCGGGGGGAGTCTCCTCTGCGCCTCCTGCCGCGCCACGGGCACCACCAAGGGTCACTGACCTCTTTACTAGCGCTTGGCAACTACAGAACATAACATAATGATAATTCCCTTTCATCTACAGTTTGTATCCAATGTACATACATAAAAAGAGGCCTATTTGAACTAAAGCATTTGGCATTCCATTGTTCTGGTTACCCAAATGGGAAACAGGTGTGATATGTACATTTATATTTTCTTAATAAAAATAAATATCTAAAACCATAATGGGGTTTATTTGAAGTAAAAAGCAATTGACAATTATGAAACATGTACATTTAAAAAATTGGGGCTTGTATCATAATATAATGATGATAAATTTCAAAAAATAGTAATTTCACACATCATAAAATGTGCAAGAAATGTTTCATAAATACATTACATAGAGAATATTTGAAATTAAAAACTCGGAGTTGTAAATACAAAATTAATAAGAGTTAAGTAAAAAATCCTAAAATAACTACTAACACTAGCACGAAAAGAATGATTTTCGATTGCAATTGATCAATCAGTATACCTAGAATCCGGTTTAGCTCCGCAGTCGCAGAAGAAGTTTCCAAACTTGGCGTATGAGACGTCGTGTCCGCGGTGGCAGACGCGCGCGCACACCGTGCACACACCGACCCCGTCCACCATCTTGCACGTGTGGCAGTGGTACCAGTGCTGGTTCATGAACTCGCGCTGCGTCATCGTGAACGTGCACAGCTTGTATTGCAACATTGCGTCTTCGTCCTACATGATTGCACAATATTATAATATAATATACGAATAATTAGTTAACAAATATAATGTTACTAGCTATCAAAGACAATAGAAAGTGTAGTAGACCATAGACAAAAATAAAAAAAAAGTAATGTAAATTGAAGACATAGTCCACCGGGGTATGGAGCGAACCTATCGTCGTCACTTAAATTAATTTGCTTTATTAAGTAATGGTATTTTCTATAATCTCAGACTTAGTAGGAAATTTAAAATAGACAAGAATATAAGTGCAATATTTATACGAAATTCAAAGTCATTTATTCATATTAAACATTTTAAGTCAGTAATGTTCAACCCTAACATCCATTTCAATACGAGAACTGTCAAGAAATTCACAAAATTACTACCAAAGTGCCGGAAAAAAGTGGTTCTTTTATATATTTGTATAAAAACCATCACAAAGCGTATTATGACTATAAAACTATATCACTATGATAAATATATAGCTTACAGAGTCATCAGCACTGGTGTCGTCATCGTCTTGTTGTTCGTCTGTGTAATCAAAGTCGAATCCGAGATCTGACGGAGACTCCCATGTGGGACTCACAGAGCGCCACGCTATAAAATAAACAAAAAAATGTATTATAACTTATATAGAATAAAAATTATATGTATTTTTGTACATGTAACACTTGTCACAAAAACAAGGTATTAGCTTACAATTAAAAGTTGTATCTCACAAAAAAACCAATTTCAATTGTGACTGAACCTATTATTTTGATTTAAAAAGTAAACTACTTAATCAGATTTTTTAAAATAATATATAGTAACGGGAATGTTAAATTAAAAATAATATATACCATGACGTTCAACAGTAGTATGCGTTTCACAAAAAACAAACTGACTCAGACTGCTGAACCAATTTCGATAAAATTTCAATCAAAAAATGAATCTGTAAGTATATCTTCTTAGATAAAAAAAAAAGAATTCCCCAAATCGGTTTACAACTGACGGAGTTATAAGGTAACAAACATAAAAAAAATCAATCAAATTAAGAACCTCCACCTTCTAGAAGTCGGTTGAAAAATATTTGTAATTATTAATATATATATTCTTTATTACACAAAAACATACAGTAACAACAATAAGTTAATAACAATGTTAGCAAAGGCGAATATATAGTCAACCTAACGCAGTTCATAGGAAGTAGTGAGTGGGCAGTAGTAGTGCAAGACAGAAATTTAAATAAATATTTACATAAATTATAAATAATTATATATATACACACATACATTCATATATACATACATACACATACACATATATATACATATACACATACACATACATATACACACATACATACACACGTTTACATATAAATATCAGATACAAGAGAACACAATGATGACAGTCTTCTAATCATTTTTATATTTAAATTAAATTGGAAAGATAAAATGATTTTAATCTTTTTTTGAAGGAACTGCTAGACGGGCTATTCTGAATGTTCACGGGAAGTTTATTCCAAAAAAATCAAATGAGTTACCCATAAAATGGGTTTTAAGAACCTGGACTGGTTCAGACAAAGACGTCTAGGTCTGGAAGGAGGAGGTAATAATTGGAACCGGGAACGAAGGTAGGAAAGAATTGGGATAATTAAGGATATTATATAATAGGACATGTGTCTCATGACGATGTCTGATACACAGGAGACTTTTGAGGGCCTACCATGAAATATTTCCCGAAATTTTGGAGCCGAATGAAACACAAATTTGATGTTAAAATTGTATAATACATACCTTTTAAAAATACTAAAAATGCTAAACTATTTACTGGGCTGATTTCGCTATGAACAAAAACAGGAAATTTAGTCCGAAAATTCGGAATTTCATTTCATGGTAGATCCCCAGGTCCTAAAGTCTATCATACTAATATAATGTAATTTTCAATTACTGGTTAAATACGGAGCATACTTGTAAGTCCACATTTACTCGCAAATCATATTACGGAGATTTCAAGTACAAAAACATACTACGGGAATAGTGTATTATATGATCAGAACTAAATAATTGAATATTTATTAATGATAGATGCAATACATACTCTCTGCTTACACTATAATCTGATATAAAGCTGTATATTATAATAATTTGATTCTATTGTAAGAAATGTATTTAGTTCTTACTATGCGGCTGCGCTGTGTTGATGGCGTGTAGAGCGTCGGCGACGTATGACAGCAACACGCAAGCCGATTCGATCTGCGGCGCCAAGTTCCCATCCACTTGTCCTTCCTCTAACTTCTCTAGAACTTCCGGACTACTCAAATTATCCACGCTGTAAAAAAATAAATGTCGGTGTAAGATAATTATTTTTGTTACTATAAGAAATGAGAATCAATTTGTGGCTAACGGCCTAGTTGATGGAATGTAGTACTAGTCATTTAAAGATAGTCCGAGTCGCTGATTTCATATAACACAGACATAGTCTGTGTTATACGATGACACCGTCTGAAAGAGTGGTTGGGAAAAAATTGTTTAATATACCACACAGAAATCCATCATACACCAAGGGAAGAGAGAGGGATAGTTAATCATGGGGATCAACGACTCCATTTCTAGCAATATATTTTAGGTCGCCTGGTCGACCTTCAAATGGTTCCTCTGAGAACCATCGTGGTTAATTTCTAATTTAAATTACTTCCGATTGGCTGGTTGTCTTACCGTCTTACTTATTTATCATTTTTTATTTGTTGCCCCGTCAGTGTATAATGATAGATAGAGCAGGTGGGATATATTTTTCCATTTTTATCTGATTAAAAAATACCACCTTAGATGGAACGGGATTGTTAGTAATGAAAAGGTTTGTCCTTATTGAACAAATCTTATTATACTCTGTCAAGTTGACTTCCACGCGTTTCTCCAATAGAACATTGTTATTTTTGGTAAATTCGCCACAATAGGTTAACGGATCTGACTCCATCTCCACTAATAACTGAATCAATACTCACTGGTGGTACCCTGACAAAGTTACTGTTAGCGCGGACTCATATTATCGGTTATCCCATACCAAAAATCCATCATACACCTTAATGTGAAGTGTAGACTTCCCCAAGCTTAAAAATAAAATGTAATTACTAAACATACCACGTGGCGAGCCAGGTGACGGCGGCGGGGAACAGCTGCGTGTGGTGGTGGCCCTGGTGCGCGTCGGCCAGGCGACACATCTCGCGCAGCAGCAGCGGCGAGCACGCGCTCTCGCCGCATACGCTTACCAGCGCTGCTAGCATGCGCTCGCTCACCTCGATTGTGCTGCAAACGCCACGGTTATCATTTAATAGCTACTCACTTCAAATTCACAAGGATAGATAGGTAGAAGATATCAATTTTTTAAATAAAATACAGTTCATGTTTTTCGCTGATAATGTAGTTTTCTGGAAACAAAGAGATTGTTAGCAACGCGGTCTTATTGACCAATTTCTAGTAATATATTTCATCAGCTCAACCTCCACACCATTCTCCTCAGAAACTGTTATGGTTAATTCTTGTTGAATTACCTATGGTGGGCCAATTGACCTACATCCATCCTTATGTATAATCTCTCATTTATGTCCCGTTAACGTATACCCACAGCTCAAGCATAGATAACAAATAAAAAAATAAATCTCTCCTCTTTATTTGACGAACGAGAAAAGAAAAAATATCCCATGAGGTATTTACATGTAAAGATAACAGAAAAAATTGAGTCAATCTGAAATTTCTCATGTCTGAGTTAATACCTCTAGACGGTATATTTTTCTGTGTATGAGTTCTATTTTTTAAGATGTGAAAAAACGACTACTGTAATTTAAACAGTATTTAGTAGAAATTTGTGTTTTTCTTTGTATAAAAAAGGCAGAACTTTGAAAAAAACCAAGTGTAGTTTTTGATCATGAATTTTCTGATAGGAACTGCAACTAATTGTTTTTATCCAAACATTACAATGTTGCGTTGTATATGCGTGTTTTAAAATTTTTAATATCACTTTCGTTTCCTACAAATCTATAGAAAGAAAACATTAATATTAACATACCAGTGTAAAACGATATGTTTGCAGAGCGCTGATAAAAGCGCTGCATTGTCATTAGCTGCATCAGCGACGATAGGCGCCGGAGCTGTTTCTACTGAACCAGCTGTCACCGCTGCACTGTCTTTGCTTCCGTCAGACCAACTATTTTCTGTTTGAAAAAAAATTATACAATCAATAAAGATTACAAGTGTGAAGAAGAATAAGAGAATATTGCAAGAAGAGAAAGGACAGTTATAAGAAAATTTACAAACCCGAATTTCCTGGTTGTTGCGTTGTCTCAGATTGTGCTCTGGGTGCTGGTGACCTAAATACAGAATATACAAATTTACAAAAATACTTTACGTCTAGAGTCCTATAGCCATAGAATATATAAATAATATTTTTATATTTCATACATACACAATTTTCGTGTATTAAATTACCTGTCAATCATCGCCTATTCTGCTAAATTAATATTGACTAGAAGATATCTCTTTCAGATATAAGCCTATCTTAGCTAACAAGATTAGCTAGACAAGGTTATACCATGGCTTTTTTTACAAGTTCAATAAAGCATACAGATGATAGACATTCAGATATTTGCTATTAGGCTGGTATATCCAGGTGTACTAAGTCTCAAGAATAATGAGTATAAAAAAAATGGCGATAAAAAAAAATGAAACATACGGTGTATCAAACACTGGCAAATCAGAGTCGTTCCGCTGCGCGGCGGCCGCGGCGGAGCCGGCGTTGTTTCGCTGCGTACCGTCGCTTTCCGTGCGGAAAACTGTGCGGAGTGCGTTTCTAAGCGCGATCGACACAGGATTGTCCCCTTCGGGCGCAGACGATGTCGGCGTTGGCAGCTCCGTCTCGGTCGGCGTGCCGTTAGCAGTTCCAGTAGCACCATTTGTTGTAGCTATACGACAAAAGTACATACAAATCAACCACTGGTTAAAAATCCCCCTAGACATGGAAAAACTGGTAAATAAATTTACGGATAAATATTTGCTATGTCATTCATAAGACTGAAACATAGCAACTCATTTATTGTTACTTCACTTTAGAAAAATGTAGTATAAATTAATACTAGCTTTTATTCGCGACTTCGGCCGTGTAACGAAGATATGCTCACTGACCGAGATAAAAAGTAGCCCATAATCTTCTTCATATAATAAATGTATACCAAATTTTATAGTAACTGGTTAATCTGTTAAGGTGCTAACAGGTATAAAATAAACAAACTCACTTCCATATTTAAAATAATACTAAGGATACAAACAAGTTACAAAATACTACCATCCTAACATATTTACATTGACTGAATTAAAACAAAATTATCATAAATTGTCAATGCTCACCAGGTGCTCCCAAGCAGATATGCGCCAACAAACTGGAAAGCTTTTGCTGGTCAGCAACACCTATGAACTTGCAAACTGAGATGCAAAGAGCACTTCCCAATTCGGAAGTCTCGCAACCATTAAATATCTTGATGAACAATCTAAAACAAAATTACATTACTGGGTTATTTACTCTTACATCGAGAACTTGGCAATTAAATTATTCAAGTTTAAGGACATAATAATAAGAGACTATTCATAAAAATGTTAAACCAATTATGAAAATATTTAAGTTATCGAAGTATTTTGTCTTATTCTTTTGCGTCAATTTTGAAATTTGAAAGACAGTGAAAAATAAACACTCCAATTGTTAAAATAGATACTCTTTATTGTTTCCCCCGTAAGATTGCAATAGTAAACTTATTATAAATACAAACAATTACAAGAAAAAAAATACACTGAGAAAATAATGGGCGGTATTATCGCTAAGAGCAACCTCTTTACAACCTTTGGATGGAGAAGAGTAATTATAAACAGTTTGAGTAGAGGCACGAAAGTCTGTTTGTTATTTTAAATATTATAAAATAGGTTTGACAAATTGTTAAAAGAATGTTTTAGTTTTCAAAATATGTACATTATCTTACTTATCTACATAGATTTTATATAGTTAAACATTAAAATCCCTTTATATAATGTATCATTTATGAAAATATAATAACTAATATTATACTTACTTGATAACTTTTTCAGTGTACGGGTTGCGTGCGTTTGGCGCCGATAGTAGTATCTTGCCGAGAGAATATGCAGAATTGTCTGTAAAAACAGCCTCGTAGGCCAGTCGGCCTGGTTGTCTGTCTAGGATTTTCTCCCAGTACTTTACCTGTTTGTAAACAAGTAAGAATTAGTATCTGTTTATATGTAAAATTTATAATAGCAAGAGTTATGTCAAATTATGTCAAACCATCCAATTCATAGGCCATTGTTATACTTTTAATAGTTAAATACCATTATGAGATATTCATAATTTTTTATATAATAATATATAAGATTTTAAAGTTCTTTCCGCAACTGCAGTGTCCCCTCCCCCCTTCCTTTCCCACATAAGTTCCTTATTCCTCTCATTTACCAATTTCCTTTACGCATTTCCAACGTTCCTTTACCACCAACAAATGCATTTCCCAAGGGGATTGACATCAGGCAGACAGCCAGTCGTAAAACTAAAAGCTAAATCTTTTTGTAATATGGATAAAAACATATTACGCCGATCCGAAATAATAATTGGGTTAAAAGTAGGAAGATGATTAATATGTAAGATAATAAATATTATTTTCATGGTGCATATATTTATTTCTTACCATATGCCTCAATGTTTTCTCGGTAGACGGCTGCAAATGGTCCACAAGCACTGTGTATGTCGTCTTTAGGATGTGCTCATGGATCAACTGTTCCGATTTCTGTGGCACCGGCACCAGTGTGTTCAGAGTTGACGTTAAAGGCTCCGACATAAACTCCAGTCTACCGTCCGTCTGTTGAAATACAAAAAAATACCTTAGAATAATATCTTCTTTAAATAAAATTCTAAAATAATATTGAATTATTTAATTCAAGGGAAACTTTGTGCAAGTCGTTTGCTTGGGTACCTCTATACTTCATTTGTGTTTTTGCCATAAATCAGTTGTGTTTGCATGGCTGTGGTTTCCGGTTTAAATTACAGGGTACAGAGGCATAACATTTTAATACAAAAAAATGGCAGCACATGAAGGGAGAACGAACACACCGCTCATGTCTATAGGCAACAATTTCCACTTTCCGTCACATGGACTGTCAACTTGTTTGCCATTTATAGTTTTATAAAAAAAATAGTGTAAAAAAGTTGCTTCAATTAAAAATTTCCCTGGTTCTCCGCTTGCTTTTTCTAAATATCATAATAGATTTTGATACAAGTTTCACCGTTATTGGGAAGGTTTGTGTATAATCAGCAATCATACAAAGCATGAGTGTGCCACTAGTAGAATATACGTCCAAATACCTATTATTATAATTTATCCTATTAATAATACATTTCTGGGAATGGGTCTATCCTTATTAGCGGAGGAGACTAGCTTATAATTGTCACATTCGCTACACAGATTTGTATCGGATATAACATCATTGTTTTTGAATAATAAAACTAATATCTTACCAGTGCGGGCACTACTAAGTCGAGAGTCTTCTTTGTAAGATCAGGGTTGTCGGCCAACTTAGAAGCGCCAATGTCGAGTAGCTTCGCGGCGGAGTACGCGAGCATCATCAGCGAGGGACCGATCGAGTACTTCGTGTTCGCACTTATAAGTTCGCAGTGTGAAGACACCAAGTTCAGTACTGCGCTCTCTGATGGTATGATATGTGATGCGTAGAATGCCTAAGAAAAAAGATAGATTATTCTTTACTGTTTCCTCTAAAGGTTTAAAGTAAAATACAGTTTAATATATCATAAATAGGAATATTTGCATGTTTGTAGAAGAAGGCGAGACATATCAAGAGTTCCAGGAACCGCTTATACGTTTGAGATGTGTTATAAAAGTAAATTAATAAAGGTAGGATGTAAAAAGAATAAGTCTTGAGCACTCAGATAGCATGAATATATGTAATTATGTATACAACAATAGTAACACATGAGCAACAACAAGAAGCAGAGTAACACATACAAATAAGTTTAACATACAGATATTTGTTTCATACATATAAAGCCACTAATTGACACATTTTATATAATACAGCCTATAGTAACATCACATAATTGGAGTATTTTTTAAATTTTATTTTGTATATAATATCACTGAGAGAGTGTATATATGCATTGCAGGGAGTCTCATGAGTGAGTCAGGGAGTCTGTTCCTTATGGCAGTCTATGGGGTAGGCCTATACCCAGCAGTTGACAGATAATGGCTGAAATAATAATGATGATGATGATATAATATCACAATCTTTGTGTAAAAAAATATATAACACATTTACTTTTATGTGGCTTAGAATTGGAGTGCCTGTATCACCTATCTCCATGTTATTTCTATAGAGCTAATTGTGTCAAAACATAATTTAGGTCTTACCAAGTTGATGCAGGCTAACGGCGGCGGGGAAGCGAGACGGTCGAGCGCTGCAGCCGCAGGCGCTGGCAGATTAGCACGCAGCCAAGTGCCCAACGCCGGCAGTGAACCACCTGCAGCCGCCGCCGAACCCATCACCTGCGGTACGCACAAGCAATTAGAATGTGAAATTTCATAAGAAATGCAAAATAATAAACGCATCTGCTACTTTAGTTCATATAAACCGCTACAAAGAATAATAAGTGATAAATCACAGATTAATGCTGCATTATCACTAATATGATATAACAGTTAATTGAGTGTTTATGATGGCCGATTGGGTTGTATAAACAGAGCAAATAGAATCTAGCACGTTAATCATAAAATCCATAATTCATTTTTATTGTAAACAGTAGAAAGTGTGATATTATGTCATTATGAGTATAATCACTATTTTTACATTTCACATGTGAAATAATTGTAAATAATAACAAATAATTCCACTAGGTGGATAATGTATAAAAAGTAACAATTATTTCAATGTCGAACCTGTAGCCGCGCGGCGCGTACTGCCGCGTCTGCAGCACTCGTACCGACTTCCACGCTCCCCGCACTCCCCGAGCCGCTCCACGACTCCATCACGCCTTCCAGTTCCATTTGTGCGCTCACGCTGTGTAGTCATGGGAAAAGATAGGAAGGGAGATATTTGAAACGTGAATTTACTGAGTACAGAGGAATAACACCTGAGACCTCAGGAATGGCAACGCATGGGGGGTATCATGGGCGAAACAGTATACTCTGTTATGTCCATGGTACTGCTAATGTCTATAGGCGACGGTTACGACTTTCTATCAGGTGGGCCGTCAGCTTGTTTGGCATTCTAAGTTATATTAAAAAAAAAAAGTGATTAAAATTAATTGTATTATAGGGGAGTTAATATAGAAGAAAATAATTTCAAGTTAATCAAAATGTACTACATACTATAAAACTGATAAGTGCTTGGTATGAATAGCCCCAAACCAAATTAACTAGTCGCTAGCACTGCAGAACCGAAACTCGTCAATTTTAGTTGTTGCAACTAATCTCCTCTATATCAAGTCTCCTAAATCATCCTTAATCTTAATAATAATGATAGATCACTTATTTATTGTATTCTAAGCTTTATTTCAAATACTTTGCCAATTTTTTTTTTCATCTAGATCATTACTACATTAAAATTCACAAACTATTAAAGACTAAACTATTAAAGACCATTCCACCAATCATTCTTGTCTATCCATTATTTGTTCTGTATTTTCCTATTGAGTGATTACAATATAAATAAACTTCGCAACTTCCAAGACGCATTAGGCAGCTTTGTTTTTTTTTTTATATAACTTAGAATGGCAAACAAGCTGATGACCCACCTGTTGGAAAGTGGTAACTGTCGCCTATAGACATGAGCAGTACCATGGATATAATAGAGTATACTGTTTCGCCCATGATACCCCCCATGCGTTGCCATTCCTAAGAACTCGGGTGTAATTCCTCTGTATCCTGTAAATTCAAGGCAATACCCCACCCTTCAAACCGAAACACAGCCATGTAAACACAACTGCTTTACGGTTGAAACACGAATGGTACAGAAGTATCCAAGCAAACGAATTTGGACAAAGTCTCCTTCTGGTTAGGGTTTCTTTTTGTACAGAATTACGAACACAAAAAAAAAACATGACATAGTTCAGGATGGTGCTATAATGTACAAATGTTATATAATTGTAAACATACCGACAACAGTCGAAAATAGTCTCCAGTAATTCAAGTAGGTCGGGCATGAACTGATGCGCCTCTGTCACCGACGCCGAGTCAGTGAGGCACACTTTGAGTCTCACTAACGCCGAATCGCACGAAATAACATCTAACAGAGACGGCAAACCGGTCGCTGCAAAACAAATGTTATAATATATAAATATCATAAAATTTCTACTAATATTGTATGTAAACTCTCATAAAGATGTTAAGGTAATTGGTTTAGTAATAATATAGCTATATTATTTTTTTACTTACGCAAGATGTTTTGTTTCAGGTGTTTTATTGTTTCTGATGCAAGCCACGCCGTGTACTTGATGTTATCGCAAGATGCGCTCACTCCAGACAGCAAATTTTCTGCATACTGTAAATACACAAATTAATAAGGAAACATGAAAGAAAAAAAGTGTCCTAGGTCTTCTAAACTTCTTAGCACACAATCTATTCAAATAATATTGCAAATTATAAGTATTTACCTTTGGCTTTTTTTTAATGCCATGTTTGATGTACAATATTTCCATTATAATGCTCATGTATAGACGACTGTTACTATTTTCATTAGGTGGGCCATCAGCTTGTTTATTATTCTAAGTTGAAAAAAGAAACCTAATCATATTGAACACAATGCTACCTTTTTATATGCAGCTATAAATTTTTTTTTTCAAACTTAACCTTCTAGATAAATGGTAAAAAAATCAGTTTGTAAATATGTTTAAGCATGAATATGTATAATAGAGAACGAGAAGGTAATAAACGTTCATTACTTCATGTTTTTTTTTCCTTGCATGGGATTGGATATTTTATACTTGTTTGAGATGAGTTTCTTTTGAGAAAACAGAAAGGTCCTATGAATTTTAAATACAATATATCTAAAATCAAACCATATTTGAAAGTACATAAGGTTCAATTCTACTTACATGTGTGTACATGCCCTGTTTAACAAGGGCATCCTTGAGCCAGGGGTTGAAAACCTTCTTGTTATCAGCTCGTGGCGCCCATACAACTGCGTATAGCGGAAGCAGCGACGTGAGCTCAGCAGACGTGCCCGTTTGGAGCTTGTCCATATGCGGGGTCGCCGGCGGCATGCTTATTACAAGCCTAGAAAATAATTACACAGTTTACTAGAAGAATTTCTATAAGTTGTAATGTGTAATGGTGTAACAATATTTTAGTTTTAATTTTTATTTCCTATATCCATCTGTACAATACCTTACATAGTATAGTAATAATAATAGTTTATAGCTTTCGTCTTTAGCTTATTTCCTATTTAAAGTTGCATAAAAAATTATGAGTGTTCCATACTACATACATTGTTACTTTACAGCTATAAAGTTACATTAGTTTTTGCTTTACTTATCTATAAAAGTAACTTTTACACCCAAATTTCAATATATATATATATATATATATATATATATATATATATACTATATTAACATCCAGGACACAAATTTAGAATAGAAAAACAGACTCAACTGACCTCCAAGCGGTTTGGAAGCAATAGTGAGCGGCCGCCAGCGCTGCAGGCGAGTTATGGTACTGCTGGTTGTCGCACACACACGCCGAGTTGAGTAGCGCGAGTAACGCGTCCAACAGCAGTGGGTACTTGAGCTTGTGGGGCGTGCCCAGCACGAAGTTGCATGCTAGACCATCGAACTTTGGGTTTTCCTATTGCAAATATTTCACTATTTAAATTAATAGCTATGAAAATATTTATCATAATCTATACAAATACAAAAACAAATGAATTGTCGAATGTATGTACGTATATCACTTTAAAGCGGCTGCAATTATTTGGTTTATTCTTTTTCGTTGTATTTGTAATGTCCAGGGCAAGGTTTGTATAAAAGAAAATGTTTGAAAAATAGCATGGAAAAGAGAAAAAATTGCATTAAAAAATTTCCACAGAAAAAAGTGTGTGAAACCAAAGACCTTTTAACCTGTGTGAAACAGGAAAGGTCAGCTGCCGCTCCTGCTTCAGTAAAAGTGGCACAGTAAAAAAAAATAAACAAATATCTGAGAGCACAATCTAGAAAACTTAGATAAGGGGCAACATCGAAATATTTGTTCTTTCAGTGGATAAACAAACAGTGGCAACTTACAGTATGTCACTAGAACTACATAATAATATACATCTGTAAATGCTAAATACATAATAGAACAATAAATACCTGATTATTAATATCGGCACTGGTCAATGCATAGAACTTAGGTCTCATCGAAGTTTCGTCTTGTGAGAGACGCCTGTAAGCTTGTTCAATATAGGGTACATCGCAGTAGATGCGCGATTTTAGGAGACCATTATCAGTAGTCGTTTTAGCGCCGTTCGTAGCGGACTCGGAGGATGGCTGTGCGAGTCCTGGAGCTATGACAAGGTTCCATTCGATCTGTAATACAATGGAAATTAGAACTCTGTAACACTAAAGATGATAATATGATATATACGAGAATATATAAAAGTTACCTGCTGTAGTAACGTTTGTGGAGCGTCATAGAGATGTCTCATTAGATATTCTAATAGAAGCATGAGTCTAGTGGTTAGCATGAGCTGGTGAGGAGCGAGATTCATGGCTCGTTTCCTGTCGCTTATCGCCAGAGTTTCCACTACCTAATAACAAACAATTTAAATGTCCATTATATTACCCTTAGTATTTTTCTAAATATCCAACTTCAATAATGATATACCTAATATGAGAACAACATAAGGTAAACCAAGGTTATTTGTAATTAAAATTGGTTATTAACTTTCAAAAATATACCATATAGTAATATAAAAAACAATACATTAGGATTTAAATTTTTCTCAGAGAAAAAGAGGTGGTATAAGTGATACATTAAACAAATACAAACCTTAATAATGGCGTTGGATGTCATCAGCAAAACTGATTTTTTTTGCATGAGGGTCAGAGAATGAAACAAATACACTAGCAACTGAGCGTGCTCCACATTTAAATCTGTAACAACAGACAAACATTTACTAATGATATTGATATGTATACTAAAAGTCTTATAATTTCAACTCTCAATAAGAATTATATAGCTTATAATATAAATATAAGCTTCTGCTCTTCTTTATTATGAGAGGCAAAGCGCGGAAAATAAGTCCTTCTCACATTTATATTCACATTCAACCCTTTATTATATAAGCCACCCACCAAACATCTCTGTTTGACCCATGATTAACTACTAGAAAACACCTTTAGGTGTTATGTCTGCCATGTGTATATTTGCTATGTAATTATAATCGATTATATAGTATTTTCGATTATCCAACCTATGCATATATATTATATAATTTGTGGTCCAATCGAATAATTATTGTTATAATAAACGATTATCTGGCAACACTAAAATAAAGTAGTATACCTTCATAATCGTGATCTTGCGAGGGCTGCCCTTGCAGCGCGCACTCTTGTAACGTGTTTACGATCTTATGCCACATGGCGAGGATACTGTTCTCGCGTTCGGCAGCCGACTTGCTCAGTACCATACCTCCGAGCAGCTTCACTACGCGGGGACCAACCTATTTACAAAAGATTCAAAATAATTATAAGTAATTTTGTATTATTTTTTCTTATTATGTTTGTTTGATTGTAATGGATAAACTCAAAACTACTCAAACGTTTACAAAAATTAATCATAACTAACATACAATGTTACAGTGAATAACTATAAAATATATAAAAATAAGAACAGGCTATATATAATTAAAAAAAAAAATTACAGATCCCAATGATCATTTCAATAATGTAACTCAAGGTATCAAAAATTTGCCTATTAACCCTCTGACCGGGCATCTGCGACATCCGCATGCAGTATCTACTAGTTTAATTTTACGCATCTCGCGATATCCGCGTGCAGTATATACTAGTTTAAATTTACGCATCCCGCAATTACGACGTGCTCGCATATTCTATGTTTATTTACGTTGTTATACCGCGATTTTTGTTTTGGTAGACTGATATGGTTTCTCAAAATCTTGCTAGATAGCTAAATACTTGCACTGGTATTTGTTGTCAAGGCGATGTGCGAAAATAAAGCGGAACAAAATACGCAATCAGAGGTTAAAGCTAATATAAAAAAACTAATCTATCTATCTCTGCAATGTCGACACGGATCGGTAGTAAGTAGATAAATTCAAAGTAGAATGACTAGTATAATACAACGATGTATTATAAATGAATGGAACAATAAGCATGCATAGAAGAGTTGAATACGCTAGTGACCTGTAGCGGGGTGATGTTGGTGCGGTCGGGCCCGGCGGTGGCGGCGGCTGCGATCAGCTGGTGGTGCAGCGCGGGCTGCAGCGCGGCGAAGGCGGGCGCGCCCGTGAGGTTGTGCAGGTAGCGCACCAGCGCCGAGCTGAACGACGCGTACAGCGCGCCCAGCCGCGCGCCGAAGCACGTCGATATCGTGCCTGAAACATATTTTTTTATGCAACTTAGAATGTCAAACAAACTGAGGGCCCACCCTATGGAAAATGGTAACCATCACTAATAAAGAATGAATAAATGAATGGTTTATTTTCTCTTCACAAAAGATAGTATAAAGTGACAACGTGAGGTACAATTAGATATGTAAGACCAATTTTGTGAGAGACTGGTGCTTGCAGTAGGTTATGAAGAACCTGTGTTACATATCACCAGAACAGTACTATGGACATTTTTAAGATAGATAAATAATTTATTTACATTACATACAGCACACAAATTACAATAAAAAAACATACACATAATACACAGTATAAGAGATAAAAGAATGAAAATAAAAAAGCAACAAAACAAAAAAAAAAAAAACAAAACATATAAACTAACATAAAAAGAAATAAAAATATAATGGCAACACTGTCAACTCTATCGGTATTCACTGGCGTGGTGCTCGTGAGTGGTAATCGGTGAGCATACATACAAAGTAGTTGAAACACCGTGATGAAGTCACTGAGAATTAACCTTATTACTATCAAAATTCTTCCCCAGTCTTAACATATTTACTACTGCAGGTTTACAAATTGCATATCCATTATGTACTTGTGTATATTAGTAATTGACTAAACTAGAGAAAGGTCAGTGTTGCGCTGCTACTGTTATCATATAAGTCTATTCTGAGTCTGTACTGTCTCATCAATACTGCCTTAAAAATTCCTGATTACCTGTATCAGTGCGTGCCGTCTCTCGATCTAGATCTTTGGCTAACGCAGCGAGAAGCGCTTGGTGTGCGTCGTGGAGTTGCAGTGCCGATTGTCCCAGTCGTTCCGAGCCTTCACTTATGATCTCGTCCGTTAAGAGGATGAATACTTCTGTCGCTAGTGTGATGTACTGTATGAAAATTTGCCACGAATAAAACAGTTGTTTTAGTAAAAACTTTAATTAATTATAATTATTCTGAATGCAAAAACATTCAATGCTCGAGTTACACAGTTTATTCTGTGGTGATTTAATCTCTAAGACCAGATTTAACCCAAATTCGATCTGCTAAGTAGAAATACTTCGAGATTGATTGTGGATGGAACAGAACTAGACTGTACAAGCTGTATGAACTACGAATTTAAGAGCGTTCATAACAAAGTATGGTAATGTCGCAATTATTTTCAGTGACAGCTCGAAAAATACACATTTTAGTTTGAAGCCAGAACTTACTTTTTAAATAATCAGTCAGAAATGTTGAAAATTCCACAATAATTTTTGAAAATGACAGATAATTGCAACATTGTCACACTTTGTGAACCCAAAAATTACGAATACCCTTATGTGTAGTATCTGCACGCATACTGACCGAGTAGGGTTCGGCCTTGTCAGGCACGATGGCCTGTTGCGAGCGTGCAGGCGTGTCGCAGGCGTCGTTTGCGTCGTTGCCCCCGCGAGCGGCTGTACTGCCCTCTGTAGCCTCAGGCGCCACCAGAGTCGACTCGAACCACAGTCCGAACAAGGGTTCGCTGTCTTCTAGGGACAATTTAACACACTTAATACTGCTAATTATGGGTTAAAAATAAAATTCTAGTTGGCATTTACGTTTATATGTAAATTTAGCATTTCTTTGTGGTAATATTTAAACATTAAACGGTGCATATCCTTATAGACATTGGTTTGTCACTTAAAAACTACTGATGTCCATTGATTAGTTAGAAATATAAGGTTAAAGAAAGAGAATATTTTATATTAAATATATATAATATATGAGATTAATTTTAGGTGAACAAAGTAATAAATAAAGGAATTACACACCATCATCAGTCTCAGAGTCTTCAGAGCACATTATCATATCTTGGAAGTAAACAGTTGAATCTGACCGGTCAGGGTCGGCGTCCTGGTGCTGCTTTTGTACCACCGCGCGTTTCAAATTCGTAGCCTTACGGTAGCAGACCACACCTAGTGCCACCAATAACTGGCAAATATAACAAAAATATTATACACAATACTTAATTACTTTAATATAATCTGATTACAATAATATGTAAATCCACATAAAATATCTATACATAGAAACAGTAGCTAATGTTTATTACAAGGTACCGTGTCAGTATATACCTGTGGGTCAACTTTTGAATCTCACACCAACATCAATCCAATCTATTGCCAATAACAATTTTATATTTGTTAGTAATGCAGACTACCAGTCCTATTGCTAGCAATATGCCTTGTCAGGTCGACCTCTATGTGGTTCCCCCTGGAAACCAGCGTGCTGAATTCCAGATGTATTCATCACGATGGGCTAACTGATCTGATTTTTCATCCTCACCTATCATCCCTCATTGGTGTCCCGCCAGCGTATACCGTTAGCACAGGCAGGGTTACCAATTCATTATCATCCATAAAAAAAAATAGTTTGCATTGACAAGTTATACTAATATGCATATATTAGAGCAATACGGAACCATTATATCGTTAGTACTGCAATTTGAGAGTTTAAAACGTCTCAATTTCAATATTGATTTATTAAAATTTATTTCAAAAGTAAACTCACCTGATGTAGTGGCGCGGCGGAAGCGAGTCGCAGCTCGCGCTGGTGCGCAGAATGTTGCGCTAGTATGAGCAGCGGCGCAGGCTGGCCAGCGGCGGCGCTGCCGGTGCTAGTAGCGGAGGCGGAAGTTGCAGGTCCGCAGCTGAGCGCTTCGAGGCGAGCGTCCGCTAGCAACGCGCCCGTCCACGCCAGGCAACGCCCGCCAAGCGCCACCCACACTACGCCTAATCCTTGTTGCCTGCGACGAATTATAATACAATAGTTACTAACATTATACATGTGAGAAGGTTTACTAGCTTTTAGCGTCTTTACGGTTTAAGAGCATTCATGCTTTAACTTACCAAAGTGTGTTTTACAGTTAAACATCCAATAATAAATATGTTAAAAGCCTGTTATTAAAATAATAATATTAAATAACACACTTTTAACATACTGGAAAATAGATAACGGACCAATATGGGCGATATTGAATTGGGTGATGACCTTTTCCGCCATCAATATCTAGAGGAACCCAATGTATAAATATCGGATCAGTGACCATATTACCCATGCCTATTAATAATGCAATAATTTTATTATTATTCTATCACTAAAAATTTGGATTTGGACAGCAAAAATGTATTAGAAAAATTCGTAAGCAAAATGTGAAGCAGATGCAGTTTTTAGTGATAGATTTATATGCAACATATTCATAAATAATTTGGTATACACACAGTATATAGGATAGAGGACATAGGTTACTTTTTATCCTCATTAGTGAACATATCGCAGTTACATATATGTGGTAACAGATCAAGCTAGTCAACTATAAATCTACGTTAAAACAAAAATCAAATAACAGCAGATTATGAAAACATATGATTTGCTATTTGATAGTTTAAGTTTTATTAGATTCCCTATAGTTTATTTAAGCGTGGACGAATCTTAAAATCTATGTATCAAAAAAGCTTTGTGCAAAACAAACAGCATTTTAAACTATATCATACATTTTGGTCAAGTTGTAAGGTCTGGAGGGCGTTTTGGCGGGGCTTTTACCCGGCGCGGCAGTAGGACAAGGCGCGCCGGCTAATGCGTGGTGCAGCCCGCACAGTAGCACCCAGCCGCCAATCATCAAATGGTTTTGGTATACCTGATCAAAAATAGACATGTTATTTTTCTGTAATTTGTTTTTTGTGTGGCAAAAATTTTACATTCTAACAATGAACTTTAAAAAAAAAGGTTAATTTGTTTTTAACAGTATTTATTAACGAAATTGTTAATTAAAAAATAATATATACTATAAAGATATTCAACAGTAACTGTGTTCCACAAAAAAGAAAAATACCTAAATTTAAAAAAGTAAACAACTGAACTGACTTCGTAAAATTTCTATGGGATCAATCTGTAAGTATATCCTTTCAGATACAAAAAAAAAGGATTTTCCAAATCAGTTTACAGCTGACAGAGTTGACAAAAAAAGCAAATAGACTGAGAACCTTCTTCTTTTTCAAATTGGTAAAAAAGGTCACTACTACAGATGGGCAAAGCACCGGGTTTAAACCCGGTGCTTTGGTAAAAACCCAATAAACACCCATAAACTCCCATAATCACCCAAAAAAATAGGTTTTTACGTATTTTTTTGAAAATATGTAAGTAATACCAATAAATTATTTTTATAAATTGTATTGATCAATTCTACAATATTAAATAAAACGTTAACTAATAATATTTCAGGAAATTTTAAAAATCTATATATAATAAAATGAAAGTAATTAATTTTCAGTGTTTTCATGTTGCAGTTGATCAACATGTTGGCCTTTTGCTTCCCGTAGATACTTTAAAATTTCTTCATAACACCTCGTTCGCACACATGGCCGTATATATTTAAATTCTTGAGCCACTAACAGTCCGAAATACTCATTTCTTTTATCCTCTTCTCCATAAATTAAGCATTTAGAACAGTTTGTTTCTTCTTTCAGTAAATTTTCTTTTACTTTATCCTCGTTTTTTTCTTTGTTGCGACGACGCTGGGTAAATCATCTGGACACTGGGTCTCACTATCGCCAAATATATTTGGAGATCGGCTTCGGCTACGGCTTGGCAGACATTTTTTTCTTTCTACAATTTTAAATTAAATTTATTAGAATAAATGCTTCGAACACACGCGATCTAAGTACCTTTTGTGTTTATTATACCTTACCTACCTAGGTATAAAAAGAGTACTTACGTAGATTTTCTTTTATTAACTGTTTTATACGAAGATCTTGATCTCTCAAATTAGCATCCATTTTACTTCCAGTGATTATCAACTAAATTAATAATCCACAAAGTATTAAATAACGTTTTTATGAAATATTTAGCACAAAAACAATACCCTTTAAATATCGATCGTCAGTAACTGTGGCTGACTTACCTATATTCTAGCAAGCAGGACTGCCAGATGTGAAGGGGAAATCCCCAATAAATTGTTGCATGTGACTGATGATGTGAGCATGTTCGTTTCATAATAAAAATGTTGCCAGGTAACCAAAAAGTCGTATGTTTTTGTGCGAATTACGATCATAATCTTTACGATCGTACATTAAAAAATAGACAAATAATAGTATGAGTACGATTTAAATCGTATATCTGTCAACCCTGCTAGCAAGACAGCGACAAAATCACGTTGCATAACAATGTAGCCCAAGCTTATATCTTATGAAATATACGGAAGAGATACGGACTTAGAAAAAACAGAAATGTTGTTCTTTGTGGAAGTCATTGATGAAATTCTATGTATTTTAGCCCGCAAACTTTCTTCAAACAAAAACAGCGCCATCTAGTATCGAGTTCTGTAATTATCTCTTTGTTTATGGATTTGAAGTAAGACCGCCACGCATGCAATACATTATGACTGGGGATTCCCCTATTCGTCGACGCTGAATATGAGGCGACGACAATCACTGTCAAACGTGTTCACTATTACTCTGACTCTGGTAACGTGACTTCCTGGTAACGTGTTAGGTAGGAAAAGCAGTAAAAAAGTGCATATTAAGGGAGCAGATTTGAAATAATATTTATACTTAACAAGAAATAATTAAAGGTAAGTGGATTTTTGAATGATACAATTATATCATGATCACTTAACAATTTTAACTTAAAATTAGATGTATTATTACAAGCTTTTATTTAGCTTGCGTTATGTAAATAAAAGTATGTAGGTATGTTCGTATGTTGATGCAATTATCCTCAATCCTCAACCGACTGGGATAAAATTTTCCATACACGTTTATTTTGGATGATAGTGCATAGTTAGCTGAGAGTCGTCATTGGATAATAATGGTGGATAGCCTAAGATGTGTACTAGATATTTATTTTTAACATAATATGCGTAAGTACCTAATCGAATTAAAGAAGTTGCTGAGAAAAATACAGAACAATACGATAATAAACTAGCGTCTGCGTTTAATCCTCCGAGGAGATGTAATTTTACAAAGGCTTTTTGTATTTATTTTATTATTTTTTTAATAAATTTATTGTAAATAACAAGAAATAATCATTGTAAAAAAATAGGCACTCTATTGTTGAATTTTCGTCAGACCAACTAATCATCGTTCATTTTTTTAGGTTCAATGGGGAGACCTAAAGATTTACGCATATGGGAGCACTACCGTACTTTACCAAACAAGTCTGTTTCTTGCAAGCTTTGTAATAAGGTCTACAAATTCAGTAATGCTGCCAAAATGCTTCAACATCTTATCACTTGTCCAAAATCTCCAGAAACATTAAAAGACTCTATGAAACTTATAAAAGATAGCTCGTCCAAAACCAAAATGTCTGGACTGCGTGAATTTACTGGGTACAGAGGAATAACACCTGAGTCCTCAGGAATGGCAACGCATGGGGGGTATCATGGGCGAAACAGTATACTCTGTTATGTCCATGGTACTGCTCGTGTCTATGGGCGGCGGTTACCACTTTCCATCAGGTGGGCCGTCAGCTTGTTTGCCATTCTAAGTTCTATAAAAAAAAAAAAAAAAAAAAAAAAAAAAACTGTCAGAGATAGAGACAAATGATTCTTTTATAAGCCCCTCGTCGTCTGCTAACACTACAATAAATGCTGAGTTTCAAGACACCGATGATCATATAAAAACAGAATTAGCGAGAGCTATATTTGTAACAGGGACGCCATTATCGATGGTGCAACATCCTTTATGGATACAATTTTTCGAAAAATTGCAACCAAAATTTAAAATACCTTCACGTAAAGCTTTAGCGACAAAATACTTAGATAAAATATATAGAGAAATGCGTTTTGAGTTAAATGAGGAACTAAATGCTTGTAGTTACTTACACCTTCAGTGCGATGGCTGGTCTAATTTAAGAAATGAAGGAATAATAAACTTTCTTATATCAAAACCTCAACCTGCATACGTTAAAAGTTTGAATACAGAAAGTAATCCTCACACTAGTGAATACCTTAGCCAAGAAGTTGAAAAAGTAATGAAAGTGTATGGAGCAAATAAGTTTCTTGTACTTATTGGCGATAACGCTAGAAATATACAAAAGGCATTCGAATTAACAAAACTCAAATATCCACATGTTGTTCCTCTTGGTTGCTGTGCACATATCCTTAACTTGTTGTGCCAAGATATTGTAAAGATACAAGAAGTAACTGTGTTTATTATGCAAGCCATAAATATAATAAAAACTGTTAAAAGGAGTCAACGATTAAGTTCCTTGTTGATAAAATCAAGGCAGGGTGAAGATTCTACACAAACACTAAAATTGCCTTGTGCTACAAGATGGGGAAGTCATGTTACTTCGTTAAAAAGTTTGAAAGCAAATAAGATAGCTTTGCAAATATTAACAGTTAGAGAAGATGTGGTAATTTCAAGAGATATTAAAGATTTAATTCTAAGTGATGATTTCTGGACGAAGACAGGGGAATGTATAAGTATTTTGGAACCAGTCACTGAAAGCATATTTTACTTAAAGAGCGACCAGAATCGTTTGCATCGCACATACATTACATTTAGAGATGTACAAGCTAAGATACGTTTTGCATTAAATGAGATTTCGACATTGAGCGAAGAAAGCAAACAGCAGATTCTAACATCAGTATCTTCAAGATGCAATATGGCAATGAGGCCAATACATTTTGCAGCATATATTCTAGACCCCAGGACTCTAGGAGTCGAACTTACTCAAGAGGAAGAACTTAAGGGTATGGAGTTTATCTACAATTTAAGCCAACACTTAAGTTTGTCAAATGTAATGGCAGATTTGGCGTGTTATAAAGCTAAAGAAAACTTTTGGGCCAGAGGATTTGTATGGAGCTCATTAGATAGCATTGAGCCCCTAATATGGTGGAAAGGTATTTGTGGTTCCACTGAGTTAAGCAAAGTAGCGATTCGTATTCTATCAGCTCCCTGTACTTCGGCAGCCACTGAGCGTTCCTTTAGTATCCAAGGCTACATACATAATAACAAAAGAAATCGACTTACAACTGAAAGAACTGAAAAAATTTCATTCATTTGTTATAACTGGAATCTTAAACATAAAGCTGAATGCGAGGACATTCAGTTTAATGAAGAAAATACCTTAGAAGCTTTCATTGAGCAAGTAAATGAACATAACAGTTTAGACGAAATAGAGCCTATCGAACCTATACAATTCATCGCTTGTAATAACTCTGAATCTGACAGTGATTGACTGTAGTTTTACATTTTACTTTCATCTCTTTCTTAATAAACTCAAAATCAAATTAAAAGTTTTTTATTCTGTAGGCTGCATAATAATATTGTCTATGTCCAGTATAGTGGACGTCTTGCGGCTGAGATGACGATGATGAAGTACAAAATCATAAACACCCAAAAATTTGGGTGTTTATGGGGTTTAAACCCAATAAACCCAAAACACCCGGTTTTTACCCACCAGACTTTAAACCCACCCAGGTGGATTGCCCATCTCTAGTCACTACACATTTACACTTTTGATTCACAATTTACTTCATAATAACTTACATAACCGCCAGCTCGCGTGGACTGCTTGAACGTCTCCCCCACTGTATTGTAGAGGCTAAGAGCGCTCTCTACCAGTGTCGCTGTTTGTTGTTCACTCTCTTCATCTTTTGGATGGAGGGACGCCTAGCGAATATAAATAAAACATCAGATTAGTTTCATCACATAAAATAGTATTCTATCATAACAAAAATTTTCGAAATAAGTATTTCTCCTATTCATAGTAATGATTTTTTCTTTAAGAGATCTAATGCATTTTTCACAGTAAATGTGTTCGATTGATGGGATAATTTCATTAGATCCTATACCGTAAAATGGGTGGGGATGAATTGATTTGAACTTTTATGGAACAGAAAATAAACTAAGATTTATTTTGTGTATACTATAAAAATCATTATGTAAAAATTAAATAATAATAAAATATATGTCAATAAGAAAACTAAAAATTATTAATTTAAGTTTAATTCTATAAAAAAAAAAAAATATCATAATTAAAAAAGAAATTGTATGCATGTAATAAAAATGGTAATAGAAATGTTTTTCCCAAATAAATTCAACAGTATATAAAAGTCTATAGGCAATTTTTGTATCCTGATACCTGTGCAGTGGCGCATAGCAGCCACGCCGTGCTGACGTCACTGAGCGTGGCGATACGTTCCGACGTGAAAGGCTCTAGACACGGCAGCGACAACGCGAGCCGGCACACATGCACCTCGTTGACTAGGAAGTGGAGACTGGAACAATAAGCGACAATGGTAGCTTATTTCTTACGATTTAACAAGTAGTTTTTTATGAGTAGTGATAATAAAGTCATAATTTTGCCTATGCTATTATGATATACGCTGGCGAAACATCAGTAAGGGATGATACATGAAGACAAAATCAGGTATAATGCTCATTGTGATAAATTCAGTAGGAATTAACCACTATAGTTTGCAGAGGGATCCACATGGAGGTAAACCCGATTATAGATATATATAGACGATATATTGTTAGCAATGGGACTGCTAGAGCTCATTATTAACAACCCCTTTCACCCAGGTCTTATAGATTAAAAATTTGTACAAATAAGTCTGATAATGGACTTTAGTGATTACATGATTATACATTGCAAAGTATTTTAATCAAAATAATTAAAATGTAATTATGTAAACAACCTAAAAAACTAGCATAAAAGATGAGAGAATTATCATATTAGTCATTCTTATAATGAATTATGGATAGTACTAATTTCTAAAAATTTATAATTTTGAGAATCCATAACCATCATATATTATTATCTTTCAAGTGTAGTCTTCATCGAACCATATAATCAAGCCATATATAAAAATATAAATATTACGGACTAAAAAGTTGTATAAATTACGTTGCTTCATTTTAAATAATAATATAACACGGCAAGATTGCTAGTTTTGTCTTTTCGTAATATAATAAATACAAGAGTCAACATGATTCATTATAAATACAAATACATTGTGGATCATAGGTTTTAAATTAATAATATAACTATATGGTACAATATATGAATAGTTTTACAAAACATAACATTTAAAATTTACAGTGAAACAAAATATAATAACATTATTTTTTACAAATGATGACTATTTATCTTTATCATTGATATATTCGTCCAGGCTATTGTGTTGTAAAATTCATTTCATTGTGTTATAAAAAAGAAAAAACATAATAAGAATCTTACAGTGACGCATCCGAGTTGAACTGCGGCGCCATAGCTGAGTCCTTGGCAGCTTGCCAGCGGTTCAGGTAGCGCTGCAGACAGGGCAGCGAGGAACACACCTTCAACACGACGGAGCCGGCGCGGAGGGTCATCAGCAGGGACGCGCACGTTGTTGCCATCCATTTCTATAGGGAATTATATTTATTGGTCACTGTTTACTGCATTTGAAAAAAAAAAACTTAAAAATATATACTGAATTGTAGTAACAAATGACTATGTTATAATATGTATATTAATATGTGTACATTATTTATATATATGTGTTGTATGAAAACAAAGGTAAAAAAAAATTGTCCTTGACTAACTTGTACAAGTCTTTGTCAAAATGAAATATATGTCTAATACTATTATATAAATGCTAATTATGTAATAGTATTAGATGTATTTATAAAAATTCGTTTAAATTTAATGAAATTTGGTACATGGATAGGTTACACACTAAAACAAAAATCTTTTGTAAGAAGTTAAAACACAGTGTATGCCAAATTTTAGAAACTTCCATAGTGCATCTTCAATATTAGGATGTGAATGGGTTAATAACTAATTCAGTCGACTTTACAACAAACCTTTATATCAATGGCAGCCTGTTGTGTAGTGCCATCCTTGGAGCTTTCAATGCTATCCTTGCTTCCCGGCGACTGTACCGCCGGGGGTTGCGCCTGTGATGACGTCACAGAAGCGACTGGATTCCTTAGGGGTATCGTCAATTGTTCTAAAAGAGCATCAGAACGACGCTGTGCACTCGACGGTGCCTGTTTTTCTGTACTGGTAGTTTGTGATGCCAATGATGTGATCGGGCTTGGTATCACTGACGATTTAGTTGTTTGTGTTTCTAAAAATATACATTGAAATTGAAGTAAAAATATTTATATAATGTTGATTATTGTTTCTCAACCTTTTTTATGTTGAGACCCATGAATAATCCAAAAAGTAAAAAAAAAAATCGTAAAAGGTCTTGTGACTCTGTCACTACAAGATTATACTAATATGATAATGAATAATTAGTCCTTTCCCTTTATCCACTACTACTACGTAAACAATAGGCGACAACAAATGACGACCAAAAAAATTATCCACTATGTTCTTTTCAAATACACATAATATTTATTCATAATTAATTACTAAAAAAATACTACTTAATTTACTTATGAATATCAAAAATATTTAGAATGAATTGCTCAGTCGAATCACTTGAATAATTAGTAGTCGGATTAGTAAAGTAGCGCATTGCTACATTAAATGACCCTTTCGAGGTCTTTTCAATACATTGCAACCCCCTTCAATTACAAATGGGACCTTCTCAAGAATCTCGAGGGTTGAAACACGATGATTTAGATAATATTATTAATTATGATAGAACAAATAAAAAACAATACACCTACCAATTTTTAAACATTAGAAATATTATATATACAGTATTAAATAGTACTTAAATAGATTTTACTAACCTGGCACATTAACATGCGCCGGTAACTTTGCATTTTTCAACAAAGAAGTCAATATTACTAAGTCAGACTGTGGATAGCCCCCTCCATCAATGCCACACAGTCCCACAATTGGAAGCAGGAGCTAGAAAAATAAAAAATATATTGCATTCTCGCAAAAATTATTTTAGTTAAAGTTAACTCCAAAAGTGCCAAATCTAACAAAACAAATGAATCATCATTGCAAATCTAGTTGTCCAGGTTCAATTACATTTTTGAGATTCAGATAGATTAAATTCCATAACAAATGGGCAGTACCATAATAGTTATAAAATATTACTATTGACAATTTACTACTTACATTTAAGTTTAAAATAAAAGAAACAAAGAAAGAACCTTTATTCAACTAATTAGCCAATTAGTCATAGTCAAATAACTTATTATTAACAAAATTTAAAAACCAGTTGTAAGATTTTGTAAAGGCTGACATTTTTATTAGTTTGTTAAGTTTACCTGCTTGACTGATACATTTGGAGCAGATGTAGTAGAATTATCATCACAGCTCAATCCAGCTTCAGACAGTTTCTTCAATATTTGGCTGAGTATAATCCGGAAAGCTTCACGAGCTGTGCTCAACTGATCACTTGGTACTAAAATGTTTTATCAATAAGTTAAATATGTAACATTTTCTTTTATTATGAATATGCATATCTTTTTTAAATTTAGTTTATTAATAGAGCATATAAAGTTTTAACACCTCAATCCTCAAGAGTCATCATCATCATCTAAGCCATTATCAGTCCACTGAACATAGACCTTCCCCATAGATTGTCATAAGAAAAGGTCCCGAGCCACAAGCATCCACTGATTCCCTGGAATGCATTTAAGGTCTTCATTTCATTTAGTGGAGGGTCATCCTACACTGTGTTTGCCTGTACAAAGTTACCCAGGAACCTTTCTACCTCCTCCTCCTCCTGTCCTCAAGAGTAATTCTTACTAATATTATAAATGTGAAGTTTGTTTGTTACTTTTATGTGGTTAATAAATTACTATAAAATTTGGTATATTTATCCCAGTCTGTGAACATATTCTAGTCACCCAAAGTCACGGGTAAAAGTTAATATTATAATACTAATAATACTAGTTAATGTTATAATACTATAATAATAATAATTTTAAATATAAAACCAAAATAAAAAGAATATATAAAGATATTAAAATCAGTACACCTTATGTGTATAATTACATAATATTATGCAATTCAGATACCTGTATATAAATAAAATTATTATATGCATGAATGCTTTTATTGCTGTACTTTTATAAATTTATACATGTTTAGTGAATAGTGAATGTTTTGATCATAAGTTAATTAATATAAATCACAATTGTAAACCAAGAAACAGGTTCATATAAGCAATTTATCAATTGTTAAGAACCTTGAACAACAATTTAAAAGATACATTATAAGACATTGGTATAAGAACTTATCCATAATACATACAATTATTTGCATTGCTGCTGATAAAGTGTGCAGATAGGCAGGCGAAACATGTGTAAAATAGATCATAGACATCTTCATGGTTCTGGAACTCACTTTCACTGAAAAAATATCAAAAATTGTTATGTGTTTAACACACAATAATTAACTGTTGTGTCCTACAAAAAAACTGACTTCAATTGTGACAAAACTAATTATTTTGATCTAAAAACTCAAATACTGAACCAATTATGATAAAATTTCTATGGGGCCAATTTGTAAGTATATCGTTTCAGATTAAATAAGATTTATCCAAATCAGTTTTGAACTGAAATTAAAAGAATATTTAAAATTAATGTTTATATGTGGTGGTATATTTTTTACAACCAATGTATAATATGATAATGACAGAAATAAAGCCTTTACTCAAATATTGCCAAAAAAGGGGGTACGAAATAACAGTAGTGTACCTAAATTGGCAATTAGCCTTCTTCAGAGATTAATCTTTGGTTAGTGTAGTCATAAAGCTCTTAACTATGCATCAGTGTAATAAAAATTTTACCCTCAATAACCAAATGTTCTCAAACACACAGTGGCAAAGAATGGGTTAATCACAGAATATATTTGATTCTGAGTTGTTACTTCTCTAAATCTAATATTTTCATATCAATAGTTTGGTAAAATTACTATTTTATGAACAAAATTTACTACTAGACATTTAGTTTTGTCAGAGCTATTAGACAGCCTACTTAAAATGTGTTAATAAGAATATCAGGAATCATAACATGAAACAATCAGAAACTATATCAATTGCATATAAAGAATATATTTTTTTATTTTGATATAAAGATTAACAATTGGTACTCAGCAACACATAATTATCATTGTTCCTAGAAATGGTAAATTTTCATTATTTTTTTCCTACGAACTACTTAGTTTCAATTAGAATATATAGATAGGTACTAAATACCTACGCAAAAATAGATTCAAATGACAATATCCCAAAATCAAAATACACAAAATAATTTAAAATAAGTCTTGAATTAAGATTTTGGTGTTAATTGAAATCTAAGTCAGAAATTACCCTGCAATAACAGGGTATAAATAAAAATCTCTAAGGGTATCCACTGATTAAAATTTTTGTCACTGTAGTCTATTTCTGTATTGTCATTTAAATTGGTGTAATCTCTTCAAAAATATGAAATATCCTTCGAACAAATAAGCACAGTTCGTAAATACTGACAAATAAACTGCGGAAAAACGATAAACAGAAAATTATTCTATTGAAAATCAAAACCAATAAGAGATATGTTATGCGGTACATAACAAGTGGACTGTACTAACCTTTTAATAATAGCTTGTATATTCTCAACGACATCATTTTTGTCGAAAAATGGGCCGTAAAGAGCCGTTAAAATTGGTTTTACAGTCGTTGACCATTCAATATTACCCCCCGAAGCGGCCATTTTCGAGAGTATGTGATTCTGATTATGAAGTCAGCTGTAAATGTCAGTAAAAATGACGAACCGGCTAGTCACGCAACAGATAAAAAAATTATATTCACACAGTTTTTTTTTTTAATGGATGATAATGTAATAGTAACCCCGTCTGCCCTAACGGTTAGGTGAGCATGAAAAGACAGGTCTTTTTTTTAATAGATGATAATGGTATGGTTACTTCGCCTACGCTATCAGTATATACTGACAAACCACCAGTGATAGATGACTGATGAGGATGAAATCAGATCAGTTAGCCCATCCTGACAAATTCTACTAGAATTAAACACGATGGTTTCCAGGGGAACCACGTGGAAGTCGCCCTGACAGGATATATTGCTAGAATAGGGCTATATGACCTCATTAATAACAATCCTTTCCCCCCTGAAAAGGCAGGTCTGTTAGCCCATCGTGATGAATATACTTGGAATTCGGCACGATGGTTTCCAGGGGGGACCACGTAGAGTTCGACCTGACAGAGTATGTTAGTAGTAATAAGGCTGGTAGTCCAGATTACTAATAATCTCTTTTTCCTCTCACAGATAGATTGTAGGCTAAACTATTATAATTTTAGTTAATGTTGGTCTATAAATTATTAAATTCTAAAAATTATCAAATTAATGAATAAATATTACGGCCCCATATCAATATATTACACTTCTAATGTGGTCAGCGCGGATTGAAGGATGTGTTTTCAGGTTAGAAAAACAAGAAAAAAAAAGTTATATTAGCAGCTCAGAATTAAAATCAGGGAATTACATAGAAGGAATGATAAAATAAAAACTGTAAATCATATGATTATTTCCTTTTTTTTTTATACAAATATAATTAGTAAAAAGAGGATGAAAGATATGGTATCAGTTGCTACTTTTCTGAATTCATAGTAGGCTAGTTAGTGTATAGAAAATGTTGTACGGCCGTATAATCCTACCAAATTCAGATACAAACTGCTTGCATACTTTCTACATAAACTGTGTCGAATATGTAATCTAGTAATGTAAAATTTGTTATTGACAAATAATTGACATATCAAACATTTTCTATACATAAATTTAGTGAATGAGTAATCGACGTGTTGCTAGATTGAGTAAAAATTTTGGGTAAAAATTTTTTTGTTTGCGAACTTTTTAAATTTTTAGAGAAAGGTGAAATGGGATTAGAAAAATATTGTAATTTTTTAGACAATTTTAATACTTGTAAAGTGTATAGAAATATACTAAATACAATAAAAATATATAAATGAATGTAACTAATTAGAATAAAAGAAGAAGAGTGTGAGATATGATAAAATAAAGTGAAAAAAAAAATGGAAATTGTATCATATATTAATGGATATCTAGGTTGTCATTATGTTGTTATTCGATTTTGTATTTAACTTCGTTAGATGGGACATTTTTTTCCAAATTTCTAATAAAAGTTCTTTTTTCGCAAAATTTTGGAGAATTTAAATTTTTGTAGAAAAGAGAAATTTGGATAATTTATTTGGTAGTAGTTTTGGTACTTGTACAGTTTGTAGAATAGATGTGTATAGGTAATTAAGTAAAATATGATAGAAGGAATGACTTTTGTCCGTTGTTCATTTTATGCCACATGGTAAAACGTATTGAAAGACAATACAAGTTTGTAAACATCGGTAATTGAAAAAAAAAAAATCAAGTTTGGTTAAAAATCAATATTGGCATCTGACAACCCTACTTGTACTTCCATTTAATTTTGTTAATTTCATTCGGACGCTCAATGAGTGAGTCAATGTCAGTTTTCTGACATTTCTAACACAGTTCTGTGATCAGAGTCAGTGTCAAAAGATCTTTCTTACTTTTTACTCGTGGAATGACAGAGTACTTTGTATGTGGAATTTATTTAATTTTTATAATTAAATTTGTTTTAAGATATTGTTGTTATCCTCTTGTGTTGTCATGTGCCCGGTTTAGTGGTTAGTATTTTAATTTATATGACCCATATTCATCATGATAGTGATGAGAATCCTCCTGTTGATACAAGAATCCTTTTCGTATGAATTGTGCGACGTCTTCAGAGGCTCCGAATGAACCAGTAAGCAGTTAAAGGCAATGAGAGACCATTCAAATCTTATTCATGACAACAACAAAATAAAATCACCAGACGACTCTACACAGTCTGTATACACTCAGCTAGGTTTTAAGTACGATGCACACTTAATATATAGTGACCGACTCTTTCAATTTCTAATTAAAATATAGTGAGCTCATTCTTTGTTCCTACATACAAGTAATATTACAGAAATGAAACAAGATGCTATCAAAATTCTAGGAAAGAATAAAATGTCTGTTGAATTCTGTACTCACTCATAGGTTAATAATTTTGTAAACACTCTTGTTTTTTCAAAAATCTATTGCCGAGGAAGTATACCCAAGTTTAAGATCTCTCAAATCGTTGTTGTATGCAACATCCCTACTAAGTGGTCTCTGGTAAAATTATTAGAGAATCTTAATTTATTAACCATTTAATTAAGATTGTAGGTAAATAAAGCTAGATGCCTTAAAGTAGAATCCTGCAAATCTTATTACTTTATTGCATGAATCTTATCTAGGGCAAGTCTTTCCTGAGAAGATCTATTGTTTTAATACTTCTCTCTCCATTGTACCATATAATATTCCTATGCCATAACTGTTGCAAATTTGGTCATATTTGCTCACATTGCAGATCTAAATCTAGATACTTTTAATGTGATTCTCAATACCTAAAAAAGTTCTCTGATAAAAAAAAATCAGTTTTTCTGTGTTATATAATAGTAGTAATTGTCAAGCTATTATTCCAGTATGGCCCAAACATAGTTTTTTTTAATGGGTGATAATGGTATGGTAGCCCCGTCTGTGCTATCGGTATACACTGGTGGGGCACCAGTGATAGATGACTGATAAGGATGAAAGCAGGTCAGTTAGCCCTACTTGACAAATTCAACTAGAATTAGCCATGATGGTTTCCGGGGGAACCATGTGGAGGTCGACTTGACAGGGTACATTGCTAGTAATGGGGCTATTTGACTCCATTACTAACAATCCCTTTCCCCCCGCCCCAAACATAGTAGGCCAAAAAACATTAAAATAGTCATGGTTGAACATACACCTTGTCCTTTCTTTTCCTGCAGAAAACTTATTTTAAGAGTATGGTTAAATCATCTCGTTCTCATTTACACCTTGGTAAAACTCCTCACGGTTCTCCCTGAAAACTATAATAGTTTATTCCTGATGAATTCATCTTGATGGGCTAACTGGCCTGTTTTCATTCTCATCTATCACCCTTCACTGGTGTTCCCCAATATATCCTGTTAACGCAGGCGGGGTTAAACCATACCATTTTATCTGTATATATAACACCTAAACTACAACATCATCGCAGAAGTACAGTGTATCCTATTTACCGTACAATGTGTTAGATGACTTTAACTGCCAACACACAATGTGGACTCTACTTCTTGATGACTTGGACTTTTGTGATAAATAATACCTCTGCCACCTGTTATGTTGCTGCATCCCAAATACCCAGCTCTGCTGTTTTCAGTCTGGTATTCTCTATTATTGCAAATAAACTTTTATGGCATATTTCTTCCAAATCCATATATCTATTCAATTTATTTACCAACTGCACCTATTCCAGGGCACAAAGAATTTGAAACCGCCTCCTTGATTGATTCAACAATTTTGTAGTCAAAGAGTGGAATATATATTTCCATATATAGAATAATATGGCTGAGAATCAGTTGATGAAACGAAAGCTATCTGGAGAAAATGGCATAGATTCATCTGGTAAATACTCATTTTAATTATTCACATTCACCTGTGCATTTTAATTCTTCCTTAATATTATCTAATATTAATAACATCTAATAAATATTAATTTCAGAACCAACATCGAAAATAATACACATTCAATGCCCTTATTTAGATACTATTAACAGGCATGTCTTGGATTTTGATTTTGAAAAATTATGTTCAGTTTCATTGACGCGTATTAATGTTTATGCCTGTCTTGTCTGTGGGAAGTATTTCCAGGTATGACATTCATATTGTTTTAAATAAACAATACTAGTAAACTAAATCCAGTATGTAATCTATCAAAAATACATCTATGAAATGAATACCACTCCTTAAATCTTGCTATTTATTTTTTTATTATACTTATAAGCTGGTTGTTTTGAAGTTTGGGGAGAGAGGAAAATTCCAATAAATCATTAGTTAATGTTGTCTGGTCCTGACATGGGCCACTCTTGCCTTTCCCATGGGTGTCATAAGAGGGGACTTAATTTAATGATTGAGGACTTGGCAGCAGCATCCCTCTAAAAATATTACCAAAGCCTAACTGCGGTTGCCAATCCTCTTACGTAGCAACTACTGGCAAAACTCCCCATAGGGAGGCCTATGTTTAGCAGTAGACAGATGACTGATCATATATCAGTGATTTAAAAAAAATTAAGTCCATAGCTTTAATATTTTTCTTAAATAATGTATAATTTTTGTTGATACAAATGTTAGCTGTTGCTTCAAATAATTTGTATAAATAAAATAAAAATAAAATAAAAAAAGTATTTGTATTGAATATCAAGTTTATTGAATAATACTTTTATTTTGATATTCCAGGGTCGCGGCACCAATACCCATGCTTATACACATTCAGTGGCTGATGGTCATCATGTGTTCCTCAATCTACATACATTAAAGTTTTACTGTTTGCCAGATAATTATGAAGTGATAGGTTTGTATCTTACTCGTATTTATCAATATTTATTGTACTAGTGATTGGGCCGACTTGGCTAGGATAAATAGTATTTCTAAAAAAAATTCTTATATTACTCACTTTATAAGTTTATTAATATTTATGATTTTTTTTTAATAATATTAACATTCTTCCAGAAAGTTGAATGGTAGAGAATGTATCTATCTATGAATATATCTAAAAAAGAATTTATGAATTCCTACACTTAAAATGTGTTTGATGGGAAGAGGTTACTGTACTGTAATGTAACTTTATAACGCTAGTGGCATTTTTATTTGATGTGAGTTGCTGGCCTTGAGGTAACCTATTCCTATGGCTAATAATTAAAAATAAAATGAATAATTTTTTTAATAAACTAGAATGGTAAATGTGCTGTCGGCCCACCTGATAGAAAGTGGTAAATATCGTCCATAAGAAGCATTATAATTTACGTCACAAAAAATACTGTGACACCCATGGTACTCCTCAAAAATAGATACATGTTTGTGTTTCATATTTTTCAGATTCGTCCCTGAATGATATCAAGTATGTTCTAAACCCTATATTTACTCCGGAGCAGATAAAACAAATGGATTCAAATACGAAAATGTCGAGAGCCATTGATGGGACTATGTACATGCCGGGTATTGTGGGTCTCAATAATATAAAAGCTAACGATTACTGCAATGTAATCTTGCAGGTAATATAATTATCTTGCTTTACAGTACAATGTATTATATTATGTATTATTTTTTTATTTATTTTGTATCAACGACACTACATAACATCTATGTATTATGTAGTGTCGTTGATACAAATGTTCCTTTTTTTTCGAGAAATTTCATTATTTTCTTTAATATATTTAAAAAAAATTAAAAAACATTTTTTTTTAATATCCTATTAATAAATACTAACACAAGTTTTAAAGAGTAGGTTACGTTAATTAACATACTATATATCTAAAATTAGCCATGTGGTCCCTGGCATAGAATATCCACCGTTCTTTTCCCGTGGGTGTCGTAAAAGGCGACTAAGGGAACTTAATGGTAAAGGAGTGGGTAGCAGCGTCTCTCTTGAAACAGCTCTGAAAACCTAACTGCGGTTGTCAACTTGCATTCCAAGCGTGACAATTACTGGCAAAACTTCTCTTATGGAGGAAGCTTATGTTCATGACATTTTATGGCTGAAATAAAATAATAATAAGTCTGCGCGTTTACCGCAAAAAAGACGCCGTTTGTCGTATCTCCTCACTTTCAGGGCACTTCCCTTGATAAAAAGTCGAGTCTAGGAATTCTGGGCGTTGATATATCTTGCGACGTCCAGTTTTGCGGTCATCTGGAGGAGAAGGCTAAGATAGCATCCAAAAAGTTAGGAGTGCTCAATAGGGTGAGACGATATTTCATGCCAGAACACCGCCTGAAATTATATAAAGCCCAAGTCAGGCCGCATATGGAATACTGTTCTCACCTGTGGGCAGGAGCGCCACAGTACCAACTCCTTCCGTTAGACCGCATTTCGATAGTCAACGCCTTACTGTCCGACTCGAATGAAACTGCGCAGAGATGTTGCAATCTTATTTATCATGGGGAGTGTTCTGAGGAATTGTTATTGATACCTGCTGCTGATTTTCACCAGAGTACAACCCGCCACAAAGTTTCATCCCAATCATCTGGACGAGTGGCGGTCTTCCACCGTGCGTTTTTCAAGGCACTTTCTTCCACGCACAACCATTCTTTGGAATCAACTTCCAGCAGCAGTATTTCCGAACCGATACGACAACATAACCTTCAAGAAAAGAGTATATTCCTTTTTAAAAGGCCGGCAGCACACCTGCAATTGTGGGTGATTAGTCACTTACCATCAGGTGAGCCGCATGCTCGTTTGCCCCCTGTGTTGTAAAAAAAAAAAAAAAAAAAAAAAATAAATAAATATCAAAAATAAATTATCAAAACCAACACGTAATTTACCAAAAACTAATTTTCAGTGTTTATCACAAGTGAGACCGCTACGGAACTATTTTTTGCGTGAAGAAAATTATGCTAATATAAAACGCCCGCCAGGCGATTCATCATTCTTGTTAGTACAAAGGTTTGGTGAGCTACTACGCAAATTGTGGAATCCTAGGGCTTTTAAGGCGCATGTATCACCACATGAGATGCTGCAAGCTGTTGTACTATGGTCTAAAAAGAGGTTCCAGTTTATTAAACAAAGTAAGTAGCAGACACTTACTGATTTATTAATACATAAAACAATTTTAAAGTTAGTAAGTAGTAGTTGTTAACATTTTGTCAAAAATCTATGTATTATATTTTCCCTAGAGGTGACTGAAACTATATGGTCGAGCGATCGGTATTAAGATCTCTCTTTAAATATCACCAAAGCCTAACTGCGGTTACCAACCCGCCTATCAAACGTGGTAGCTACTGGCAATCCCCCCCCCCCCCCTTACCTAAGGAGGAGGAGCATGTTTAGCAATAGACAGTTAACAGTTGATATGAAAATGATGAGGACTTACCAATACTGTACTCCTTTTTAAAATAATGCTTCTTAATCTTATTTTTATGTTTGTATATAGGTGATCCCATCGATTTTTTGTCATGGTTTCTTAACTCGCTGCACATGGCACTAAACGGAACAAAGAAAGCTAACAGTTCCATAATCTACAAGTCATTTCTTGGGCATATGAGAATATACACAAGGTAATTATATATTATGGATGGATTTACCTTCTTATAATTTGACTAATAGTTATATATAAAAGATTAAAGTGTGGTAACAGACATTTGAAGAGTAACTGTTTTTTTTTTATATTCTTAAAACCACAAAAAACTATTTATAGTATCGACAACTGTATTTCAGAAAGTTACCACCGCCAGATGCTGATGATGCAGCAAAAGTGGACCTCAGTAGCGAAGAATACAGTGAAATGATCACAGAATCACCATTTCTGTTTCTGACATGTGATTTACCTCCAACACCGCTATTCACTGATGAATTTAGAGAAAATATTATACCACAGGTATTTTTAATGCCATAATATTTTGTAATGTTTTTTTTGCGGTTCTTATGATATTTTATAATTAAAATTCTCTTATTTTTCAAGGATGCTTACTTTTACGCTTAATCTTTTTATTTATTGTTAAAAAATTGTACTTCTAAATGATTGTACAACTAAGCAGACAAGGCTGTTTAACTTTTGTTTTCCAAAAATTAAAGCCATATTTATTTCTTCAGGATGATACATAGCATTTAGCATATGTGGCAACTCATTTGCCAATTTTTTGACGTTGCTGATATTATTGTCTTTTAAACAATATTTTGATACTTTCAGGTTAATCTCTACCAATTATTATCCAAGTTCAATGGGCAAGCATCAAAAGAATATAAAACATACAAAGAAAACTTTTTAAAACGATTTGAAATAACACAACTCCCGCCATATCTAATTTTGTATATCAAAAGGTTTACTAAAAATACATTTTTCGTGGAAAAGAACCCAACAGTTGTTAATTTTCCTGTCAAGTGAGTATTTCTTATTGTATTTTATGGTAATAGAATAAATAAATTTAAGTTCTTACTGTACAGTATATGTGATGTTAATAAATGTCTGTTTTTCAGGAACGTAGACTTTGGCGATATCCTCACGCCGGAAGTGAAGGCGAAACATAATGGAAAAACAATATATGAGCTAGTTGGAAACATTGTGCATGATGGGACACCAGAGAAGGGAACTTATAGAGCACATGTTCTACATAAACCCACTCAGCAATGGTAATATTTGTATTTATATACTTATATAATATTTCGATAAGAGGTTTTTTTTTTTGTGATAATGTTAAGTGTATACATAATAAAAACTCACATGTATATTTTAAGTCATATATCCAATATCGCCCTTTTATTCTTAATGATATAAAATATTGGTAAAATATGACATGTATGTTACGAAATGCCATTTGACATAATTAAATATATAGGATCATAATTATTATATGGTGACAGCAAATGACCTGAGATTCATAAAAGTGATCTCAGTATTTCCTATGCTATATAAAATGATTGTAAAAGTTTATAATGATATTAGAAGTGCATCAATAATTAACAATTGATTTTGTTATGATCCTATATATTAAATAGTGTAACATAATCATAATTTCCATAACTACTAAACATCACATACTGCATTTCAGGTATGAAATGCAAGATCTCCATGTAACCAGCATTCTGCCACAGATGATCACACTGACTGAAGCATATATTCAGATATATGAGTTGAAACAGGATTAATATTAAGCTGAAATAAACTAAATAAATTTACACATTTTTTTTATTTATTGAATATACAAATTCTTAATATTCTTTAAATCCCATTTAACAAACTGTGGCCTTCGAAATGACCTTATACTTAGTAATAATTATGTTATCATAGGTATTTCATAAATATGTGAAACATACATTAGAAATCACATTTACTATGTTTTGACACAGTTTTAGAAGTGATCCCATTTTACAATAACTTAATTTACAAATAAAATGCAGTGAGTAGTCAGTTCAGCTAGGTTTTAATGTAAATTCTTGCATGACTAGAATTAGTACTAATAAAATTTTATGTAAATTAACAGCTACAATTTCATTGTAGGAACTTTGTACAAAATCAATTTTGTAACGTTAATAGTGTTCCATGTCGTTATACTTTAGCTTTATATTTTGTGTGTGTGAAATAAAACCGGAATTGTATATTTTAGAATAGACTATGGTTTGACAAATATAAACCATCCATACAATTATCTTTGCAACCAATATTACTCCCATGATCTAATCTTATAGGATACCTACATATGTTTTGTCATAATCATATTAATTTTGTCAGAATGGTAATTACTATTTTTTATATGAAACAAAATTATAATTATTACATAATATACAATTATATAGTCATGCGAAGAATTTGCTTCATTGTACATTTTATAGACAGTAGTGTATGAAGTCATGAACATGTATAAATAGTCAAAATATTAAATTAATTTGCTATGTTAGACATAAATACAGATCTGTTTGTATACAAATTTAAATATTGTCCTTATGTTTTCCTAATGTTCAAATGTTTCTTTAATGTGCTCAATATTATTTCATACTGGCAATATTTAAAAATATTGTATTGACTATTATTAATAACCTGATATATATAGACAGCAATACAATAATGCCTAGTTCATATCGCTTTAGAAATTTAGTTGACTGGTGAGTAATTCTGCAGCAAAATATTTAAGAACAAAGTTTTAGTCAATTTTAGTGATTTTTGTTAAAGTACTAAGCACTCAACTAAATGACTAAAGTAGTGCAAACTAGGCTAAATGACACAATAATGATAGTTTATGTTGAATCAATGTTCTGACCTATTTCATTATACACTGAAGTCATGGTCAAGTCTTGCACTGAACTGAATCTTTATATTTGTGTACGTCTACACATGGTAAGTAGTCGCTAGTGACTCTCACCTTTTTTACCCGCCACACGTTTGAATTCCCCCATATTGGTTGTGGAAATTGGTGAGCCATAAAAAGCAAGATGATCAATCTGGGTCACCTCATCACCAGACTGGTTGTCCTTTATGAACAGTTGAATGTTTTGAACATTTTGGAACTTCACAAATCTCAATGGAACTGGATTGCCTTCTAAATCACTTGGTGTTACTCTGAAATGAGATATTATATTGAGGGTGATTTTGTGTTCACAACATATAAGCAAACACCAAAATTTTAAAACAATTATTTAGACATTAGTTTAAAATAAGCATAAATGATTAGAGCTATTTTGCTTTTTTTACGTAATAATTTATAGAACAATATTAAAATTTTATAATAAATACAATAAAAATTAATAATTTCAAACAATTTATCATTAATAATATTATCACACATTTTATTTTCATTAATACAAAATGTAAGATTCTAGTGACAAGACTGCAGATAATTTAAATTTTGACCAAGAAAATTATAATCCACAAATGTGTAAAGAGTACTTACTCCAATTCTTGTACTGCTGAGTTTCCAGCAGCCTGATCAAAGTCAAGTGTTCTTGGCTGGTTTATGAACAGCTTTACAAATTTAGGGCCCTTATCAGCTGGTCCCTTGATTTTCACTGAGTGCAGCTTTACCAACTGAAATTATTAATATATAAGTAGCTATAGACTATAACTTTATTCAATTTTTTTTCTATATAGCATGGCACGAGACTACATCATTCTGAGTGAACACAGAGATGACGTAGTCCGTTTTGTTATTGATAATATGGTTAACAAAAAAAAAAAGAATGTCTACATTCTTTAGATATAGATTTGGTTGTCAGTGTATCAAATTTCATTAAAAGCTGTTAACAATTTTTTTTAAATAAATTAAGTAATAAGTGCCCAGACATCTACACAAACTTTCTATCATGCATCATCTGTTTTTATGCTTGGTATATTTATTATACAATCTTGGTGTTTGTTTTAAATTAATGATATAAAAATAAATTATAAACATAATTCATTATTTTTAGTTCTTTAGATAAAAATTTTATTCACTGTTATTTTGATAAAAAGATGTACCAAGAGTATTTTCATGTACAGGATACTTAAATATGGTATAACACTTTTTATTGTATTAATTATGTGATTACAAATTATATTTATAATTCACCTGGTTAAAGGCAATGTTGATGATGAGCTGTTCATCACAATCGCTGGCCAGGTATCCACCGCCGCTAGTGAGGGCATGAGTCAGAGGGTGATCATCAGCCTCATTCAAACACTCACATTCACTCTTTGTGATGAATGTGACCAAATCCATCTATAACAGAATATGAAATATCTAATAAACAATATGATATTATTTTTTTTTTTTAATTTTATATTTTATATATTATATCTCATTAAAAATGACTGATTTTTGCATAATTATATAATTTTTAAATATGTATGCTTTAAGGTATTTATGGTAGGTAGGTATTTATGCGCCCATATTTATAGTAAAACTTATTGCCTAAAATAAATAAATAACTGGCTTCAATTATATCATATTTTCAAATTACCAATGTATTATAATACTAACATGGCCAGCAACAGCATTATCATCATCGTTGGATTCTTCTGTGCCATAAAATTGTCTAACTTTATTTTCTAAGGTAGCAGGATCAGCACCTTGTAGTCGGTCAAGCCGTGTCTGAAAGTAATAATTTATAACTTTTAAGAATGTTATGATGTAATAATTGCATATTTTATTGAACTAGGTATTATTTGCGGAAGTCTTTATCACTGGTTACTTGATTAGAATTATTTTGTTTAATTTGCTACTATTGGTCAAGAGTTGACAAAACTTTAATCAATTAATTTCTGAAGTATTGGGTATTGTGTTAATAAAATTAGAGTGTAATATCATTAACAAAATAGATGTCTAATTAATAAGTTATGAACATTCTTATTAGATATCAAACTGATGATATAATATTAACTAAATATAATTTTGTATTGTAATTCATTAGTTATAATAATAAATGGCACATAGATAATTTGTAAAAAACAAAGTTTGTAATTAGTTACTCACTCTGTTTCTGTAGAAAACGAAAGTGGGTGTTGCAGAGATACCCTGGCTGCTTGCAGTCTCTGTGCATCTATTTACGTCAACTTTCAGGAACACAGCCCTCGGAAACTTTGCTGGTAGCTGTTCAAAGAACGGCGCAATCCGTTGGCACGGTGGACACCTTAAAAAATAAAAAGTTTTAAAGTGACAATAAAGGTAGGACGATGACTTGAGATTTTGAATACGAAAGGTTACACTCACCAAGTGGCAGTGAAGTCTACAACAACTAATTTGGTGCCGGCATTTGCCATTTCCGATTGGAAATGGGCTTCATTTTCAATAACAGTCGCTAAACCCATAATGTATCCTTTATATCAATTTATAACAATAAAAAATTATTCTAATTGGGAAGGAACAGTAGATACTTCTAAAAGGTGACAACTCAAAATGGTTGACAAACTTGACACTAATGACAACTAGTGACGCTCGATTAGCAAAGATTGTGGTTGTTCTTAGGCATAGATTAAGGATAATACCTGCGTTCGTAATCAGTTATAAAGCAAAGTAAAATGTATAAAAAAAACTAATGAATTTGTTCCATTAGTTATAATATTTGATATATATTTATATGTAAAATTTATGCTAAAATAGTACATACTACATTTTTTCTTTTAATCGAATATTTTTGTTTTGTAACAAGGTTTGCACCAAATATACCAGTTAGTTTAGAAGATGACATCAAGTGTTTAGTTTAATAGCTGATCCGGCAAACTTTTTTATCTACCACCACCACCTTTCGGGTTAATTTTTTCTTATCAGGATAAAAATTATCGTCTCCCAAGATAGACAAATAACCCAAGACAACCCTAAATTGTGGCTAACGGAGAGTAGATAACTTGGGTACATCTATTTTAGCTTATCTTTGATTTAAACCAACTTTTATTGAAATTTTATATACCTGCAGAGGGCAGCGGTAAGATTTTAGGTTACTAACTACTACCTACCAATAGCTAACAGATATTTTATTATATAAACATAAGAATAAGCACTAGGTAGAAGTGGCACTCTCGGCAAATCAATAATACCGTGATCGTCGCTTGAGCCGTAGGTAAGAATAGAAATTTTTTAATTAGTCTTGCAAGGACAATAAAAGGTTTTTAGCCCTCCAAGGAGGGCTCAGATGAAGGCCTCTATCATGTGACATTTAAAAAGCATGTGTAAATATAAACCTCAAAATAATGCTTTACGTATTTTTTATTTTATCAACTTAAATAACAAGGTTGATAATTTGTTTACTTAGTAATCGTAAAAAATGTACGCGATTCAATAAAATTATATTATACGTTTGTTATAATAATAATAGAACTTTAGTTACTTTTGAACTTTTCCACTATAACTTTACTTATTATTCATTTGACCTATTTTACTATAAATTATATAGGTACCTACTTTTTATTAATATACAACGTTATGACTCTTATTGGTAGAAAGGTGGCTCTACATTATGTTTGTTTATACACGACCGCCGCTTATGACTTTTTTTTTTCATAATTTCTATATCGTTTGCGACTAATTTGGTGGTGTTAAGTTCAAAAATAATAAGTATGATAAGTAATGATGAAATCTTTTTCCACTTTTTCAACATCTAACTAACTACTTTTTATTATATATGTAAGACAAATTTATTTATTAAATGAATATACATTAGTTATATTATTTGAATGAGAGGAAGTGGGGTACATTTTGTCGGCATAGGTGCATTCACAAAGATACATACAAGAATATATTTTTTATACCACATAGGCGGCCACTTAAACGGTCACTTTAATATACGCTTTTTAAAGAATTTGGTAAAATCGGTAGGGATTTCCTTCTACAGACTGAGCCTTTGTGGGAGAAAATTTCTTTAAAACCATACTATACAGGATCATTTAGGCTCAAGTGTGTGAGCATGAATTCCCTGTAACATGTCTAACGAGATTATTTATTCCTATGATATAAATTAGTTTACATAATTTAATCTTTAGTATTAGCAATTCACTAGGAGTGCCAATGTGCGTCACACTACAATTTGTTATGTACATGACGTTGCCTATAACTGTTATTATGTACATCTAGATAACTATTTCATTAAAGATCCTGCATAAAAGGGATCACTCTTTCTTTTCCAGTGGGTGTCGTAAAAGACAACTAAGGGAACTTAATGCCCGAGGGATGGACAGCAGCATCATTCTTTAAACATCTCCAAAGTCTAATTGCAGTTACCAACCCACCTGCCAAGCATGGCGATTATTGGCAAACTCCCTTATGTGGAAGGCCTATGTTTGCCATCTTGACTGCTATTCCAAGTTTAGGCACAAAAACTTGGTTAATAATAACTATATCCTCCAAGGAGTAACTACACCGCTTATTTTAAAATTATTTTAAAATATAAGAGGCTTTCAATTCACTATTATTTTTTTATACGTATGTTATCTATCTATACTTATAATAAATCTGTAGAGAGGTTAATTCTGTATATGAAATATATTTACAAAATAACTATCAGGGGGTGATACTGATGCCAAAAATGCAATCACAGTAAAATTTTTGTCTGTCTGTCTGTATGTTCGTTATAGAAACAAAAACTACTTGACGGATTTTAACGAAACTTGGTACAAATATTCTTCATAGTGCTAGGCAGGTTATAGTATACTTTTCATCACGCTACGATCAATGGGAGCAGAGGAGCGAAGGGAAATGTTGGGAAAACGGGAAAAGTTACTCCATTTTTAAGTTTCCATCGCGTGAGCAGCCTTAATGGCCACTTTTTAAAATGTAAAAATTTACATCTGTGCGAAGCCGGGACGGGCCGCTAGTCTTAATAAAGTCTTATTTTATAAAAGTAAAAGTGAATTTGTTTTTTGTTATTTATTAGCGCTTTGATAGTTTAACCAATTTTCACTATTTTAATTTCAAATTTGGCATTCGCTTAGTGTATGGGATAGAAAAGAGCATAGGCTACTTATTATCTTAATTAAGGATCATATCTCGGCCATGCAAACAAAGTCGCGGGTCGAAAGCTAGTGGTGTAATATCTTTATGATTTCTAAACTATTTTGTTAATCCTTTTTGGGACCCTTATATACATTTATGACGATTGAAGACTATTTTTTTGTGAGGAAGAAAATTTTAAATTATAAGTAAGTATAAGTCTTTTTTAATTTCTGATCTTTGTTGCAAAAATACTTTGAAAGCTTACTTAATAATAATTTATAGCGGTCGACAAGATATCACAATAAAGCGGCAAACCGCCCGTGGCGAGGTTTATCCTCGCAATAATTTACTGGAAGCTCTCCAAATCACTGCGATCCATTTTAATAAACTCGGATCAAAATTTATAAATCCCAGATAAAAAATAATATGTACCTACTTATGTACTACTTATGGGTGTAGTATCAACGTCAAATTTGATGACAATTATTTCAGGCGCTAACAAAGCAAATACACTTTTAAATCTTTCAATAATTAGTAACACTTAAAATAACGTTTTGTATAATTTTATATTTAGTATGAATAATTTAATTTAATTAACATTTTTACCGTAATTTTGTAACTTTTGCTTTATTAATACTCGACGCCTGATAGAAGTAAACTGCAATTAGATTCAATAAGTAGTTTTGACGCACTCATGCGGTTACATGATGGAGATATATTGATTTGTTATTTATTATATCAGCTGTTAATTATCCACTTTTGAACATAGTCCTCCCTATAAGGGAAGTTTTGCCAGTAGTTGCTACGATTGGCAAGCGGATTAGCAACCGCAATCGGGCTTTTAAGAGGGACGCTGCTGCCCATCCTTGAATCATTAAGTTCCCTTAGTCGTCTTAAGAGGGACGCTGCTGCCCATCCTTGAATCATTAAGTTCCCTTAGTCGTCTTTAGACACCCGCGTGAAAGAAAGAGGTAGCCCAATCTATGCTGGGGCCACATAGCGTATATATTGATTGACCGAGATAAAAAGTGGCCTATGTTGTTGGAATGGAATGATGAACCTATCTGCACTATTGGTATATGTTGACGGCGTACCACCGGTGTGGGATGATAATGTAAGAATGAAAGCAGGTCAATCGGCCTCATCATCTTCCTATCCTTATCCCAATTATTATTTGGGGTCGGCGTCGGTCAATCGGCCTATCGTGACATATTCACCAGAATTAAACTAGGATGGTTTCCAGGGGGAACTGCATGGAGGTCGATTTGATAGGGTATATTGACAGTAATGGGGATTTTTTTACTTCATTACTAAGAATCCATATACTTTAAATTCTACTTCAGTTTTCGGGCAATATTGCTTTTGTGCTTTTTAAAAGGCGTAGTTAACATTTTATTTTTCACTGAAAATTGTTTTCTGTATTTGGCTTCTCGGTGCCCCTTGCGATTTGATGTCTAGAGCGATCGCTCCTCTCATTCTCTCTCAGAGCCGGATTTGAATACGAATTTCTTCCTAACAATGGCGTAATTACAACATCTGGGACCGCAAATTCGTTGTAGAGGACCCTCCTATTACAAAAATAAAAAAAAACAAAGAATTTTCGATGTATAGAATTTTGCATAATACTTGTATGTTTTTAAGTTAATACTCAAATTCTTACATTAAATAATTTTTTTTTATTAATTTATGCATAATAACATTAGAGTCTTCCTGTGCTCACGAATTCTTCGACCAGGGGCCCCGTCAGGCCGGGGACTCATGGCATATTGCTCGCTCTACCACCTTATTGTTAGATCACTGCCACCCTACCACTTCGGTTTTTAAGCGTTGATGGTAATTACGCTTGCACTAACGATATATGCAGGCGGAGCCCCAGAGAGATATGATAGGTCAGGGTGAAAAGGTGGGTCAGTGGGCTCGTCGCGAAGAATTCTTCTGGAATTAAGTACAATAGTTTCAAGGGGAGGCGTGCGAGTAGATGGATTTGTAAAAGTATATTGCTAGCAATGGCGGCTAGCGTCTCCATTACTGACCCTCCCCTGCTTATTTTCTATTATTTTATAGCATTAATGACACTCAATACATATGAAGTATGGAAAACTCTCTTTTATAATGAATTGCCCATGTAAATAAGGTTCTGGGTTTGTTTAAATTAATTTTTAAATTTTATTGTGATTTGACAACAGCACATATGCAGAAATATTAGTAAGAGAGATATATCTTTTGTACAAAGTTTAAACTAGTAGAAGTAGATATTTACTCGTAGGTAGGTACCTAACTTATTAGCAGAACAAATTAATTTCATTCATCTATGTCATTCGCTATTATAAACGAACATTTCAATTTCTTATCATCCACGTAATTGTGTTTACCAACAAAAACTTAATCCGCAGATATATTTTTTGTTCTTTTATAATGTTACACTTTTCGCTTATATCAATATAGTTTAGGCGTATCCACGATAAATCTTTGTACATTTTTCACTGTAATCTCCCGAGGAGATAAAACCGGGACTGTCTCGAGGAAAATCTACAGTTTTCATTTGAATTCGGACACTATCAAGTGTCTTTCCGCGATATAACTTATGGGTATATAATTTAAAATTTAAATGCCATCTAAATAGTGTTATAATTAGCAGCACTTGGTGCTCCTTTACTATGTATCCAAGATTGTCTTTTTTATTTTTAACAATATCCGTTTTTGTATTGGTATTTGGCCAACATTTTTATGAAATAAAGTCATTAAAAGAGAAGGATATAAAAAGTAAATATTTAAAGATAAATGGCGACATTTCTTCAAAACGGGACTTGATGAATTACTTACGATCGTTAAGACATATTATTTATTTTGCTTATGACTTTAAAAATGATGTAGACTTGAATTTTAACTTCGGATTATTTTTAGTCAATGGTAAGCAATGTTCTACTTAATACATATATTCGATTGTTGCTCTTATTATTAAAAATTAATTTATTTTTAGTGAATTTAAAAAGTATTCTTGAAAAAAAGAAAAACACATTGCCGCTGTCTATAAAAAAATATTTAGAACTGTTAGTGAAGAAGAACGATGAAGTTATTTGTTTTTTCAAGGAAATGGTTAATCAAGACCAAGATCCTAGGGACCAACGAAATAAAATATGTGAGTAGGTATTATTTCTATAAATAAGCATTAATACATAACTGCATAACGGGAATTTTATAAATTTACTACATTTGTCGTTTCCGACAATTGTTTCGACTTTATCCGGAAGTCTTCTTCAGGGTACGAGTATGGTGTTTACGTCATACTGTAATGGCTCAAAATATGATTTTTAATATATTTTCTTCTATAGTAGTTTGAACATAGGTATAATTGAATGAAAGGATGTCGAAATAGATGGTGGCAAGCTAATATAGAAGGATAATGTTATTAGAGAAAAATTTCATTTTAGTGGTTTCATTATTTTCTAACGAATCTCAGTGGATGACAGAATTGCACGACTTCGATACAGCAATTTTAAAATATATAAGATTAACACCTAATCAAGAACTTGAAGAATTATATTCGACGAGAAATAATTACGAGAAGAATGTGGGCGATCTGGAAAATGGAAAACCAAATCCAAAATTATCAGGTAACTAGATTTGATTTCTCTAATATATAGAGGTAGGTAGAGGAAGATTATATACTATTTAATATTACAATACGACCGCGGACGAAACCTGAGGATATAGCTAGTCATATATGAAATGAGGGGAATAATGATTATATTTTTTTAGACGCGTGCTTGGTCGCATTGGCATCTAATCCTATTAGTGACTCTAAATATAGGCCAAATTGTATAATTCCTCAAACATGCCAAGATATGGTGGTTAATGGAACTAATGTGGGATATGCATTACTTCATAGGTAAGTAGAAACCGTTTATTATTTGATTTTCCTATTATCACCGGTAGATATAAGTTATGAAGAAATCTCGTTATAGAATCTTGTAACTCTTGATCTCTACGGAGCAAAAATGACAGTGAATTGATCCTGAATACGTACTAAAAAAGCGTTTTGGAAAATCTCCATACAATTTGTAAATTAACTAATTGTATGGAGATTTTCCAAAATTTCCATGTAAGTTCACTTTATCGTTAAGTCGTCTACGATATCATAATGGAAAAATAAAAGCGTTTCCATAAAAATCCATATATTTTGCTTTATTTTTATTGTGATTGAAATTGTATAAATAGTAAAGATATACCAATCGGATGTCTATTTAATTACGAGCGAGTTCTTTTTTTCGATATTCTATATTGGATAACCAATATCTAATATAGCTGTTATTGGATCATATATGTATAGATACGCTTGAATTGTAACTACTTGTAACTACAATACATTGTTAGATATTACCCACCCTTAATAAACAGTGACGTGGTACCGCTAAATTTTTTGTTTTGCTGGGTGAAAATGGTATGGTATCCCCACCTGCGCTAACGGGATACGCTGGCGGAGCACCGGTGAAGGGTGATAGATGAGAATGAAAACAGGCCAATTAGCCCATCATGATGAATTCATCAGGAATTAACCATGATAAGTTCCAGGGAGAACCGCGAGGAGGTTGACCTGGTTGGGTATATTGCTAGCAATAGGATTCTCAGTCTCCATTACTGACAATCCCTTTCCCACTATGGTACCGCTAAATTAGTTGTATAAAGCCTAATCATAAAAAATCCTTTTTTGCCGTTCCATCTGGGAGAAATTTATTATTGACCTTAAAATTTTCAGGTTACTCTTACTGTTGCATGCCAAGTTCGCAAGGAGATGTAACGTATTATCTCCAGCTAAAGATAGAGAGATGAGGCAAAAATTCTGCAATACTGCCTACGAGGAAGCGCAATATATCGCTATGCAAGATTATTGTTTGAATGATTTGATGATGGAACAGAGTATGTATATTTATTAAAGCCTTTTTTATCACATGGTTTAGATTATATATATATATATAGGGTAGGTAGAAACAATGGAACGTCAAATGCTTCGATTTAAACAAACCTCTTTCGCTTCTTCCACATTCATTAATCTTTTCATACATGCTCGCCGGTTACGGGTACTTTTAATTTGGCCCTTCTTCAGCACGTCGCCTATTTGGTCGACATACGTCCGTTTAGGGCGGCCTCTACCGACATCTCCATTCATTCTTGCTCGATAAATCTCTTTCGTTTAGATAATATATTATAGATCTCTGATTTAGATAATATATTATAGATTTCTACTACTAAAGTTTAAATACTTTATGACATTAAGACTTCATTTTATTGGATTCGTAAAAATTCAAATTGGAAATTAGTCTCGGTACCAACTGTTTATTTCATTAGAATTATTTTGTTTAATTCTGCAACCATTAACATGTGTGTGATAGCTAACACTCGAAGATTGAGGTTTTGGGTGTTTATCAAGTTACAAACAAGTGCAAATGGCTGTAAGAATATGAACGAAATTTGATACACAGAGAGATTATGATTACCTTCTACAAATACATAAGCTATTTTAATGTTAATCCATGTAAATAAAGTCCCGTCTTGTAGCTGATTATATAATTACGACACATATTTTTCTTTCAGTTAGTTTGTGTGCATTGGATGGCCACGCAAAATTCCTTCGCAGTTCTTGGATATCAAATCTCCTCTATTTTCAATCTCCATACGGATGTTTTGGGTTGAATCGTTACGAAACAATACAAATACAGTCCGATTTTCAATCCGTTCCAAATGATTTATTGAATAGTAAATCGAAAACTTGGAAATTGGACAAACATTTGCAACACGACATATTTGGAGGTCTGTGCAATGGTCACGTCACGGCAGCTGCAGCTTCAACCCTAGCTATTGTTATCAGATACATCCTGGAATCTTATTAATTCAATAGATAGCAACGTAAACGTTAATCTTGCGATAAAATTCTCATTACTCTCATAGAAATGTAAAATTTTGATGCTAATAAAATTTAATTATTTTATACTTTTCTTTTAAAATTTAAAAATTTTAAAAAGTGTGAAAAGTATGAAATCTGAATTAGCAAAGTATTGATAGATTCGGGAATATGTTTTGTATACATATAAAGTTAAGCGATTTTAAAATAATTGATCGGGAATGTCGAAAATTGTTTATATTTTTTATAGTTGACAAATATTACTGACGTTGCCATATTATAGACTTAGCTCTTAAGAATATAAAATTGCTTGTACTGGAAAACTGCGTGCTTTTTGGAATTTACATAAATATAAATTCATGTGTTTTGAAATAAATTACAACTTAATTCGTAAAAATTCAAATTGGAATTCCGACCATTTTAATTATTATAAATGTTGTAAGATTATTAATAAAAGTATATACGGGTTTGTTTAATTATGCATATTAATCTAGTTTCCCTCTAATTTGAAACAAAAATATTCTCACGTTTGAGGCACAATTGGTACTTAGTAAATATTTTATATGTTGAATGAGTATTTTGGATATATATAAAAAATCTGACATTGATGAGTGAATGCATCTACGTATATACATATTATTATATCATTTATTATCTATTATTAGAATTTATTTATGCAATTTTATTAGTTGTTTTAAAAAAACGTAGGTATGATATAATAGTTTATGTACTTAAAGAATTAAGTAGGTGCAACAATCCAAACTTATTTGTAAACTGTTTAGACATTAACTGGTTTAAAATTGCTCTTTAATTGCAGGCCTAGTTAGATAGGTGGTTGTTATTTGCGATTAAATCTGCATGACTACTTTTGTATTTTTTTTACCTAAATCAATAATCTATCATATTTTAATGTCTATTTTATTTTGTTCCTCATACTGATTACAAATAAATTAGTAGGTGTTCAAAGATCTTTTTATTTAGGTTATACCTACACGAGATTATTAAATTCATTAACATAGGAATTGAATTAGAAATAATTAGATTTCTCTAATTTTTCTTACATTTACATTGTCAATTAAATAGTATAATATTAATAACTAAATTAGATTACTTGTTTATTTTCTTGAAAATCAATCAATTTATGAAGGTAGGTACTATTTATATAGCTTGCTATATAAAATGTACCTTCATAAATTGATTGATATTCTACAAGAAAAAGTCAACATTTCATTGCTTTTATACTATGAAATATGTAAGTACCTATTTCATCTAGGATTATTTTGGCCTCCGTCAATTTTTTTTCAAAGTGAAATGTTTAAATGATGCTTTTATATTATTAAAAAAAAGAAATTTAAAACGATTGTAATTCTTAATTGAATACAAAAATATGAAAATTTTAGTTGAAGAAAATATGGAGATTCTTTTTTCATGTATATGTTTACTAGTGTAATATATCCCTAATTATAATACATATTCCTTCCTCATGCTTGAGGTCTTTCTATATTGAAAGTGACATATCTCGTCGGCCTCGCTACACATATAGTTTTATATAGAAGCAATGTCAGCCGGAACAGTGACCGCCATGAACGCCGCATCCGGTACTTCCGTCCGTCCACAGGTGCGTATGCAGTGCAGTTACAGGAAAAAGTAATCAATATGCCAGTAGGTATTGACTGTCAATATTACAAGAGGGTTATGTCCATGCCTGTAGGCCACGGTTGTCAGTTTATATATAATACTAGCAATACAGCCCGGCTTCCCACGGGTAGATAGAATTTTCGAAAATAGTATAAAGCCAACCTGTAACGGAAAATATTTCTAAACAAACATAAATAGAGCACCAGGTCTGTATATGGTCACAAACATTGAAGTAAAAATTTGGAGGGGCACGCCATCTAAATGTAGACTTCGATACCTCGATTCCATTCGTATTTTTACGATTAAATAGCCATCTTTGCATGTATGTATTTCGATAAATTTCAATATTAGACACCTTTGCAATTTAGCATGCTCGATGTGTTTAAACAAGGAGAAAAAGTGGTTTTTTAACACTCCACACGCCTATCAATTTATTATCGGCTGATCGAAATCTCATTACGTGACATGTTATTTGGTGATTAACAATGTTATCACGCGTCTCAACGCTTTGTATGTGTGAACGTCGCCTGTTTAGGTTCAATAACATCTTACTAATTCATTATAAAATTAACAAATAAGCAGGGAGCTATTCTCAAGTTCGCTGGCAACTAGTAGAGATATCTCCCATTTTTTTTTTAATAAAGGGTAAATGCACTAATACGTAAATAATAGGTACACCGTAAATGTTAAATAAAAAAATATATGCTCACGACTATAATCCTTAACGTGGTAGTCGAAGGTATTTGTCGACTGCTGTGTTTTTGTGAATGTTTTAGTTTCAGTATAATCGAGTATCGTATATTAAGCATTGTCCTGCTATTCTGCGCAGATCTCTTCTTGTTGGCCAGGCGAACAAAATATGGTTACGAACGAAATAGCAAACAAACTGCCAGCCTATCAGATGGAAACTGGTAACTGTGGTCTATCGATATGAACGTAATGTAGGTATCGTAAGAGGCGACTAAGCGAGCCTATAGTGCTACTAATCCCAGTGCTACCAATCCCTCTAGGATTGGTAGCACCGGCTCTTTTAAAACATCATCTAAAGCCAGATCGTGACAACCCGCTTACCAAGCGTGGCAACTACTTGCAAAACCCTCTTTATCGTAGCGTCTATGTTCAGCAGTGGACAGTTAACGGCTAATATGATGATGTTACTTCTAGTCATATTATGTAAAAATACAATACAATCATTATATCGTCATTATATCAGACGTTCGTCTACTGCTAAACATAGGATCTGCTTTACATACTATATGATAAAAATGTAAAACATTTAATACTAGAAAATATTATACATGTTGCAAGAAATAAAAGGCTGATTTTTATTTTATTTATTTATTAATAAAAATGAAAAATATTTTATAGAAAATATTAAAGGATAAAAGGCTTTTTTATTTTATTTATTTATTTATTTTATAGAAAGGATGGTATGACAATTTCTACAATAAATCAGCAATTGCAGAGTTACGTAATTACAACTGATGTAATGCACTTAATACCGTATTCTGAACGTAAGTGCGTTCTGCTCTTCCTAACTACTTGTCATGCTATATTGCTTGCAAACTCGTCGACTTTGACATGGTTTCATGTTTATGGGTTTTATCACTTTTATTTATAGCGATCGTGTTGTAAAATTTTTTTTTTAAATATATATTAAAAAAAGAAAATAAGTTTGTATTGTTAAATCTAATTATAAATATAAAATTATTTACATTTGGCCTAAGGAATATAATACTCTCTGACCAGACACTTATTGAAGATGTTTTCTCACAAACACAAACATCACACCATGTCTGTATACGGTCGCATACATTAACGTAAAACATCGGAGGAGCGTATAATATCAATGTAGATAATATATACAATATTGATAATAAAATAATAAAAAGTTCTGCTCATAAAAATCAGTGCTATCTAGGCTTAAACTAAGCAGTATTTATACTATTAGTACTTATTAGACAATCCATAGATATAATTTAATACTTTTTTTTAGATATACATACATACACAATATATAGACAACGTCCAGATCTATACAAAATGAATACAATGGTGGGTTTATGGAGAGATCGAATCCGCAATTCTTGGAAGGTGAGGCAGTGTGTTAAACTGCTACACCATCAAGGTAGTCAAGTTGTAATCATAATTTTTTGCATAGGTAATTTTATGTTCAACCAATTTTTTATTCGCATAAAGAAATTATAGTCAATTATAGTACTATATACTTCTGAATAAATTAAATTAAATAAGATTGTGTTCGACAAAAAAAAAATCAGTGATTTTGATTTCAAAATTAAACTTTTGGATCGACTTTGATAAACATTTTATAGAACCAACCTATAAGTATAAGGTCCTTTTAGTCAAAAAGAATTTTCCAAATCCGTTTAATACAGACAAAGTTATGTGGTAACAAACATAAAAAAAATATAATCGAATTTTCTTAATTCTTCTTCTTTTTTTGAAATCGTTTGAAAACTGCATTAATAGTTATCTAAACTTATCCTATAACTAAAAATTCAAATATATTGCCAATTTATTTCATTCTCATTCTTGGAATAATGAAGTTGTTTATTTTATTGATATATAAAAATTGCATTTTAAAATTGATCTCACTATTGAAGTTATAATTAAACTAGAGGTATACAATTTTATCTCCAAACAAACTTAATCCCTTATAAAAATGACCTTAAAGGGTATTAAAATTGATTATAGAGTTCGGTAATAATTGACAGAAATGCCAAAAAAAAAAAAAATTTTAATGCGATAAGTATCACACATTCACTAGTGATTAAATATTTTTACTCATGTGTTTAGATACAAGTGTAGTTTGTTTTCATGACTAAATTGTTACTTATTAATGATGTCATCAGATCATAAATTAAAATTTCATCATAGATTTTTTTTTTTTTTTTTTTTTTTTAATTATTCAACTTAGAATGGCAAACAAGCTGACGGCCCACCTGATGGAAAGTGGTGACCGTCGCCTATAGACATGAGCAGTACCATGGACATAACAGAGTATATAGGTGTTATTCCTCTGTAATTCACGCCATATCCCACTCTTTCAATCGACTTTTGTAGTCTCCCTCTGGTATTATAGTAGTATAGATTAAAGATAGTACTTATTTGTAGCATTCTCTTTCTATGACATCCGTCGATCACCGAATAGTCACCTACCCATAACTGGCCTAATTTGCTTGTCAAATTAAAATTCGAACCAAGTTCCTACGGGACCATCCAACACCAGCCATTGTCCTTTGGACGCTATGCACGGTCCCGTTACCCGTGCACCATGTTCTTGCATTCTAATTTACTGTACTGTGAAATGACCCTACGTTCCAAATTTCGGCGTGAAAGAAGACCAATTTTGCTGTCCAATTTCCATGAAAGTCCTGTACTATGCAGTTATTTTTTTATAAAAATATTGGTAAAAAAGCAAATTTATAAGATAAAAATGTTTATCGATTTTTTTTATAAAATTGCTTTATATAATCTTAATAGTTTTGATCGACGATGATTATTTAATCTACCATAAAATTATTAGGAGAGTAATAGCTATAAATTAATATTTTTTTTTTATTTTTCTAAACACAACACTGCTGCACTGATCTATCTTAGTCAACTTATTAGATTTTTTTTTTTTGGTACAGTTTAGAATGGCCAATACAATATATGACACCCTTAGTATTAGGAATAAAAAAAATTGTCTGGTGTTTTTAATGTCTAGTTATTTTTATTGCCTACGTCTATTTATTTTTATTAATTACGGTAATATGTCAATCAACGTCAATTACATTTAAGTTATTCATTTAAGGTATACGTTCACACTATTCAAAGGCGAATTCTATGCAAATTGTTATCCGGTATCAAAAATTCTTCAATCCAAT